AAATTAACAGCAATGACGATTACACCATAAAATAGAATAAGGTACTGCAACTTTGTTACAAAAGTTTTGCGTTTATATCATTCATTTTTATTTAATTAGGATGAATCATTCTCTACTTTCCATACAACCCTTTTGGAAGGATTCCTATATTGGGTCTTCCATTTAATCGTTTACCAGAAGCAGTAACAACCAATATGTTTAATAAAATAAATGTAAAGCAATTTAAAAATTCTACGACTTAAGAACAAAAACACTCACCATCTCTAGCAACTTCTAACTTAGTATTCTTCAGCCTTTCAGGATTAATTCCCATTTTTTCTACGTCTTCTTTGGTGTAGAACATAAGAATTTCAGTGGCTAATGCTATTTTTTTGCACACTCGATAATAAACTTGCCCCTTATGTTTAAACCATACAACATTCCTCTCTTCTTCAAATCTCGCACAATTTATAAGAGTATTCCAAGTTCTTTTAATTATAGCAAAGTCCTTCAATAGATAGTTTAGCTTGTCTTGTACTGTTTGCTAAAATAGAGAACAGATATTTAAAATCTTTAAACCTAGACAGCGTTAACAGACAATTTTTATTTTACATTTACATATTAAAGGTACCCCCATATCAGACTGAAACGACTTGAAACTGCCCGACGTTTTCAACTATTGCAGCACTTACTAGACAAACGCTCTAAGCTCACAATCAATTACAAACGACTCATATATATGACAATAATAAGACCTATTTGGACTTACGGAATTGAGCTTTGGGGCTCCACTAAACTATCGAATTCCTCTCATATCCAATCCTTACAATCCAAAATCCTTCATAAAATCCTCAACGCTCCTTACTTTGTCACAAATAAAATCATCCATAAAGACCTTAATGTTCCATATGTTTCCGATTTGGCCCAATCCAGATATCTATCCTTCCATAACAAACTGCAGAACCATCCGAATCCTCTCGTTTCAAACCTTGCTTCCTCCTCGATCCCTGATAATCCTCCGAGGAGTCTGAAAAGAAGATATCCTCGGGACCTTCTAATATAGAACTTTAATTTGAGTTCTTCTAATGGGTAGTTTCTCTTCATGTTGTACATGTCATGTTACCAATGTCACATTTACTTATTGTATTTTCCATGTAATACAGTTGTAAATCTCAATAAAATAAAATTTAAAAAAAAAACATATTAAAGGCAAATTTAATTATAATTTTTTCATATTTATTTTCATAACTACCTTCAGCATTGACTATATGTTAGTCAATACCTCATAAGAAGAAAATGAAGTTAATTATTATCATTATTATAGATCTTCCTTTTTTAAAAGTTAAAAAAATAATATTGTCACAAATTAAAATTTACTGTTATATATTTTTCTTTGGCTGGAAGGACAGAACTTCATTCAGACTGATCCTCTACAGCTTCTATCCAATGTCTCACATTTAGTGACCTTGTATATTATTGAATAATACTATTTTTAATAGTAACACAAGGAAATAATTATGTCCAGTCATTATCTAGCTCAAATCTAGCTGGTAAAGTAGAGAAGAAAATTTCATACCCATCAATTTATTTGAAACAATTAGCACTGAACATAATAACGGAACGTTACCTTGATTATCTACAAGTTTATACAGACGCACCAAAAACAAGTAACCGAACTTGTGTAGCTGTGTATGATTCCCAAAAGAAGCAGAAATTTTCATTATCAATACCAGTTGATTTCAGTATTTTCAGTGCCGAACTATATGCCATTCATAACGCCATAATATACAACGAAAAGACATATATCAACCAAAAAATAGTTATTCTGATAGACTCAGCAACTGCATGTAAACACCTAAAATTAATCTATCAAAACAAAGCACTGACACACATTTCCTTAAAAATCATATCACTAATATACAACGCCAGTAACGATTACTTTTTCCAGTGGGTGCCGGGACATGTAGGAATATCAGAAAATGAAATGGAAGACAAAGCAGTAAATCAAAACCAACTACATCCAATAAATGCTAAGGTTCCTTTACTGGATTTGAAGAGTTGTGTGAGGGAAAATAATGAAAGACTGGCAGCATTTCCAAGACTGGGAATGTGCCTCGAAGGTTAAGGACCATCATACAGTTCAACAGAAGATAACACTGGCTCCATGATTTGTGACTTTTAAATCTTATCTCGACCGCTCCAGCTTAATAAATATCTACATCTAATGAGTATAGCTAAGAGCGGTCACTGTCCAACATTCCAATGCTTAGCGGATCCAAGACGCATTGCCTTGCGACAAAAGGTTCGAGAAGTGAAGAAGAAATAATTTAGGATCTCAAACTACGAATGATGGAGCTAACTTTCTTCGGTCGATGAATAAAGATAACGCCCTTGGTTTGATAAAGTTTTTGAATGACATAAAAGCAGTTATATAATAAAAGTCGCCTCTTATTCTCATTTAATTGTTATGAAACTACTGTCACTTCAGTTTTTAACTATTAGTCTTTCTAGTTTAAGTTCTATATAAGTTACATTCAATATTTAGTTACATTCAGTGGTCATCTATCTAGAAATATTCAATAAATATCCAGTGTAATTTCATCTTACAATGACAATTGAAATATTTTATCGGCAAAATAGGACTTGCTTTTACAAGTCTTAAAGCCAAAAAGAACTAGAAAAAATATTTGTATTTAGGAGCTGTCACCCTCATTTGATTGTTATGTTACTATTACCAATATATTATCAATATTGTTAATCAGAACAAATATGTGAACACACTTATTTATATTTATTTGCAAATTAATACTTTTACTTTTACGTAATTTATTTTAATTTTAAGGTTGGATTATTCAATAATTACCGCCCCATATGTCTGTCATCAGTGGTATACTAAGTAAACACTAGAGTCCTGGAACAAAGATTAAGGAAATTGGTGGGAGAAGATTTGGAAGAGGAACAGACAGGTTTTAGGCCCGGCAGGCAGGCACAAGATCATTTATTCTCTCTGAGAATGATTGTAGAGAAGGCCTGGGATAGAGGTAAAACAGTATACCTAACATTTCCTATATTTGGGGGCGGCTTTCGACCATGTTCCTAGACAGGAAATATGAGATGCATTGGAAGATAGGAGAATATCACAAAATCTTATAAGTGCAACCAAGTCAGTTTACCAAGATCCAAAGGGGGTAATAAGGCTAGCAGGCACTGAGTCCAGGTCATTTCATTCCATTTCTTTAGGGGAGTTAAACAGGGCGATAGCCTGAGCCCCTCCTCCTCTACTCTACTGTTCATAATATTCATGGATGCCATTTGGAAATTTTGTAAAAGGACACCCAGAGCAAGAGTGGGATACTGGAATATGGCCCCAGTGTTGGCACAGGCGTTGTTGTACACAGATGATGCGGTATTGGCTGCGGATACTGCTGAATCACTCCAGGTCGCTAAGGATGAGTGGCAAGAAGAACTGCAACTCAGAAGCATGCAGATCAATCCCTTCAAAAGCAAGCTTACGTGTGTTCGACGAAGGAATGAGGATCTTAGAATCACTTGCAATGGAGACACTTAAGCAAACCGATACCTACTGCTACCTGGGAACAATGAAAGGCAAGGATGGAAGAATTGACCAGGTCATGAATAGAATCCAAAAGACCAATGGAATATACTACCAAATATCTATGACACTCATTGAAAAACAGGAGTTGAGCAGGAAAGCAAAGATTCTGCTATTCAAATCAGTTTTTCTCCCTACGCTACTATACGGAACGGAAAGCTGGACGATAGTCTTGACCGTCATGCCAGCAAAGTTGTATCTGCGGAAATGAGATTCCTATAGAAAATATTAGGAAAAACCAGGCGAGATTGAATAGATGAATGAAGGGGTGCAAGATGAACTAGGCATTAGATCCATCCTAGAGACAGTTGAAGAAAGGCATTTAAAGTGGTACGGGCATGTTAACAGAATGGGAGATGACCATAAGGCCAGGTGGCTTTTAGAAGCATGACCGGGAGGAAGACAACCTCAAGGCAGGCCAAGGCTCATGTATTCAGACTTGATTGAGAGAATCAGCAGAGCGAGAGAAAGCACCATACCAGAGATGAGAAGGCTTGCACAGGACAGGGACTGTTTGACAAGATGATCAGAGGCAGCTACTCCAGATAATGACTTAGCAGCACACTAGAGATAATGAGAGAAGAGAAGAAGAAGAAGGTTGAATAATTAAGTTATAGCTAATTGTTTTTTATTTTCTTATAATGCAGACAATTGTATCTTTTTGTTCATTATATTTATTCTTAGGGGACTAAATGTCCTAGAATAAAATGTACTTTTCTTCTTCTTTAAAGATTTCTACTGTCATCAGCATTAATTGAAGCTTATCAATAGACAAGGCATTATATTCAACAATGACAATGTGAAGGTCCCATGTTGCAAAAAAAGAACATTGAAAAAATTAAAGGAATTAGGGTGGAAAATTATTCCTCCGCCACCATATTCTCCTGACTTAGCACCTTCGGATTATCACCTGCAATCTTTTAAACTCATCAAGTGGCAGGAACATCAACTCAGTCGATGAAGTAAAAAACAAGGTGCTGGCTTTCTTTAATTCAAAACCAAAGGATTTTTTCAGAAAAGGTTTACAAAATTTGGTTTCAAGATGGTAATCTGATTTAGAACACGATGGTAAATATATTTTAGCTTGGATGTGTTTCATTGATTTTATCCTACACCTTAAATGACAATGTGAAGGCCCCATGTTGCAAAAAAAGAACATTGAAAAAATTAAAGGAATTAGGGTGGAAAATTATTCCTCCGCCACCATATTCTCCTGACTTAGCACCTTCGGATTATCACCTGCAATCTTTTAAACTCATCAAGTGGCAGGAACATCAACACAGTCGATGAAGTAAAAAACAAGGTGCTGGCTTTCTGTAATTCAAAACCAAAGGATTTTTTCAGAAAAGGTTTACGAAATTTGGTTTCAAGATGGTAATCTGATTTAGAACACGATGGTAAATATATTTTAGATTGGATGTGCTTCATTGATTTTATCCTACACCTTATAAACACAATTAAATACCAACATTATTTAGGAGATGACTTGGTAAATAAGATAAATATAAATTTAATTTAAATTGTACAATAAAAGCATACCCGTTCTCTCTCATTATCTGAAACCTCTGGTATAATAGTGTCCTTAAATGGGCCCCACACAACCCCTTTTTGTATAGCAGCGGTTGACCAAATTCCTACACCAGCTTCAGGGATTGCTGAGCGACCTATGGCCAAATATTCCGGATATTGAGATGCTGTGCCCTCAATATTGTCCTGGCCAAACAAATAAAGAACAATTTTAAACTATAACTTAATTTATAATTTAAAGAAAATATTGGATTAAAACACTTACAGGTAAACTTCCGACAGGAATCCTATGTCCAATGGGGCAGAAAAAATCATAAAATCTCTGGCATTGTTTGCAGTCTGGAAAAGATTAAATAAAAAAAATAAAGTAAATATGCACTAATATGACTAACAATAAAATATATTTTGGAGATGAATTGAGGAGCCAAGTGGCAAAGGAGTATAGGTACATTTTTTGAAAAGAACTGAATTAAGTGTGTGCCTGATCTGGAAATCTACTTTCTGGTTTAGAGATATACCTGTCCTGCCCACCCACTGCTACCTTTTATGGTGAAAACTATCACTGGACCTCCAAACAAATGTCAACTAGGCTTTGGAAGCAAAGAGATACAAGTCACAGTTGGGCAAATTTTATTGTTATTTCAAAGTACAAATATATATATACATATTATAACGTCTTCTTATATTTGACAAATAATAATAATAACCTCAGAAGATCACTTTATACCCTTAGGATACTTCCAAAAGAAATGAGAGGTTGTTAAATAAAAAACAAAATTATAAGAGTATTAATATATTTATTTATCTCAGGTGTGGGTTACTGACAATCAGATCAACTCAGACATTATGTTCTGCCAAACACATATCCCAAAATGGTAACACTATTCTTCCACTCAACTCAAGATCTCTGGGAAATCCTCTCTTTTACAATTCCAAACAACTATTCTCCTTGCCAAACAAGATCTTCTAATATGGTAAAACTATTACTGGGTTTTACCCACTGGAGACAGGATAGGATATCTTCTCTTAACCTCCCTTCACTGCAGTCACACAACAAACTGTTTGCCAAAACAAAAACCTTTGTCCCTCTCCTCTTCGGGATTTTCCTTCTTGGGAAACTACAGAGAAGCCATTTTCTTTTCCCTGCACTAGTTGAACTACATTAGCTTGCCTTTTAACTGTTCAACATTTATTAAACCTATTTATTTATTAAATCATTTTTACCCACTTCCAATAAAAATGTATATTACAATATATATATATATATATATATATATATATATATATATATATATATATATATATATATATATATATATATATATGTCTTTTAAATTAATGAATTAATTATTTATTTAATTATCAATCTATATATATAAAAATGAATGTATGTCTGTCATTACTAAACCATTCATCCGATCGCTATGAAACTTTGGAAAGTTGTTGTTTACACTCCCGCGAAGGTTTCTGGCATAGTACATCTGTCCTACGATAATTATATATATATGTAAACAAAATATCACTATAGACTGTTGCGCTAAAACGGTTGAACGATTTTAACAAAACTTGGCTAAAGTCTTCCCTTTGATACCCTTTTAATTTAAGTGTATAATATATTTTCCCGAAAACAAGCTGCAAAAAATGTTATGATGAATTCAAAATTTTATTTGCCAATAATTAAAAAAGTACACAATTTTTTATTGATAATACCCATATTTATTTGAAAGCTTCCTAAATTCCCTAAAAAATCATCGAAATTGGACGATTCGTTGCAGAGATATAGAGCTTTAAACATTTACTGCTGTTTCTTCGGAAAAGGACATTCCCTCCCCCCTCCCCCATCTTATTTTTGGTTATTGATTAATCAAAAATTTTATAATTGCTGAAGTAATTGAGATTATCATTTGAAGAAGTGATATGATTCTCTTTAGGTAGGTCAATACTACTATCCCCTCTTAAAATTAAAATTTATATTTTCTCCCAATGTATTTGGGAAGTACAAGTAGTATGATACATCTCAAATATTTGATGTGCTATTTTATTTAAAAATATTGGACCCTTGAGTAATAATTATCACCGTTACTGTTCATGACTCCTTTTAGAAATCAGTTTTTCGTCAATTTTAGTTTATTTTATTTTTTAATAAATTATTTTATTTTTTAACATTACATTAGAATAAGGCTGTACCGTTTGCTGCAAGGTTTCTTTTACGAGTAAGGTTTATTTTTCCACAACAGTTTTTATAATAGTGGTTATATAGTTGACTGTCGTAAATAATGGAGAGAAGAATAGTTGGGGAGATCAGTCAAATAAGAAGGCAAAAATAAATGATACTATTTATTTTGACATTAGCCGACGTTTCGACCTGAAGTTCAGGCCATCATCAGGGCTAAGAAAAGAACCAGATAACAAGGTCTGAGAAACATAAGTAGTGTAGGTAAAAAAATTAAAGTAAAATTCATTCAATTAAAGTAAAATTACAGTTTTTATAACTCTATATTTAATCAAGTTGTTGTTAAGAAAAAGCAGGCAATCAAATATCTTAGGAGGGGTATGCGAAATCTTTTGAAGGAGATGTGAGGCAGCTCTAATGCACACAAAATGAATGCTATGGTAATCGATATAGCACAATTGTAACGTTTGATATTTGAAAATCTTTAACATTGAAATATCTTAAATTGAAGAGAAGGATGGTTTGCGTGTTCAGCCAAATCGAAATGGTAAAAAATAAATAATTTTATTTAAATAAATAAAATTAAACATGAAAATAATGAGTGGCTCTGTATCAAAGACGGATCTATGTCTATTTTTGTTTATGGGTTCAATTCAAACTGTTTCTGATGATTTTAGTTAAGGATATTCAAGTTGAATCTGGAAAAGAAATCATTAGAATTAGTTTAAATTAAAGCTAAATTAATTAATTAATGTTACAAACTATTTTTTTCTCAACTTTTAAAAATGACAGTCCTTTGATATTAAGCCACTCATATATGTTTTCTATTTTCTTTCTTTTCCATTTTGCCATACTGAGCCACAGCAGCTAGTAATAAATAATTAAGAGTGCCACTGATCAAGAAGGCAACTATATTTATATTTCATTCTAGGTATTTTTACTTACTTAAGTATTGGTATATACAAATATTAATCTTTAAATTGGGTTAATATATCCAATATAATATATATAAAATAATATCAATGCTAGCATTAATGAAAAATGCACGTAGGTCAATCCATTTGAAATCACCCAATTTGAATTAATTTTGTTGCTTGACATTTTTGATTTTTATAATTTTTTTACCAGTTATTCCATATTTCTTCGAGAGTTCAAAACTATAGTTAAAAAAATTTTGAGGCTCACAGTTTTTTCTCTGTGCCCATTTTTAATTTTTTTTTCGACTGCAAACATGTTTTGAGAAAATGCTTGTAACTCTAATTATTTTGTAGATATCAAGCCAAAATAAAAATTTAAATAATTCAGAGTATTTTTTCTACATTTATGTTGATTAATGTATCACTTAAAAAGAGAGTAAAGTAGTTTAAAAAAATCATGAAAATAGACAAACAAAGTGACTTTTACGGCTACATCAGTGTAATAAAGAAAAGAGTTTTAACTTCAATTCTTTCATCATATGTAGTCCTAACACTGTACTTTTTGTTGTTGAAATTTCAATCTTGAATACCTTGTCCTTTTTAAATATGAATTTTCAAAAACGCTCAGAAGTCGTTTACGGTGATTTTTGATGTTATATATCAGAAAAGAGACTGAGAGAAAAATTATGAAATTGATACAGTTGATACCTCTCTTAATGATAAGAATGTGTGATATGAATTTGATCACTGAGACTCAACTGGTTCTATTAGTTATAGCGCAACTAATATGGCTGCCTAGTGTGAGTCGATATCAGTGTATCCTATCCTTACCCTAACTGCGACATTTTTGCAGTTATCAAAGCAAAAAAAAACAAACTAAAATTATTATGTTATTTTACTCTAAATTTGTTGTCCTCACAATATATCTCCTAAGTTGTGAGGAAAATGTTTGAAAAATTTACAACTATAAAATTAAAATTAACATGAAATTTTAATCTTGAAAACCTTGTCCTTTTTTAGATATGAATTTTCCAAAACGGCCATTAAAGTCATTTTTGGCGATATTTGAATATGAATATCTTAAAAGGGACTGAGTGGAAAATGGTGAAACTTGTACATTTTATAAAACTTCCTAGTAAGGATATATGGAATACTGAGACTTAATCAGTTCCAGAGTTATTTCGTATCAAATATGTCTGGAAATTTGATTTTTTTATGTTCATTCATTTATTTATTTTTGTTTATTTTTTAGTGGTTACATACTATTTTTAAATTAATGTATTTAAGTTAGAATTTTTATAAGTTAGTTTTTGGCCAGACTTGTATTTTCTTTTGTATTTATTCATCATTATTATTCTAAGGGGAATAATATTAAATAACCCTCGAATAAATATGGAATAACTGGTAAAAAATTATAAAATCAAAAATTTCGAGCAACATACGGTCTGGGTGATTTCAAATATATTGACCCACATGTATATTTATGTAATATTGTCAGAGCACCTATTTTATTAAACACATGTTGCGTATGGAAGCTTACCCGCTCGGTTTCTTCAGTTCTCTATTATGATTGCTTTTTTCTCCTTTAATTAATTATCAAATTCTCTTATATTTAACTATTTTTTATGCCAGGTTACAATGTGAAATGGTTAATTATTAGTGAAATAAAAAAAATTAAAGGTACTCTAGAGGAAGAAATTTTGAAAATCAGGCATTTAAACTTTTTAAAGAACATCAATGAGAATAAGATCTGCTTTGAATTAAAAACCACTTAATTTTACAGATAAAATGAATTTCATCAAAATCGTTAAGAGCCGTTTTCAAGAATATTGTAAAAATACATAAAATCGATGATATAAAGTGGCACTACTCATTATGGTCATTAATATAAAACTATGTTAAATGATAAAATATAATATTGATCTTATCAATATTGTCAATATAATATAATATTGACAATATAACACTGATCTTTCAAGATCCCCATATATAAAGATCCCAAGACGATTGATTGTTGTTTTCATTCACCAAAAATAAGAATATCCCATTGATTGTTGTGTTCATTCACCAAAAATAAGAATATCCCAAGTGAAACTTCATTCACCGTGATGAAATTAAGCCAAAAGACCAATGTATTTGTCTTAGAAATATCAATATCAACCAGATGGGGAAAAACGGAATTAATGATTGCATGATTAACATTTAAGGACCACGCTAATTTTATACTTCATTTAATAGCACTAGAAATATATAAAAAATGTGACACGATGATCTGATTGCAATCATAATCGGAAACCTGATCATTGTATTCACGTAACCTAATCAAGACCACTGTAATGGTAATCACGTAGTCATAAGTACTGTAATCGTAATCGTCGATTTTGATTATGCCCATCTATGGTATCAACTCATGTGAGTGATGTGAACTCATATTTCTAGAAAGGTCAATCTCAAGGCGATTGATTAAAATATTTACTAGCAGAATATCGAATTGAATTTTTACTAATACTGATAAAATGAAGCCGAAAGGAAGATATATCAGACTTAGAAATATCGGTAACAACTTAAAATCATATACAGGATAATACCAAGACATTCCACATGAGACTTAGACATACTCGATGGACCGATATATATCGGTCTTAGGAATATCAGTATCAATTCAAATTTACATAAATATAACATCCGATTGATTCCCATGTTTGTTTAGTAATAAGTGGTCATTTTCAAATAAAATTGGGTGTACCTTGACAGAATGAGTAAAAGACAATATATTGGTATCGGATCAAATGAATTTAAAAATAGTCGATCTAGGGTCAATCTCTAGATGATTGATCGGCATTTAAAAATTAGGAAAATTTTCCAAGTGTTACTGTACGGACCATGACAGATAGGAACATATAAAAGGTTGATATCGATTTTATTGGCCTTTTATTGTTATTGGACAAAATTTGTGTATAGGCAGATGCCTTAATGGTTTATTGACATGTTTATATACATGCAGGATATTCCATGTAAAACTGTACGACCCTTGACAGAAAGAAGGCCAATAGGAAAATATAGAGTGTCCCATAAGTAGAGGCAAATTTTTATAGAGTTTGTAGAAGACCTCAAGAGTTACGAAAAATTTAATACAAACATGGGTCCAACTTTTGGTAGAAAAAGCAAGAAATTTAAGTTTTAGTTGGTATTTTTTAAGTAAGTCATATTTTTTGTTGAAGAAGAAGAGTTAAATAAAAAAAAATACTTCATTGAAGTAATTAACAATTGCTTCATTGCAAACTAGATAAAATTAACTTTAAAAGAAAATATCAGATCAATAATCACTAGTAAATGTATTTAAGGTTATAAACATATGCTTTATACATCCATGAAATGATTTTATATTTCACTTCTTCTTTCACACAAGTACAATGAAATAGTTTTTTTAACAATGCCTTTGCCTTGATTAGGTAGATTTTAAATACTTTTTACAAACTTAAACATATTTTTGAAAGTTTACATTTAGTTAGTAAATTTCATTTAATTTGAAAACATGTGATATACATTAAATATTATCAGTTTCAAAAATTATTATTTATAATTTTTTTGCCACTTTCCATTACCTTCTACTACTTTTTATATTAGATATTGTTTTTTCTAAAATTCTCTGGTTTCCAACGATATATCATACCTACACTTCTGACTAGTATTTCCGGAAATTCATTTTCGACCTGGATAAGCATTTTTATTTTTCTCTCCTTTATTCAAATATCAAATTCTTTCAAAAGTTATATTTAGCATTTTTTCACAACTTTTAATAATGAGATATTTAATTATTTGAAATGAACCATATTAAAGGTGCTTTAGAGGAAGACATATATGAACATTGAGCATTTAAGCTCTGTAAAGTGACATCAACGGGGATAAAACTTGAGGAATGTGTGTTAGTTGTCTAAAACCAACCTGAGAACTAATTATTGTGTAAAATAAATATTATTTTATTAAGAAACTGTTTGTTTACTTTCCGAAGGGAACGAAACCTTACAACATTCTTATTATTTCTTGTCACAAAAGCATTAGGTTCCCGAATTCCCAATGACAGTTACATACCCTCAAAAAGTCTATATCCAGTGCTGGGGTTTTGTTTTAAGAAAATTAAATATTTAAATAACCTAGTCCCTCGATGAAAGCGGAAGGCTATTAACAATTGCTGCCAAAATGGATTATGTACTAATGGAATCCGAACATGTTATTTACTAATGATACAGAGTTTAATCAAAATCGTTAGAGCCATTTTTGAGAAAAATGTATTTCAGCGTTGATATAATGATATCATCGCACTTCCGGTTAGCCGATTTTAAGGAAAAAGTTGCTAGAACATCTAAGGCATATACCTATCTTAAATACGTAATATCTGTTTTGTAAGACTTTTCGTTTTCAAGCTAGAGTGTTCACAGACACACGGACAGACAGACCATTTTTCGGGACTCGGTTATTTGGACTTCGGTGTAGTAGACATCCCCCTGTATTTACTCCTTTATGTGACATTGTGTGAGGGAATGAGAAGGAATATATAGGAATGTGAGGTTGCACAATGAATTGTACTCAATTGTGCAGTGGGCAAATTATTCATTGAAAAGGCTCATATCGATAAACAATCGATGAAGGAGGAAGAAGGTTAGAATAGGACGGAGCAGGTAGCAACAGCTGGAGGACACTGGAGAGAAGTCACTCTAGGCCTGGACAGGAAGAAACGAGGTTGTCAGAAGAGAGAGGCACTGCGCTAAAGACTAAGAATATCAAGCCTACAGTTATAATACTTTAATAGATTCACTTATTACAATTGTAAAAATAAATAATTTTGTAAGACAGGAGTGAAAAGTCATTTATTTATTTAGCTGTCCTATAGACCTCACAATTGAAGAATAACAAACCAGGTGAGTCAATTCATTCAAAGTGTTTTTACTCAGTCCCACATTTCATATATATATTCTTATTGTTTCTTCTCACTCAGTGGCACAAAACCATTAGGTTCCAGAATTACCTACAACAGTTAAACACCCTCAAAAAGTCTATACCCAAAGCCGGGTTTGTTTTAATATTTACAAGAGTAAATGACCCAGTCCCCTGATAAAACGGAAGGCTATTTCCCAGTTACCCGCCAAAAGGAATATTTAAAATTAAACCTTTAATATGTTATTTACACAGGGTAGCCCAAAACGTGTATTTCCGTAATTCCTGAAAACTCAGATTCAAAAATTTTCTCGATTGCAATACTTACCCTTACTATATATTACATATATACATAAGTGAAAGTAAAAATGAGGGGCCAACAGAAAAGTTTGAATAATTCATGTTTGGCTGTATCTAAACATTATTTCAATTAATAATAATTGAACTTCATATACAACTAAATAATCCAAAGAAAACCTTTTTTTTCTTGCAATTAAACTTACATATGTGTTTATGATCTTCTGATAACTTTTCTCTCTTCGATTCAATGTTGGCAATGTATTTCAGAATAGAATCAGCATTAGTAGACTGTTTTTTATCAACTTTATTTTCTTCCTCTGAAAATAATTAAATATTTAATGTCTTGATGCATTAACATTGTTATGAATAAATTATTCTAGTTAGATAAATGATATTTTAAAGATTTTAACACTGTCATCAAGATCCACCTTGTGTTTTAAATCCCAAAAATATTTAATTTTTGAAATAAATTGTAATTCTGGCTGAATGCGTCTTAAGTGCTATAGTTGCAATGAGATACTTTTAAAAATTAAAATATTGCCATTTATGATAACTAGAGTCTGGATTCTTGTGCAGTAAAAAACTCAAAATCGTGCAGTAAAAATCCAAAATACATAAAATTGTGTAATTAACATCTAAAAATGTGAAAATCATCAATATTGTTTAATTTATAACATTAATACATCAAAATCTTATCAGATCTTGATTTAACCGAGAGATAAAAAAATTGAAAGGTAACATTGAAAATAAAATTCTGGATTATAATAACGATTATCATCAAATAATGCAGAGCATTGAAGGTTTGAAAGAATAAATGAAGGCAGGAATTATGTGTGCCTTTGTATATATTACATAGATCAGACCAATTTTAGATACATAACTTTTATTAAAAATAATAATGAAAACTTTATTTTTTAATAGAGTTGAAGTTTCCAATATTATACATTCCTAAACGTTTTTGTTAAAATCTAAAGAATTTCGGAAAAAAAATTGAAATAGACTGTAATGTTTGAGATTTTCAAGTGTTCAAAAATTAGTGTTGAAGCTGATTTTCTATATCACTAAAAAAAATATTTTGGGGATTGCGTTCTTTCTAAAAAACATTCAATTAAGATAAGAATATTTTTTTCTTATCATTGTGTTCCCCAATGAGCGTCTATCAGTGATTTCATATCACCTGATTGATTTATAAGGTGTATAGAACTTCCTCATCAAATTCTTTGTCCTCACATTTCAAATCGGGGTATTTTTATATCGAGATTTTATTTTTTGATGGGAGAATAGATTTTACTTTCAGCAATATAATTTTTTTTTTTTTTATAAGAATGAAATTTCTACAAATCAATTCAAAGCCAGAAGTGATACTGAAGGATTGAATGGTGAGTGAGGATTCAAGCCAAAACAATAACTATAAATGTCTTCCTAAAAAAGCAACTAATTCTAGGAAAGCAGTTTTGTATTATCCAATACTTTAGGCAAATTCTATTCCAAGAATAGATCTCACTTGTGTTTACTTCTTCCTTTTGTAATGAATACAATTTTATGTAATGTAATTGTAATGAATACAATTATTCTCAACATGTTTTGTATCTTTTGTAGCCCTGAAGACGACCTGCAAAGTGGGTCGAAACGTCGGAAAAATTAAAATAAAATAATTACTATATTTTAATTTATTATTTATCTGACCGCACCCCTGACTAACTCCTTCTCGAATACAATTTTTGCTTCACATAGAATTATTTGCCTTCCTCATATTTTTCTATTTTGAATAATGAATTTAATTTGAACAATATAGTAAAATAAATATAAACACACTCACTTCTGCATTTATTTGCATTTATAAATCATCTAATTTAGCACAAAAGTACAAAAATGTGCACAATTTAATGCAACAGAAGAACGTTCCCTTATAAACCTGTTCCAATCAGGCTTTCAACCTGGCTACTCAACACAATCCACCCTCCTTAAAATGACCCATGACCTCCAAAACTCCATTGAACACCAAAACCTTACCATCATCCTTCTAGATTTTTCCAAAGCGTTCGACACAGTTGACCATAACATCCTCCTTACGAAATCGCACAATCTTCCTCTATCCAACAGTGCCCTGCGTTGGTTCAAATTGGTCCCAGAATGTAGTCCCAGGTCAACTTCCATCTAAGACCCTCCCCCTCTCCTGTGGTGTCCCTCAAGGTTCCTCTCTATCACCTTCTCTGTTTGCTATTTACATTAACGACCTTCCTCTCCTGATCCGTCACTCCCAATACCACATCTATGCTGACGATTTCCAAATATACCTGTCCTTCCCCCCCTTCTGACCTATTAGCCGCCACAAAAAAGCTTCAAGAAGATTTAAATAGAATATATGACTGGGCAGGAGCTAACAAGCTGAAGTTGAATGCCGAAAAGACCAAAGCAATCCTAATAGGCTCCAATCACCTCCTCAAAACACTTCCTAACATTCCAACCTTGTTCCTACATGATAATACCATTAAATTTTATCCCACCATCAAAAACCTTGGAATAATTTTTGATCAAACCCTTTTCTGGAAAAACCAAGTATCCAATATCTCCTGCCGTACTATTACCACCTTAAAACGTCTAAACTACTTCCGTCACCTTTTTCCTTTTGAAATTCATAGACTCCTGGTCACCTCCTTAATATTTCCCTACTTCAACTATTGCTGCATGGTATATGGGGGCGTCTCTGGGGATCTCAAAAAATTTTATAAATTGTTTTGTACAATTCATTTTTCATTTTTATGCAGAGTTGAAGTGGCTTTATCCTTCCTACCATCGTAAGTATTTCCTGGCATCCTTCCTCTTTCAAGTCATCCAATCTCGTCGACCTTCATACATCTCCGAGCTCCTCCAATTCAAATCCTCTGTTCGCTCCCGCAATACTCGTTCCAGGTCTTCTGATTTATACATAAGGGCCCACCGAATCGCTGCTTTCGGCAGATCATTCATTATCCGATCCTCATCCCTATGGAACTTTATCCCTTCCCACATCCGTCAATCCAATACCCTTCCTACCTTTAAATCCCGCCTGTTCAATCAATTCTTATCCATCCAGTTCCCATAAAATTATAAATAAATACCACTGTAAATATGTATATAAATTATTAGATCGTACTTCATTATTGCTACTTTATTTTCAATTTTTATTATTAACTTATTTAAGTTAGAAAGTAACTTATAATTTTTTATTATGACTATTTCATTACTCAGCATTTTTTTTTATGCAAATCTGAGGCTCTTTAGATCACATTTCTGTCCTTCTGTATTATTCTAAAGGGTCTCATCCCAGAATAAATAAAGTATTATTATTATTATATATATTGGCTTTACAGACCTTGTAGAACTTAAAGTACCTTAGCCAGCCTCCCCACCTCTACCTATCTTGGGCTTTCCAGTTAGCAACTCTGGAGCATCTTAGAAGATTTTATCAATTCATTCGGGCTACCATAAGACCCCAACCCAACTTTTGTGGTTATCTTTATTTTTTATTTTATTTAATTTAAATTATATTTACAACTGTATACAAAAAAATACATCTAGTAAATTTGCACATTGGTATAAAGACATGGAACACATGTTGAGAAACTACCCATTGGTAGCACTCTAATAATATGTCTATATTAGAAGATCACGTGGCTATCTTCTTTTCAGACGCCTCGGAGGGTTATCAGGAATCGAATAGGAAGCAAGGTTAGAGACAAGAGGGTTGGGATGGTTATGAAGTTTATTATGGAAGGACAGATATCTGGATTGGGCCAAATCTGATACATAAGGAACATTAAGGTCATTATGGATAATTTTATTTGTAACAAAGTAAGGAGCATTGAGTTTGTGGTTATCAAAACCATAAAATGTGCATAGGTAATGGTTTTTCCTTTTTGAAGATTGCAGATTAAAATAACTCCATGACTATCCCAAAAAAAAAACAGTTGCCATCAGTTTCTCAGCCGAGAAAACAATTTTCGCTTTTTTTGGCGCCGGTTCCCCCTTTGCAGTCCACTGTTTGGATTGTATTTTTGTTTTAGGCGTATAATAGTGTATCCAAGTAATTAGAGTGAGCCAGCAGATTTCAAATGTGTAATGCTCGGATAAAGTCAGTTGGAGTCGACTAATTGAAGTGTTTTTGCATATGGATTAAAACATCTCAAAAACTAAAAATTGGACCTGCATATTGTCAGCAAAGGAAATATTCAACATTTCATCCACTTTGTAATGAGCTATAATTCAAAACTGTACCTAAACGGGATGTCGTGTTAGAGAGGCGAAAAGAAAAAAATAGTGCTACTAGGTTTTGATGATCGGATCAAAATTTTTGATACTTTCCAATTTTTTTCAATGACTTTTATTAAAGTTGTTGAAGAAATTTAAGGATCGGAATGGGGATTCATCACTCCTTTCCTTTCGTTTGATAACTCGTTCAACAAAATCCATTACTCCTGACAGCTAGAAAAGGGATCTATACTACCCCAATATATATAGTGTAGAAAATATAGATAATATACATAAATTAAACCTAATAATTTATATGTACTGTTGATCTTTTCCTCAAAGTGCACCATTATACATATTTTTATTACAATTATATATTATGAGTAATGTTTATTTTTTCTCCTAAAATAAGCATACAGTTAAAGAAGAGATATAAAATGATTATGTTATAAATGGAAATATCCGAACAACAAAATCACGACTCTCCAACATACAAGTGAATAATTAAATTACCAACGTTTTGCCAATTCAGGCAAGCATCATCATGGTCTTGTTTGGATGTTTCCATTTATTTTTTCTCTTCGCTTATTCGTGTACTTCTGACTATATCTTATATTTCTGATGTAATTTTCAATTTTTAACCCTGAGGATGATTCAAAAACTTGGGTGGAAACATCAGCAACAAGAATAAACACATTTAAACTGAAAAAAAAAAAAACTGACAATCTATCAATTTAGATAATTTTTAAAGTAGTCAACAAAATGTATTGCTGAAATTAATAAAGAGTTAAAAATTTAATTCAGAATTAGTCTAGGATATTTGAAAATGTGATGAATTAAATATCATATAACTGGGGTTCAAATGTTCTGAAATACCAAGTGTCAATAAGTTTCTGCCGTTTGTTATCAAAAGAATTTGTATGCAAAAAGCCTAAACAACAGTTTTTCAAGGAGACAGTCACAACAAATGACAACAACCAAAACAATAATGCACAAATAAACAAAATATACAATAAAAGAATTTTCAACAAAATGACACATACCACAGCTTACAAGACAAATCAAAAAAGTTTTCATAAATTATGACTTACCGGAGATTCAGTTTGGCATATATAACGATAAAAAATTGGGAAAATACTTGTCAAACACAAAAGATAAAATATAGGCATTGGACAAGAAAAATGTTGTTTATAAGTTAAACTGCCAACATTGGCAGCAAATATATATAGGCGAAACATCAAAAAAACTAAAAGCCAGAATATCACAGCATGCGTCAAACTGAAAAATAGTAAAAACATTAATATAACAGCCCTGGCAAACCATAGTATTAAATCACTACACTCATTCGACTTCAAAAACCCACAAATATTAGCAATAGAACCAAAAACAAACAATAGAAAACTACTAGAAGCCATATACATAACAAAAAATAATAATAAAATGGATACAAAACACTTAGGCACACACTATTCGGACATAATATACAATATTAAAATCCAAAAATAACAATAGACAATATAATCAAAACAAACTGCCATAATGAGGAATAAGTGGACAGGTACAAAGTGCAGTAATGGAACTGGAGGTAGCCAGATGTTGGTTGGTGTGATAATGGACAGAAAATGAATGTGTAACACCAAAAAGCATTATATTTAAATAGATAGGAAAATTATTGTATTTTTGACAACTGGTGCCATATCACAAAATCAAGGTAGATAATTATACAATAGATAGAGTAGATTAACAATGTAAAAATAGTTCATTTCAAATATGTATAATTTCAGTAAACATAAGGAATTCTCTGAGGAGGGGAAAATTGTCCCGAAACGTCAGATGTAATAGATGTGATTAAAAAAGACTAAAGAAAAATGCAAGTATATTTGCAGAGAATTTTTATTTACCTATGTGCATTTGGCCACACTGAAACCAACTTAATTCAAAAGTTAATCTTCTGTACTCGGGTTATCAGTCTACTTTCAATCCTCAAAGTGTATATAAAGCTTTTCATATCTCTTCAAACATGGCCAATTTCGTGTCCTCAAACCAGTTTTTGTGAGAAATTTACCGTACTATTTTCGACAAAATAAAACTGCAGCTGAAGGGTATAGAATCCACTAGTGGAAACTTACTGCAATCATGCTCTATCAGAAAGAACATGCAGAGAATGGTTTCAACGCTTTAGAAACAATGATTTAGATCTTGGAAATGACAACCATCCAGACGCCTCAAAAAAGTTTGGAGTGGTTACTTAGTAAAGAATCATCCCAAAGACAAGAAGAACTTTGAGAATCATTGGGAGACGATCAAACAACAGTTTCTAAACGTTTTAAAGCTTTAGGAATGGTTCTAAAGCAAGGAAATTGGGTACCGTATTGAAGTAAAGGGATGTCGATTGACGTTTATTCATCTTTGAATCACTGCTTCAATGACAAGCTCTGAAGCGAAAGTGAATGAAATACGAGCAGAATAACGATAATGTAATTTTACTGCATGATAACGTTCGATCTCATATTGCAAACCCGGTTAAAACTAATTTGAAAACGCTGAAACGGAAAGTTCTGACCCACCCTCCTTATTCACCTGACCTTGATCCTTTCAACGATCACTTGTTCTGATCACTGGCTCAGGGCCTAGCTGAGCCGTGCTTCCATTCTTATGACTAGAAACCGGATTTCCATGTTATTGCACTTTTTATTAGCTTGCGTGTAAAAACTCCGGACCCGAATATCTATCCGTTTCAAGACCTGTAGAATAACATATTTAAATTTTATATTGCACGTTTTGCCGTTTTTGGCTTAAATTGCGCGATTTTTATTTTTATTGCGTTAAATTGCAAATTTGAGCTAAATTAGACAATTTATGAATACAAATGTATAAGTGAGTGTGTTCATATTTATTTTACTATATTGTTCAAATTAAATTCATTATTCAAAATAGAAAAATATGAGGAAGGCAGATAATTATGTGTGAATCAAAAATCGTATTCATTACAAAAGGATGAAGTAAACACAAGTGAGATCTATTCTTGGAATAGAACTTGCCTAAAGTATTGGATAATAAAAAGCTGCTTTTCTAGAATTAGTTGCTTTTTTAATAAGGCATTTATAGTTATTGTTTTGGCTTTCAGTACCTCTTTCTGCTTTGAATTGATATAAATTGCATTCTTATAAAAAAGAAAAGTAAAATCTAGTCTCCCGTCAAAAATTAAAATCAAGATATAAAAATACCGCAATTTGAAATGTGAGGACAAAGAATTTGATGAGAAAGTTCTATACACCTTATGAAAAACCAATCAGATCATAGGAAATCACTAATAGATGCTCATTGTGGAACATAAAAGAAAAAAATATTAATATCAAAGAATTAAATGTAGAAAAACAGCTTCAACACTAATATTTTAACACTTGAAAATCTCAAACATTATAGTCTATTTCAATTTATTTTGTTTAATTCTTTAAACCTTAGCAAAAGCGTTTTGGAATGTATAATAATGGAAATTTCATCTCTAATAAAAAATAAAGCTTTCATTATTATTTTTAATAAAAGTTAAATATCTAAAATTGGTCTGGTCTCTATAATATACATGTACTTATTATCTCTGCCTTCATTTATTCCTTCAAATCTTTAAGTTTCTGTATTATTTGATAATATTCGTTATTATAATAGTTGATTATTATCTGCAATTTCATTTTCAATGTAACATTTCAATTTGTTTTTATATCTCTCAGTTAACTCAAGATCTGATAAGATTTGGATGTATTAATGTTTTAAATTAAATAATATTGATGATTTTACACGTTTTTAGGTGTTAATAACACAATTTTACGTGTTTTGGATTTTTTCTGCATGATTTTGAGTTTTTCACTGCATGTTTTCAGAATTTTACTGCACGAAAATGCGGTCTCTATTTATGATGAAACTAAAAAATGGATCGATGACTGGATTGCTTTCAAAGACATGTCTTTTTTCCAACATGAATCTGTATGGGAGAAAGTAGTGGCTATCGATGGACAATAATTTTAAGGACCCATTTTTTATAAATAAAGTTTTTATTTTATCAAAAAACAACTGGAACTTATTCACTCACCCTATATCATTTTTCATCAACACTTAAAACCAGAAATTTATCAAAAAGAATCATTTATAATACATGACTTTAAATACTTTGATTACTAATTTTTTAATTATGGTATACCTGATGAAGTTGAGGCAATAATATTATTTTCCATATCACAACTTTCCTGGAACAGTTCAGAAAGACAGTATTCATACAGAGCTCCAACCGTATTGTCGAGTCTCACTGACCTATTAAATAGATTTTTAGGTGAATTAATAAACATTTCATAATAATAACAGATAAACTATTTTATCATGATTCCTTAATGGTTTAAAGAAGAAATAAGGCTCGATATTTTATGCAAAATCTTATTAGTGTCAAATTAAAATTATCTTGCCAAGGGTTTCCATAAAAATTTGGTATACTTAGAAAAGTCTGTCAATAATTTTTTATTGAAATATAAAACAACCATAAGGAGCGTTATTTGTTTAGGTTAACAGTTTGTAAGTATGTAATGATTTTTTGAACAAATACCTCAATGTATTTTCAAGTTTGATGGCTCAAATCATTATTGAGATCCTGGTAAATAATTGTTTTGTAATAATTTAAGCTCAAAATGTTAACAAATTATTAAAAGGAATGTCTTTGGGTACTATTGAGTACTATCGCTGGTACTGCTCATGGCAGCGACCACTATTCCATACTGCCAACTGTTCATGCTTGTCTATTAACTGCTCACCATTGCAGCACAATCCTCTTGAATTAATATAATAAATTGAAATAAAAATGTTATCCTTAAACTTAAGGTTTTTTTTTTGTGTCATAAGGATAGCAATACATATGATGGTAGGCTTTCGATCTTATTTAATTAATACAGACCATTTTGTCTGGTCGTTAATCCTTTGAGACTTGCTTCCACCATTCAGCTTGTGGCTTCGTCAGTGCATTCATTAGTCCCCTGGAGCTCACTCAGTTCGGTCGTTCCGCTTTCTGACCACTTAGAAGCTGTCAGTTGCAGATTTATTCGGAACCCAAGGTACGTCCTTTCTCTGTTATTCGTGTAATATAAATGATCTTATTTATATTCTATTAGAATGTTTTATACATCAAATGAGTGTTAATTTTTCAGGATGACTCAAAATAGTATTTTAAACAAATTCAAAGGGGGAAAAAATCCATAGCACACAACATTATCGTTTAATCAAAAGGCAATCAGTAAATTAGCACTTTAGTTAAAAAAGCAAATTGATTTTTCAATGTCTGGATTTGAATATTTACCTGAGGTGAATATTTTTTTTATTATTAATTCATATAATGTCGTATAGATTTAGGTATATTTGAATTCCTCTGTAAAATACTTTTGGTGTAATAAATGATCTTGTTACTGCAATCTTTAAAAAACGAGTTAGTATAGTTTTGTTTAAATTTTAAACAATTTTTCATGACCTCATGAAAAAAATAAAAAAGCAAATGAAACATAGTAAGGCGATTGTTAACATCAAAACTCTTCTCTGATATGATAACATAACCTTTAATCATTATACTGCCAACAGCATCACTGCTTTAGGCATAGTCAGAAAGGAGCAGATATGACCTAACACCTAAATTCCTGAGCAGTGCCTACAAAATAGGTTTCTTTCTATTCCTTTTGCGTGTCTGTTTGAAAGTATGTAATGATTGTTTGTGACCAATGGCTAAACTGATTTTCAAGTAATAATTCATTATTTTCATGGAATCATGCATTCAAGAAAATTTTGTTAAAATATTCAACAAATATTAAACTTTAAATATTATTTGCTGGTTTCATATCATGTTATGTGTTAGTGTAAGTCCATGATATGTAACAAATATAACTTTTCAATACTTTAAAAATTAAAAAGGTTTACATAAAAAACAATTTTAATAATTAACTAAACCGTCTATGGAAATCGTCCATATTACAAAGGTGAAGTAGTGAGGTGTCTTTCACAACAATTTAAAGCTTCTTGCAAGTATATTCGTTCTTTTACATTTATATTAGGTTGTCTGGAATATAATGCAGGATTTAGAATTTTCTTTAAAATACCCCTCTATATAACAAACTGTTTATGATTACTTGATTATTCATTAGTATGAATGTCAACACTTATTAAGCCTCTTCTTACTAAGATGTAAACGTGTGATATTCGTATAATTTTGTTTTATGAGTTTAAACTTGGCCGGAATGGGGTTCAGATGACTAGAAACTTCAATCAAGTCTGCGGTGAGAGCAGCGTTAATAAGAGCACTGTTCAACGGTGGTTAAAAAAATTTCAGGGAGAGATTTCAGCCTTGAAGACAAAGAAGGTCGTGGAAGGACTTTCTCTCTTGATGACAATGTACTGCGGGGGTTTTGGTGGAAGAAAACTCCAGAACAACTGTTTCAGAACTTGCAGGGAAACTTAACCTTAGCAAATCAACCGTTGATGACCACCTCAAGGCGATTGGAAAAGTAAAAAAGCTTGAAAGTTGGGTTCCACACACATTAAACAAATGCCAAAAAAAACAGCATTATGAAGTTGTTGCTACATCAACGACACTTTTCTGTCCAGAATTGTTACTTGTGATGAAAAGTGGATACTTTACGATAACAGTAGATATTCTGGACAGTGGCTCGATAAACGAGAAGCAGCAGAACATTTACCAAATCTGAACAGTTTGTTTGTTATAAGGAGATTTCAGACCCAGAAAAAAATCATGTTTCATAAAAATTTAAAAATTAACAAAAATATACTAGAAAAAAAATCATGTTTCATAAAAATTAACAAAAATATACTAACTCTAAAATCTCTTGTGGGGTAAACAATCCAGATCCTGCGGTGGCATTCAGCATTTTTTTACCAGTCCCTTTTTTCTTCTCGGTTATAGACCTGTGAATAATATTTCTGTAATGAAAATAATATGTCTTAGTGAATATTAAATGTGATTAATAAACAAAATTTAACTTTAATTAATAATAATATTAATAATGCTTTATTTGTTCTGGGACGAGTCCCTTTAGAATAATACAGAAAGACAAAAATGTGGGCTAAGGAGCCTCAGAGAAACATAAACAAGAATATGGTTTGATTAAATAGTCAAAATAAAAAATAATAAAAGAAATTGTAAGTTACTTTCAAATTTCAATCAGTTAATAATAAAAAATGAAAATAAACATGTAGTAAAAATAATGAAAAACGATCTAATAATTTATACACATATTTACAGTAGTAGCTATTTACAATTTTATGAGGACTGGATGGATAAGAAATTATTAAACAGTCGGGATTTAAAGATAGGAAGGGTTTTGGATTGACGAATGTGGAGAGGGATGGAGTTCCATAGGGTTGAGGATCGAATAATAAAAGATTTATCGAAAGCAGCGGTTCGGTGGGCCACTATATATAAATCTGAAGACCAGAAATGGGTATTGCGGGAGTAGACAGAGGATTTAAATTGAAGGAGCTCGGAGATGTATGAAGGACGGCGGGAGTGAATTACTTGGAAGAGGAAGGATGCCAGGAAATACTTATGGCGGTAGAAAGGATAAATCCATTTTAACTCTTCATAGAAACAGGAAACAGGGGAGTCTCTTGGGATCCCGAAGATGAATCCTACGTTTTAGTTTTGCCTCGAGATCCCCAGAGATGCCCCCATATACCGTGCAGCAATAGTCAAAGTAGGGAAATATTAAGGAGGTGACCAGGAGTCTACGAATTTCAAAAGGAAAAAGGTGTCGTAGGTTATTTAAGTGTTTTAGGGTGGAAAAGGTACGTCGGGAGATATTGGATACATGGTTTTTCCAGAAAAGGGTTTGATCAAAAATTATTCTAAGGTTTTTGATGGTGGGATAAAATTTAATGGGATTATCATGTAGGAACAAGGTTGGAATGTTAGGAAGTGTTTTGAGGAGGTGAATGGAGCCTATTAGGATTGCTTTGGTCTTTTCCGCATTCAACTTCAGCTTGTTAGCTTCTGCCCAGTCATATATTCTATTTAAATCTTCTTGAAGCTTTTTTGTGGTGGCTAATAGGTCAGAAGGGGGGAAGGACAGGTATATTTGGAAATCTTCAGCATAGATGTGGTATTGGGAGTGATGGATCAGAAGGGGAAGGTCATTAATGCAAATAGCAAACAGAGAAGGAGATAGAGAGGAACCTTGAGCGACACCACAGGAGAGGGAAAGTGTCTTTGAAGGAGGTTGACCTGGGACAACTACAAATTGAGATCGATCGAAAAGGAAGGATTTGAACCAACGCAGGACACTGTTTGATAGAGGAACATTTTGCAATTTGGTAAGGAGGATTTTATGGTCAACTGTATCAAACGCTTTGGAAAAATCTAGAAGGATGAGGATAGTTAGGTTTTGGTGTTCAATGGAGTTTTGGAGGTCATAGGTTATCTTAAGGAGGGCAGGTTGCGTTGAATAGCCCGGTCGAAAGCCAGATTGGAATGGATTGATGAGGGAATGTTCTTCTAGGAAGTTTTAACTGGAAAGTTGGTTTTGGACAAGGCGTTCCAGTGGTTAGATGTAAATTAAACATTAGGTTGTGTTTAGGTTAGGTACCAAAAAGCCACTTACAACCTGGCTTTTAAATTTCAGAAGTGTTTATAATAGTATAATATAATATAATAATAGCATAAATAATTATAATAGCATCAATAAAACTTACAGTTTTTATCATTCAACAGTCAGCAAGAGGATCAGACCCTACTTCAGTTTAATAAACTGAAAGAATACCCTATCCAGCTACTAGAAAAGGTTCTTTAAGTTCTATAAAACACCAATACATATTTTTTTTTTCTTTTTGAAACTTACAACTTTTATTTGTACCTGTAAAATTTTATAATCAGCAAATGGGAGAAATGCAACATATATGGCATGGGTAGGCATGAGAGAGACAGCACCCAATAGTACATCCTCCTGACCTTCAGAGAAATTAATTATATTGTCACAATTAGGAGGTCCCTCATCCATCTCCTTTTCAGCCTTCAACGAGTTACATCTCAGAGATGTCAGTTATTGCCATACTGTATATGAATTTGTTACTATGTCCTTATAATTTGTAAAGTAACTATGCTATACACAGCTATTAGTCTGTGTAGTATCAAATATAATAGTCTCAGTCAAAAGTTTAGCATTTTACATTTTGTCTTTGAGTGTGGACACCAGCCCTAACCATGTCAAACTTTGGTCAAAAATAAGTTCTGAATAGGTTAACGTATTTGTTCTTACTGTTATTATAAAAGGAGTCTATTATACAAAAAAACAAAACAAAGAACTATTCTAAATGTAACCATAACCTCATACTAGTAACCATTTTTTTTTACCCTTCATTTGAACTCCCAATTCCAATAAATTTCAAAAGTACATAAAATATATAAAAAGTGCTACATGTAATTATTAAAATTAGATTTTTTTAAAATCTACATACTTTTCTTTATTCTGTTCTGAAGTGGTTAATTTACATCTTTTTCTTTTCTTTACTTTTTTTCCTGCTTCTATATCAGTAATGGTAGGTGAATCTTGTTTTGGTCTGAACCAAGAATAATACGAATATGAAACAAAAAAAAAATTATAATTATAAAAGTGATTCATAAATGTGTCAATATTTGCTACCAGCCCTAAATTAGTATAGCTAAACTAAAAAAATCATAATGATACAGATTTATTTTCATTATTATTAATAATAATCATTATTATTATTAAATTAGAATTATTTTCTAATTAAAAAAAAAAAATGGTATGGCATGGATCACACAACTTTATTTACCACTACTTAAATTTTTAAATGTAATCCCAAATGGATCTAGTTGTGCAGCATTTAACAGAAGAGAACCAATCCGCGTTACACATGTTTTGATTAGCTTCATTAAATTTATCAGGATAAAATACAAAATTGGGTTTTCGAATTTTAAACAAACAAAGCAGGGTCTCCCTCGGTGGTCATTATTGAGTCCACTTCTTTTATTCTAGCCTGATGATAGATGCAAAGCGATTCCCTGGACTAAAAATGTTATTGTTTGCAGATGACTTAGTTCTTTGGGCAACTAGTAGCTGCTCTGGAACAGTATCTAAGCAAGGTTCTGGATTATTTTAAAAATTGACGTGAAGCTAATGAAAATCTTTAAAATATATCAAATATGGAATTTCAACTATTTTCGCTAGTTAAAAAGGTTCTCCCTATAACCTTGAAATATCATTAGGAGTTACTACTAATGACTGAAGCAGCTACCTATCTAGGAGTAAAATTTGACAACAGATTAAGCGGGAGTCTGCATGCAGAGGAGCAAGCCAAAATGGAGAACAAAGAGAGGGGTTGACGCAAGATGTACCATCTTTGGCATACAAAAAGTATGTGCGACCATGTTTGGAATATTCGAGAGAGCTTTTGATAACAGCACCTGAAAGTGCTAGACAAAAATTAGAGAAGATCCGAAGCAATCCTGATAACAACAGGTGCATCAAAATCTACACCAATCACAGCTTTTTTTTTTGGGTCCTCTCCTTCCTCGCCTTTAAAGCTATATGGGGTTTTCCGGGGCCAGGGACTGAAGGCGGGGATTAAAAAGAATCCCCCGGCGGTACTATGCACACACCTTAGCACATTCGGCCACCCCGCCCCTCTCACACCAATCACAGCTATGCAACTACAAACAAATGTTGAGTCATTAGCAGTACGTAGAGAAATAAGCTCAATGAGTCTCTATGAGCGACTGAATAAACTGCCAATTAAATACTGGTCAAATAATAGGCAAACTCCATGAAGACTCATAAAGCAAGCTACATCGACATAGATATCATTAAATCAAGACTCAAAATCGGTTTTGTGCCAAATATAAAATCCTGTCATGCTCAAATACCATGAATGGGTTACTGTTGGATTCATAATTTCATGGGGAGGGAGGGGGAGGGGGAGGGTAAGCGAATCGTGCTTTTATTTTTCTTTCTAAAATAAAGTCGATACAAACATTTTGCTAGGTTTCAATACTGGAATAGTGGCAAGTCTGTAGTTCGATACAGGGCAAATGGGCTTAGAAAATTGTAATTCGTACATCAAAATCTGGATAGTTCCCTCAGAACTATTAGGCCTTGCATTTTTAAGCCTAAAAACGTACTATTTTCGAAATAATGCAAGGCAAAGGGTTCGCTTCCGCACAATCTTACGTTAATTGTAGTACTATCATGGAATACATGTCTCATTTCGTCGACTTAAGGTCTCTATGATCAAGAGAGGAGTTTATATTGTTTATCAAAGTTTATATTTTTTTTTTGTCGGTAAGCCATATCAGTATTAATTCTTCATGAAATCCCAAGATTGAGCCACCAATTTTGAAGGTTTCCTTCTCCTTCAGGCGGGAACTATAGTCCAATCGCCCCGAAAATTCAGGCAAAAAAGTTATGAAAAGAAAGAAGTGGCCATTCCCAAGGAATTAAGGTTTAGCTAAAGAAGGAACAACATTAGAGCAGCCAGATAAGCAGATACCATTCCAAAGGGCTAGAGAAGAAATAAAAAAGGCGAAACAGGTAGCTACAATTGCAAAGCAATGGAGCAAATTATTAATTGCAAAAGAAGAAAGGATACTAGTTGACCTGCCGATATGTTACTTTAATTATTTTCATGATTGATTATAATTTTAGATAGTTTTACTAATCCCTAAACATATTTGACCATTTTCAATACATACATAACATACTATTGGTTCAATAATACAGAGATAGTTACCAACAAAAAGTATCTTACATATCAGAAGTTGGCTTTACGTCTCTTTCAGTTGGTGTAATTTTGTCAACCTTTTTATTTACTTCAATATTTTCTTCAACAATATCCATTTTTGTAGAGCTAACAATAGAAGTATTTCTGATTCTCCAAGCTTTCACAAAATCAGGTTCTTCAGGGTTCATATCTAGACAAATTTAAAACAATTTTCAAATACAGAGGACTGCCGTATCAAATACAGTAATTGTGGAAAGGTATTGATCAAATTCAAAATAGTTATTACCTAAATCATTCATTATATTGAAGTTTTCCATTATGTTAGTGTAATTTTTTTTGTCATAGTCCGTGAGTTTACTCCATTCTTCATCGGTGAAATACTTCTTCAAATCCTCCAAAGTAGGTGTCCAGAAAGGATCCATTTTTCAAACAAATAATTTTCAGAACCTGTCATTACAAAAAACAATTTTAAAGTAACTCAAAAGGTAATAGTTTAAAAATGATTTAAATTAAAAAATATATACTAATATAAAGAGTGCCCAATATAAATTGGCTTAAATGCTTCTCAGAATAGTATTGCTTTATTGTATGTATTTAACTGGAAAACCAAATATCTTTATAAATATTTGGTACCTATAGGAAACTCTGATACTCAATTTTTTTTTAGCTAGGAGTTCATAGTTTTAATAATATATATAAGTTAATATTAATAGTAGAAATTCATACAAAAACAGTATCTGATTATTAGGATAGACCTTGAAATCAATGTGGCCTGCTGAGATAGTAATAAAAAAGGTAAAAGGTAACAGCCAACATTTCCATTTTGTTAACAAAACATTATACTAATGTTTTTGAAGTATAAGGGCCAAACTACTAAGGGAAACCGTACTCTACATCATCGCAGAGGACGGTTTTCCCTCAGCTAGTAAGTAAGGATAACTAACCATACCACAAAGCATTAATGTACAGGTGGAAGCAATTAGTGGGAGATGATTACTTCAACCTCCGCTAACGAAAACCGAAGAACCAGAAGATAAGTGGTAGAAGTATCATCCTACTTCTACCAAAAATTTGTATTGCCGAGAGTCAAGGAAAGAAGAAAATAAAATAATAAAAAAATGTAGAAGTGTTTTAACTATTTTCATTTCAGTATTATCTCTTATACATTAAGATTGTTTTTATAGCTTGGCTGTTATAATATACATTACCTTGTTTATTTCATACTATTTTTTTCATTATTGTATTACTTATTTGATACAATATAATAATTGGCATTATTTGAATAGTACGAACAATGTCAAAAAAAAAAAAAAATGCATTTTGAATAAATTATGTCTATCATTGAGATTATATATTCCAGATGTTAGCACTCAAGCAATGCTTGTGAGATAATATTTCAAGATATGTTTGAAAATTAACAATAATATTCAATTTAATTCTAATATATTACAAATTAAGATTTCGTTACTATACAAGTTTCTATTGTTAAACATTATTAGGTCTTTAGGATATCAAGATAAGTTACTTAACCCAAATCAAGACCAGCAGGGGTCAACAAAATACTTTTCATACAAAATGAAAAAAGATGATCTTGGGAAAGAGACTTTAATAAGTATCAGCAGAAAAAAGGGCTTTTTAGTCTTTATTTTAAATGTATACAAATTTTCACCTCTTCAGAGATAAAATCTTATTTTACATATATTGTGAATTTTCATTCACACCCTTTTGTACACTTAGCCATAGTACACAATAGAACTCTTTTCAGATTTTATCCCTAAATTTGCCTGAAGAGGAGAACATTTAGATAAATTTAAAATAAAGTATTTTAATTATTGAGACTAAAAAGGTCTTTTTTCTGCTGATAAACAATCAAAATTAAATTCAATTATTAAAAACAATAATTAAGGTTTTACTTGAAAGTGTTCACCATAAAGAAACAGAGCTGGGGATATAATATATAGACCAATAACTCAAGAATGAATTAGTATTCTGAAACCCTAAAAGACAATATTATAAGGCTATTTCATATTGAATCTTACACTGCTTATTAAAAATGAAATATAATAAACTGCCTAGGAGCAAAGACCAAGTGTTTTATAATGAAGGACTACTTGATATCTGGCGTAAAAGTGGTTACACCATTTAAGTAAAAATAATACCTTTATGTACGAAAAAAAAATAAAGTCTAGAAGTTCTACTTAGATAATAAATCAAAGTTTAAGCAAATAAACCATTATTCTGATAATGAACCTACTTTCGGTACAAGCGAAACTTGTTGGTCATGAAAATTAAAGCTGAAAGAAGTATCAATCATAAGCCAATATAAGAGGCCCTGTTATAAATCTCTGGACCAATAGGATCTCTGGTTACATTTTTGTTTCCGTGTTGATTATAGACTACTATAATAAAATATCTCAATAATTAGCAAAAATTCTAATTAATTACTTTTAAATATTTTATTATTCAAATATTTTTATACTTAATTTTTTTATTTTTAATTTAAGTTAAAAATATATAATATTAACAATCATGAATAAAAGAAATGTGATATGTAAATATTTACAAATTGATTTAAAAACTAACTTTATAACAAATATTATCAAAAATATTTATATTCTTGTTTTTATATATAATTTAGTTTTGAATAAATACATGTAGAATAGTTGCCAATGTTCAAAAGATTACTTTAACCAAATCGATGCATTGATATTGATATCATCCTAGAGGAGGGAACGATAGTCGATTGTTGGTCACTGCCGATGGATCGATAGTATCTATAGTTCAGTAGAGGGATAGTCAAAAACAAGAGAAATTAAGAATTTTTATTCATCTTCTTTTTGCTTAATTCTCTATTTACTTTGTAAGTACGCTTCATTGCATCAATTAATATTTGTTGGGTACATGTTAAAAGTTGCAATTTGTAAATTCTTTAAATAATTTAAGAAAATAGAAAAAGTCGAGATATTTGAAACTGTCTACTCAAGGGAACGATATCCCTTCTACTTAGATCCTGATGGATTTTTCAGCTTACTGTCAAATATTTTGTTTTTATTCATTTAATTGTTGGTTAATTTGTTTTTTAGAACTGTTACATGATGTGCAGACCCTAAGATAGGAGTTATTAAATTCTTCTAAATGAAAGAACATTAATAGGTTAATTGTCAAGTGATGGCAACCAATTTGTTTGTGTTTTCCAAGCTTTTCACTTGCACATAACTACTGATTGGATACGTTAAATGCATAATTACCAATTGTTTAATTTAGTTTTTATTTTTTTATGAAAAGAAAGGGAGAAATGAAGATGAAGGTTGACTGGAAAATATTGTTAAACTCAATGGTACCAATTAATGACTAACTAATATCGTTAACAGCAACTTTTTTTTTGTCATCCTCTTTCCTCGCCTTTTAGGCTATGCCTGGTTTTCCCGGGCCAGAGGGTGATAGCGCAGGATTAATGCTAGAGTTAAAAGTTCAAGTACGCGGACTCGTAATTATTTTATCGAAATATCGTTCATCGAGCTGGGCAATGCGGTACTGTGTTAGTCCTCTCGGCCACCCCGCCCCTTCGTCACTAGCAACCATTAAAGGTACTATTTCGCTGGCGCGGTCCACGACCGCGACTGCTTGCGGTTGACCACTGCTTTAGTGGAATAGAAAGGAACCTATTTCGCTGGCGCTGCTCGGCAGTCTAGGTATGACGTCATATCTAAGCTGCTCGTATCTGACTCCTCTTGAAGCAGTGGAGCTGTTGGCGGTTCAGCGGTTGTAGGTTATGTTATCATATTGTTTTGATGATAACAGTCACGTCGAAACGTTTTATTAACCATGTTTCTTTCAAGTCTGGCAAAATTATAACAAATATTGTTTAAAACTGAAACAATGCAATAGTAAATTATTTTTTTAAGGTTGAAGTAACAAGATTATTTATTTATTTATTTATTCCAACAGCAATATTTTACAACGAAATACAAATATACCTAAATCCAAATGATATTAAATGAATTAAAGAATCCAACAAATTTTATCATCAGGTAAATACTAAAATCCACCCATTGAAAAAACGATTTGTATTTTTTAATTAAAGTGGTGATTTACTGATTACTATTGATAAAACTATAAAACATCGCTTGCTGAGATTTAATTACAAATATATGATATTTATTACTAACCAATTATGTATTAATTACTATTATTTTTCAAACTAATAATATGTAATATCAGAGGAACTTTGATGATGAGCATCACATCGAAATACTGATATTCCTTCTCTTTATGAACAACATTTTCTCTTCTTTTTCCAACTCAAATAAAAAAGCGGTAGTCAGAGATGTTCACTATTATAGGAAGTTCATTTTTATTCTTATATTATGTCTATCTTTTTATCTTCAAAGATACAGCGAAATGTTCGAAGGTTATAGGCAGGTTATAACAACCCCAGTGAGCAGTTTCAGCGAAATAGGTACGTCAACAGCGGTTGGCAGGGGGAAATAGCGGTCGCTGTCGTGGACCGCGCCAGCCAAATAGTACCTTTAGGATCGCTGTTACAGGTTAACTTAGGCAGGCACAAATTTGCCCTTGGGCACACATGACGTCACGCGGAATAAACAATGCACACGGATTGGTGGCTCCTTCCCTAAGATTATATGGACTTCTTGTGTACCCAGATTTTATAGTGTACCCTTCCATTTTCACATGATTTTCTTACCATCTTCTTCAGAGCTAAATTGAACAGCATCTTCAGTTTCCATCTTCCTGCCTTTAACCTTTCGAAGGCTTGACACATGGGTGCTCTACTCCCCAAAGTCGATGGCGCATAAACCTCCTGCCTCCCAAAATATTTTATTATTCCCTTCTTAAAAACTGTGCAGTGAAATTAAAAAATCGTTGATCATTTACAAATTTTGATGGTACAACGTGCGCCATAAAACCATCTCCTAGGTACCCATTGCTTTAGATTCTTCTCCATGTATATTTGTTTTCGACACATAATTCTTCATGTCATTAATTATCCGTGAGTTCCCAGTTAAGTTCTGATCAGACTGTTCAGTCTGTCTCTCCAAGAATTAAAATGAAATGAAATGAATTGAAAAAATTAATTTTATTCTGGGACTACAGAAGGACAACTGCTGTGCTGCATATAAATTGATAAATAGGTTTAAATCAATTTTTGGAAATGCTCTTTCCAGATGCTTAAAATATTTTCTTTTGATACCTCCAGTTTGCCATCTTTTCCTTACATTTGATCGTTTCTAAATTTATAACATAACTTTTTTCCTGATGTCGACGTAGAATTAACATGTATTTCCAACCTAACAGTAGTTTTCAGTGGTTTACAGTCTTTCTTTTAGAAAATCTCTTATTATTTTTTAAAAATCATTTTGTTTGGACTTTTCTGGGTGTTGTATATTTGTCTATAGTAGCTTCATCAGTTTCGAATAAGCACAACATATTTTTCTTCTTTCATCTAAGACCTTTTCTGTGATTCACTTTTTGGCTTTCAGTTTTTCCTGAACAAATATTTCTTTTATCCATGTAGAGACATGGACATTAGAGAATGTCAGTCAATCCCTTTTTTTTTTTTTTTTGGTTACCACCTACCTCGCTATTTCTAGTATATGGAGGGATGGGGATTATTTTAGAGGTACGACCAAACTTTTTCTAACCAGAGTATGGATTGATTGGGTCTACCCGATCAAACGAAATATATTTCAACTCGTTCAGACCAGTTTCGAACCGGAGCGGTATTTCTCGAGAATGTTAAAATTTACACTTTAACACCATCGACCCCTAAGATTAAGGGTTCGTTTATTCTTTAGTTCAATTTAGAATTATGAATCACACCTCTTTTTTTTTTTTTTACTTGATCCTTGTTTTGTTTTATTTCCTCCAGCCTCTGACAGAGTTTGATTCTAATCAGAGTGTGTCACAGTCGACTGCAATGTAGTGATACTCCATGTGTCTTGAATGGAGCATATTCTTTTACCTATTACATACCATCAGGTGGTAAATCTGGTTCTTAGTATGTTTAAGGTTTATGTAGATCTACTAGTGGATGTCCTACTCAGCAAAAGGTAGACAAAGAGGAAGTTTTTTTTTTTTATTTATCGAAAATCGAAACCACTGCAGGTGTAAAATATTTCTATGAAAATAATTCGAGATTAATTTGTTTCTAAGGATGGGAGGAGGCTTGAGCGCAGACTTCGGGGAGGCGAGGGAGGAGGTCCCCCTGATAAAAATAGAGATGGGATGAAAATATCGTTTCACCCCCAAATATTTTGAAGAACAAAAAAAAAAAAATCAAAATCCATAACAATTAAATAAAATACGTATACTAAAATCAATTAAGAAAATTGAAAAATTCGACTAGAAGTTAAAAAGATAATAATCCGAAAAACCATGTATACGGCCTAGAAGTAGAAACCCAAATATTTTTACCACGTCCTATGTTCCTATTGTTGAAATTTTTATTTTACATTCAAAGATAATTAAATGTCGCAATATATTCTAGAATTTTATAATTCATTAATGTGCACACCATTTTTAGAATTAATCACATTTTCCGCTGTAATTTTGATGAATCGGAGAATTGAGAGTTCATCACTACCTCAAACCTTTAAATAAAATTTTAAAAATGTGATACATTCAATTGCTTTGTAAACATATTTTTAAATGTACCCATACCCCCCCAAAAAAAAAAACGAATACGTAAATATACTATTTTATTATTTGTTTTACAGTAACATATATGTATACATTTTTTTTTTCTCCCCTTCCTCCCCTTTTAGGCTATATGGGGCTTTTCAGTCGAATATAAACATTTTAATAAAAAAGCTGTTTTAACAGGAAAGTGATCAGTTTTGACATTGATTAATTATGAATTAATAATACAATAAATCATTAAAGTGTAAAATTCAGAAAAAAATAGAGTAAAAAAGGCCGAATATATTAGGGCGAACCGTCTCGATTAAGAACATTAGGAATCCCCCTGGTGAGAAGAGGAAATAAAATCTTGGTGCAAATAATTTTTTATTTTCAAACTATAACTACAATAGGTTAGTATCGTGCACAGGCGAATCTACGGGGAGAGGGAGTCTTGCGGCTAAATTCCGAATACCCCCAAATCGTAAAATATAACCATGTCTAATGAAAAAAAAATTAAAATAATCTCTAAAAGTTCGTGTAGTACTTAAAAAATCACTTAAACACTATTTCATATTTCATAGGTAATTAGTTTCTTTCTTTTCCTTCCTAAATAATTATCGTTATATATTTAAAAAAAAAAATCTTTCGGGCTGGAAGCCCCCAAAACTAAATCCCAGATCCGCTAGTTGTAGCGTGTTAAAAAACTCCATCGTAGCCACTAGCGGATCCAAGATTTAATGTTGGAGGGGGGGAGGCTGCAGCCCGACATTTTTTTTTTCTCATAAAAATAACGATAATTACTTTGGAAAAAAAGAAAGAAACTATCTACCTACATGAAATGGTGTTTAAGCGATTCTTAAAGTCATTTTAAATGTAATTACACGAACAATAATACTTTAATAGATAATTTTTTTCCATAAAGCATGGTTATATTTTACCATTTTGGGGGAGGCTTCAGCACCAAAGTCCCCCCTCCTCCTCCTCGTAGATCCGCCCGTGATCGTAGCTGCGATATTTAATGACTTTATATCCAAATAAACTAACATATGCACTTCTCTTATCATTTTTTTTTAAATTGTACTTGAGTAATAGATATTTTGAACAACAGTTATATAGGCAACTAAAGGGGTATTTTTTTTTTTCCAGCAGCTATTATTATTGAAATAAAAATCAGCTTAAGAAATATTGTATTTCATTGAAAATATATAAAATAAATCATAATATTAAAAATAAATTTCAAGATGGTATATTTAATAACAGTTTGAAGTCATGAAAAGGGGAGTGGTTTTTCCCTTGACGTAACCATCCGGCCTAAGGTTCCTAATGTTCTTTGCCTAAAGCTAAATTCATTGAGAAAAAGAATGTTGGTTTAGTTTCAATTCATTGAAATGTTATGTAATAAATAACCTGTTACTTTGTTTACAAATTCTGATAACTACTGCACTACCTGTCTCCAGCAAGGAAGGATAAGCTAACGGAGGTGATAATTATCGAGTAACCTTTATTTTTAATGATATCACACACATTAGCGTGTACAGATTATTTCTTACTTTTATTTTTTCAAATTGTAGGATCCAAGCAAATGATTTTTACATTTTCAATTTTTTTTTTTTGCTTCTGTGTACCTATTGGATTGCAATCAAAGTAATAGATTGTAAAGCTTAAGAAATACAAATAGTCTTAACACTTCATTATTTAGAAGTGCCATTAAAGATATTCTAAAAAAAATCTGGTGCGCGCAACACACAACTTTCACTTACCGATCTACTATGAATAGAAATTATTTTCTGTCAATGCTGGGCTATTGTAAACGGAGCTAAAGCTTAAAGCTTACATATAACAATTAATTAAGACCATTATAATTACAAAATGTCTATTTAATATATCGACAACAGGCAATAAAAATGTAGTCACTCCATCAGTTTTTATAAACCACACAACTTTCTTTGCTTTTATAAACTTCAGAATGACTAACTCCAATTTCAATATTTTTAAGTGATGTCATTTTAGTGATATTTTTAGTTGAAAAAGTTATCTATACAGAATATGAGTAAGTTGATTCCGGAGGTGGTGATTGCAATCTTGAAATATAGAACTGAGAATAAAGGTATACATTTAGGTACTTATTTCTTATGAAAAATGTTCTTAGGAAAGATACTTTATTAAATATCTGTAGAAAAAAGAATTTTTTAGTCTCAATAATTGAAAATGTATATTTTAAATTTATCCAAATTTTCGCCTCTTCAGGGAAAAAAACTGGAGACCATATCTTTCCTCCTAGTTATCCGATCTTAACGATTTTTTTTTTTGTTTTTTTTTAGGAAATTCCATAAACTTTTAAAAAAGTGTATACTTTTTGAGTTATTCGGAATTTAATTTTACCATCCCTCGTAACTTTTTTCCAGCTTTTTTTCGTTGAAGTATTATATAACATACTTTTAACAAATTTTTTTTAAAGGAAATTTCCTTAAACTTTTAAAAAACCATTACAATATCCACAAAAAGGTGTATACTTTTTGAGTTATTCGGAATTTAATTTTACCATCTCTCGTAACTTTTTTTCCAGCTTCTTTTCGTTGAAGTATGTTATATAGATAAATTTAAAGAGTGCCGAGAAAATGACTTTAGCACAGTTTCATTGAAATCGGTACATTCACTTAGGCGCTACAGTCTATAGCAACGCAGGTTTTTCTGCGTTTTTTTTCTCTCCTTTATTAACTTATCAAATTCTTTCAAAAGTTATATTTAGCATTTTTTCATTACTTTGAATAATGTGAAATGATCAACTTTTTAAAATAAACCATATTAAAGGTACTTAAGAGGAAGACGTATATGAACATTGGTCATTTAAGCCCTGTAATGTGACATCAACGGGGATAAGACCTGAATGATATTAAAGACCACTTAATTATGCAATGATACACCGAGTTTAATCAACATCGTTAGAGCCGTTTTTGAGAAAATTATGAAAATGTGTTTCAGCGTTGATATAAAGTGGCACTTCCGGTTAGCCGATTTTGAGGAGAAAGTTGCCGTCACATCTAAGGCATATACCTATTTTAAATACGTAATATCAGTTTCGTAGGACTTTTCGTTTTTGAGCTAGACTGCTAACATACAAACACACAGACCATTTTTCGGGACTTGGTCATTTCGACTCAAGGTACCTCAAAACGTCTATTTCCGTTGAAAACTCAGATTCAAAAATTTTCTCGATCGCAATACTTACCCTTACTATATATTACATATATACGTAAGTGAAAGTAAAAATATACAATGACTTTGTTTTTTTTTCGATATGTTTTTGTTAAATTAAAACATATGTACGTCAACTGGAGAAACCCTTCAAAACACATAAAAATTAAATCATGAACTCAAAATTTTAAGGTAAGTTTACAATATTAATTATAAAATTATATTCTTCAGAAATAATGAGTAAACAAAAGAGAAACGGACAAAAATATTGTTTGTTCTAAAATTATAAAATATTATGTTTAATAACTCATACTCAATCGAGAGATGAGCTATACGAGTTCTGAATAGAGTAGTGAGTGCTTTTGTATATCTCTCTGAAATGAATAAATTCGAAGTATTTTTTTTTAAAGATATTCAATCATATTTTTCTTAATTTAAAACGGAAATGAATACTTCAATTTTCGGTTTCAATTAATTGTTGTTATTTACAATATCGGGGGAATGTGCTTGATATAAATTCCACTTATTTATTCTTCTCTTATCTGATTGAATGTTGATTTTTTAAAAATTGAGATTCAATTTTTTGAGGAATTGAAATTAATGCCCGGAACAAAATTTTGTATAGGTGAGCAAATTATATAATAGGTTAAAACTTGGATTTTCTACTTTTCTCCTGAAAATTGGTCCATTGTTTACATAAACTTCTTTGTTGATCTAGAGGTCTGCCATAACCACCCCTACTTACGGAACACCTTGTATATAGTGTCAGCTTTAGGGCGGGACAATCGTCTGGGGGCGCCGACCTGGGGAGGGTGCTTATTTCGGGCACCGGCCGATCTTCAGGGGTACTTGCCACATGTAAAAATTAAAAAAGGTTACAAAACGTATTGCAATAATCAATTTTAGCCCACTATTAAAACAACTGTATTATATAACTTTTTGAATATAATAAAATTCAAATATTACATAATATAAAACAGCTTAAATTTAATTTTTTTAAGGAGGATGGAGATGACGTCATTGGCCGAGAGGGCGCTAAATATCTGCACTGTGTATATATATATATGATTTGTTAGCTGCAATTTCTTAGCTCCAGCTCAGTTAAAAATGCAATTCGAACATTTTATAATAGCCCAACATGGCCAGAAAATAATTTCTATTTTTGAGTTGAGCACTAAGTGAAAGCTGTGTGTTGCGCGCACCAGATGTTTGCTTCTAAGTTATAGAGGTGTTAAAAACAAAAATAAATCGCAAAAATCTGTTTTGGATTTTTTGCTGTAAAAAGATTTTGTCTTGGTAAGCCGCCTTTTTGTCTTTTTACATGTCTGAAACCCATATATACAAGTTAAAAAAAAAAAAAAACTTTCCCCACATTTTTCGCAATGAATTCCTTTTCGTTTCGATCCAAAAGTTACTGGCCTAATATTCTTTAAATCAGACGCCATTTTTGAAAGCAGAGGTTCTAGAATGGCAGCACTAGCGGATCCAGGATTTAATTTTGGGGGGTGAGGGCTTCAGCGCGAAAGATTTTTTTTTCGTATATATATATAACGATAATTATAATTGGTAAATGGTTGACTGTCGTGAATAATGAAGAGAAGAATAGTTGGGGGGATCAGTCAAATAAGAAGGCAAAAATAAATGATACTATTTATTTTGACATTAGCCGACGTTTCGACCTGAAGTTCAGGCCATCATCAGGGCTAAGAAAAGAACCAGATAACAAGGTATGAGAAACATAAGTAGTGTAGGTACAAAAAAATTAAAGTAAAATTCAGTTGTTAGAATAATGACAATAGTAAGAACAAAGAGATAAATGATACTAAGCTGTACAAAGTGTGGAATGTTGAAGTAAACATAATGAAGAAAAAAAAAAAAAAAAGTGACATAAGTATTAAAATGGGAATCCTAGAATAAAATGTAAAAACAGAAAAATATGAAGTTATATAAGAAATGGAAATAAACAGTAAAATTAAGATATTTTGAATAGAATAGTTAGATATGTGGGCGGGGTAGCCGAATGGGCTAAAGCGTGTGCACTGCACCGCCGTTGCCTGGCAACCTGACATATGAAACAAAGATATAAAAATAGTCACGAGTTCGCGTCCCGGTCCGGGGGAGTCTTTTAAATCCCCGCCCACACTCCCTGGACCGGGAAAATCCCGTATAGCCTTAATGGCGAGGAAGGGAAGGACCCAAAAAAAAAAAAAAAAAAAAAAGAATAGTTAGATAGAAAATTGAGATGTTGTAAAGTCTATCAAGATTTTATTTTATTTTTGCCTTATTTGACTGATCGCCCCAACTATTCTTCTCTTCATAACGATAATTAATTCGAAAAAAAAGAAAGAAATTAACTACCTATATGAAATGGTGTTTAAGTGGTCCTTGAAATCCTATTAAATTTAATCACACGAACAAGAATAATTTAAGAGATAGTTTATCATATTTTTTTTCTGTAAAACATGCTCATATTTTACCATTTTTGGGGAAGGTCTTCAGCCTGAAAGCCACCCCGTTGATCCGCCTGTGAATGGCAGACAAGGTTTATTTTACTAAAAAAATAACATAATATACATTTTCGTAATTTACATTTACTGTTAATGGCTATTAAATTAATATCAAGTTGTGTTTTTTCAGAAGATCTGGTCAGCCGAATTGGGAGGAAATGTACATGCACTGTCGTCGAATATTACAAGAATTCAGTGAGTACTCACAACTGCAAGGAGTGACCAGCAGAAGAGCTAGCTCCGACAGTATCAGTTATCCGGTTCCAGAGAGATCCAAGTCTAAAAAAAAGACAAAAAGGCCGAATTTGAGACCGAAGATTATGCCACGTAGTCGCGTGCCACCTCACCTGTGCCCAGCACCAACTCGCCCCCCTCAGCCGTCATGCTGTCCTTTCAAGGTCCCTCCCCCCAGCGATGGCAAGTGTCCGGGACCCTGCTCTAGGAGTAAGATAGGACGCAACGAGGACGAAATGTCATAACGATTACATTACAACACAATGTTACGCCAATTAAAAATTATGAACTACACTACACCATATTCTTACAAAATATACCACATATAACAACCCTAATCTAACAATTTTTTCTCTTGTTACATTAGAAAATAAAATAACAAAGATGTTAAATTATGCATAAAGAAAAAGATAAATATATAAGAAAGATATTAGGGACTATTAAAGTTACAGAAAACTTAAATAGTACCATCATAGATATTAAAGTTGATTCATAAAATATAAATAAATCATGTTAATTAACAAACTAAGAAATAAATAATGTACATTCTTCTTTTCCTTGATTTCTGATAGCATATTTTCATAAAATTTAAAGGTTTCCCTCTATTTTCGCTAGTCGGTGAAGTATCCCTTATCACGAATTTTTAGCATCTGTATAAATTTCGTGAATGGCTTCATGTTATTGTAACCTACAACTTCTTATCTTCGAAAATAAAATAAATTGGATGTTTTATCAATAAATAAATTAATTTAATGAGATACTAATAACCCATACATTCCCATTTGTTTTTATGTGAATCCTAGGTTAGTTTGATCACAAGATCTAGAAAAAAGATGGTCTAGAAGATTATTGGCCCTTTTGGCCTGTATAACCTTGGGACAGGTGTTAATGTTAAGAATTTGACCAGAAACTACTACTATAGTTGGTGATACATAACTGATTAAAAAATGAAGGGTGCTGAATTTAAAAAAAAATTGTATTTTTGTGTAAAGTCTTCTTCTTCTTTAACATCCTCCTAAGTACTTCTCAGCGTGGAAGTGCCCCGATCCAGGACTGTCAAGCTTCTCGATCCCGATTCAGTGCTTCAATTCATAGACTTTCCCTTCTTTACACCAATCCTGGATATTTCGTCCATCCATAGCAATCTAGATCTTCCTCGAGGGCAGAGTTCGGTAGGCCTGGTCTCAAAAAACTTCTTTGGATCGCGGTGCTCATCCATTCTACATAGATGATCAAAACATCCCAACTGTCTCTTTTCTACTGTTTCTCTCAAAGCTGGCACTACCAGGTCTCCTCGAATCCTAACTATATCTCTCATTGTTTTGCCTGCTATTCTCCGGAAGTAGTTCAAATCTGCAGCAGTAGCTCTACTCCACTGCATGTCCAGTGAGACTCAGCTGTCACTTGCATATATAACGGTAGTTAAGTATATGGACTTAAAGATATGTAATTTTAATATTTTCCAATTCCCTTTTTCTCACCGCTGTGCTGGTAGTATATGCTGTTAGCTTAATAGTCAAAATAGTCAAGTACCTTTTTCTTGATTTCGTGATAAAATTATTTTCCAATCCAAGTGAATAGCAAATGTGTATTTACGAGTTTTTAGTACCTAATTAAATAAAAAAGTTAGCTTCCCTCCAGATTTAAAACGCTACTATTCCAAGAGTTTTCATAAATAAAATAGTTGTAGGTTACGATGAAATGCAGATATTTAAGAACTTTCAGGCGGATGTAAATAATTCGATAAATAGTGGTCTGTACCACGGACTATTAGTAGTAGGATTTGTTTACAAATATCTTTAATTCCCTTTGCCTTATCTGACATAACAATAATGATACTTATACACGGTGGGCCAGACCCCCTTACCGTGCACCCCCCCCACATCCCTATAAATTGAATATCGTTGTGTTCCTTGTAACAATTTATTAAAAAAAAGCCAATGTTCCCACAAAAAAAAGTGAACGCACTGCCCCAAAATGGCGTCCAAAGATGGCGGATTGACGACTTTGACTTTAGTTAGTTTTTTGGTCACTGAGAATCAGCATTAAGCTTAATTTCCTCATAGTTGGTCTTTTATTAAAGCTGAATAGTTATAGAATAATAAAACATGAAGAAATATTAAAAAATAATTGGCTAAGGCTATGAAAAACATCAGTAAAGTCAATTTTTTTAACAAAAAAATTTTCAAGTTACAAATCAAGCGTCGTTTGTAATTAAACGGCCTACAATAACGCAAAACGTGCTGAAATAAACCATCTGGAGAATATATTTCTCTTTCTGAAACGCTGATTATTTTTTACAAATGTTTGAGTAGTTCCGTAAAAAATGCACTTATGCGGCAGAAAAGCGGTACTGGCGTGGGTGCCTACAGGCCTCTACCACACCATTCAGTGCCCATAAATGGCTTAGTTATAGTGATATAATAACATTTTTGGTACATTATATTGGTTTTATTAACGAACAAATATTAATGCAATAATTTAATAGTAAAAAAAAAAATTTAATTAAAAAAAAAATTTATTATTATTTTTTTAAATTTTAACCTCCTTTATTCTATACGTAGGTCGTTTAAGAATACCTCAATTGTAAAAATGGTATAATTATAATAATAAAACTTAATTAAAAAATATTTTGCTAAATATCTTGATTTTTTTTTTATTTAACGTTTGCAATTTAACACTGTGTTTTGAATATTTACTGATTCTTAGAAGTAATTAAAATTTTTATATACTTCCCAGGAAATGAGTCATATTCATACCTTTTTTATAAACTAAAATAATATATACCTAATCTGAACTATATATAATGAATAGCTACCGGGTTGTTTAGTAAAACTCATATATCACTAATTAAAAAATTAATTTTTATTTCCTCTATTTTGTGCAGAAGTTGGACTATATCATAAATAAATAGGAAATTTTAATATTGAATGAATTATTCTCTATGCACAAAGAAAGATATAAAGGGTGACCCTATAAGTTCTTCTATAAACCAAAACTGATTGTTTGGATTTGATCTCAAAATGAGGAAAAACGTGAACTTAAACGAGAAAATTGGAAAAATACATTAAGCGAACGAGAAAGGAAGTGCCAAAACCTCGGAATAGATAAAAAGGACCAGTTATATCCATTATATAGCTAAATGAATGTATAGTAGATAGATGAACAGAATATTTCAAGATGCTGCTAAAACGGGATCAATTGCAGTATGGATGATATTAAGTTGACGATGTAGGTTTATTATGGTGAAAACCACTTTATTTTCGATTGCTGAAGGTGCACATCGGGACTATATTAACTTTGAAGATGAATATAGAGATGTACATCGAGAAAGTTATAGCTCATAGCTTTCCTTCTGTTTAGTGGATTTTCAAAAGATTTTTTAAGGTATCTTATATTAGTTGTAGCTCGTTATTCTTCTCGTTATTCTTGAATTGTTCGGAATTTGTACCATATCATAAAAAAATAGGAAATTTTAATATTGAATGTATTATTCTCTCTGCACAAAGAAAGATGGAAAGGGCGAAACCGAACTGCTTTGACAGTTTTGCGCGTACATAGGCAACAAGCATATTAGAAAATAATATGAAAGGACTGTGGTTTTTACCTTTACAAGAAAGGAGGTACTAGGAAATGTAATACCCATCAAGACCCATTCCTGTTTAGTGTACCAAACAAATTATACACAAGAATCGTAGAAGCTGGAATAAGAAATATTGTCGATTGCCAGAGTGATATGGATTGAGAAACTCAAGTTGCACATTGGAAGAGAAGTTGAAAATTGGGACTGTCTTCACTTTAAGGCAGGTTATAGAGAAGTCCACATAAAAAGAAAAATAGCTCTCTATCTGCTCAGTGCCTCACACTTTGGATTATGCTAATATCTAACTGTCTTTCAGAAAAACTCGTTTTCCTTTTAGATCCCTTAAAAAATCTTTTGAAAATCCACTAAACAGAAGGAAAGCTATGAGCTATAACTTTCTCGATATACCTCTCTATATCCTGCTTCAAAGTTAATATAGTCCCGATGTGCACCTTCAGCAATCGAAAATAAAGTGGTTTTCACCATAATAAACCTACATCGTCCACTTAATATCATCCAAACTGCAATTGATCCCGTTTTAGCAGCATCTTGAAATATTCTGTTCATCTATCTACTATACATTCATTTAGCTATATAATGGATACAGGTCCTTTTTATCTATTCCGAGGTTTTGGCACTTCCTTTCTCGTTCGTTTAATGTATTTTTCCAATTTTCTCGTTTAAGTTCACGTTTTTCCTCATTTTGAGATCAAATCCAAACAATCAGTTTTGGTTTATAGAAGAACTTATAGGGTCACCCTTTATATATTTCTTTGTGCATAGAGAATAATTCATTCAATATTAAAATTTCCTATTTATTTATGATATAGTCCAACTTCTGCACAAAATAAAGGAAATAAAAATTAATTTTTTAATTAGTGATATATGAGTTTTACTAAACAACCCGGTAGCTATTCATTATATATAGTTCAGATTAGGTATATATTATTTTAGTTTATAAAAAAGGTATGAATATGACTCATTTCCTGGGAAGTATATAAAAATTTTAATTACTTCTAAGAATCAGTAAATATTCAAAACACAGTGTTAAATTGCAAACGTTAAATAAAAAAAAATCAAGATATTTAGCAAAATATTTTTTAATTAAGTTTTATTATTATAATTATACCATTTTTACAATTGAGGTATTCTTAAACGACCTACGTATAGAATAAAGGAGGTTAAAATTTAAAAAAATAATAATAAATTTTTTTTTTAATTTAAATTTTTTTTTTTACTATTAAATTATTGCATTAATATTTGTTCGTTAATAAAACCAATATAATGTACCAAAAATGTTATTATATCACTATAACTAAGCCATTTATGGGCACTGAATGGTGTGGTAGAGGCCTGTAGGCACCCACGCCAGTACCGCTTTTCTGCCGCATAAGTGCATTTTTTACGGAACTACTTAAACATTTGTAAAAAATAATTAGCGTTTCAGAAAGAGAAATATATTCTCCAGATGGTTTATTTCAGCACGTTTTGCGTTATTGTAGGCCGTTTAATTACAAACGACGTTTGATTTGTAACTTGAAAATTTTTTTTTTAAAAAAATTGACTTTACTGGTGTTTTTCATAGCCTTAGCCAATTATTTTTTAATATTTCTTCATGTTTTATTATTCTATAACTATTCAGCTTTAATAAAAGACCAACTATGAGGAAATTAAGCTTAATGCTGATTCTCAGTGACCAAAAAACTAACTAAAGTCAAAGTCGTCAATCCGCCATCTTTGGACGCCATTTTGGGGCAGTGCGTTCACTTTTTTTTGTGGGAACATTGGCTTTTTTTTAATAAATTGTTACAAGGAACACAACGATATGCAATTTATAGGGATGTGGGGGGGGGGTGCACGGTAAGGGGGTCTGGCCCACAGACTATTATCGGAAAGGTAAAAGTTCGTTCTTCGAAACTGTCTTGTTTGGTTTCATTGGCATTAGGTTTGTTTGTTCTAAAGGGAAGTAGTGCCAAGAAGGGGGTTTCATGGAGCAAGTTGCTCCATAAAAATATTTGAGGAGTGCATATTTTGACGAGTTTTTAAATTTTTGAAGGGTTGTGAATTTTCGGACTAATGGACAAGGGAAAGACATGGAACTGACCGCAGCAAGTGTATTTATATATGACATACAATTTTTCTAATTCTACCTTGGCTTACTCTGTTTTTAAGAAAGGTGAGCAATAAAATACCTTGGGAGGAGCGAGAGGGAGGGGAGAGAGGGGTCGGTTCTTGCGCCATCGATCTTGGGGGGATAGGCACCCCTGCTACAGCGTATTGAATATGTCAAATGATACTTACTATTTTCGATATATTTTGATTTTTAATTGAGACAGTTTGTTATAATACTCAATAAAGAAATAAAAAAAATTGAACAAAAAAATGCAAGCGAACTTTGGAGGTTCACTGAAAGATAACATACGAGGATGATTCCTTAACAGAACGCATTGCTCAAAAATGGTTTGCCAAATTTCGTTAGGGATATAAGAGTTTCGAAGATGTACTACGCAGCGGTCGACACACCGAGGTTGATTTGAGCGATATCACGACTTGAATCGAACAAGAAGTATTGTTACTGGTACGAGGAACAGCTTGGCTAGATGTCCCGCCTCGATGTTTGGGGGTCACAAAAATTGACTGAGGCAAACCTGGCCAACCGAGATTCAACGTGCACTCTCTTCTGAACCGGCACAAAACGGATCCATTCTCAACGGAATAGTGACGAGTGGATCATCTACGACAATGTAGTACGCAGGAATTGTGGACAATCGCTGACGGAAGCCTATTGCCATACCGAAGCCCGGAAAAGATGTTGCTCTGTATATGGTGGGATTATCGCTGCTTACTGTTTTTCCAGTTGCTTCGATAAGGAAAAAGGATTAATTCAAAGATGTACTGCACTCAGCTAACGAAATTGGACCAAGCATTGCGACAGAAACGCCCAGAGCCAGTCAATTGCAAAGATTTATTCCACCATGATAACGCTAGACCACAGCAACTGGGCTGGAATGTTTTATTACAACCACCGTATTCACCAGACCTTGCACCATCCGACTATCACTTATTCACGTCCATGCAAAAATTCCTCAACGGGAAATCGTTCACTGATGAGAGATGTAAATAACCTAATAAAGTTTAATGTAAATAACTTTGTTTTGGCGGGAATTGCGAATAGCCTTCCGCTTTTATATCGGGGAACTAGGTTATTTACACTCGTGAATATTAAGACAAAACCCCGGCACTGGATATAGATTTTTTGAGGGTATTTAACTGTTGTTGGGAATTTGGGAATCTAATACCTTTTGTACATGAGTGAAAAGAAACATGGGACTTAGTAAATACACTTTGAATTAATTGACTCACCTGGTTTGTTATTCTTCAATTGTGAGGCCTATGGGACAACTAAATAAATAAATGACTTTTCACTCCTGTCGAACAAAACAATTTATTTTACAACTGTAATAAGTGAATCTATTAATGTCTTATAACTGTAGGCTTGATATTCTTGGTCTTCAATGTCCTGCCTCTCTCATCTCAGGTAAAGTCCTCTCACCTCCGTGCCTCCAAGCCTCAAGTAAGTTCTCCTCTCTTCTGACAACCTCCTTTCGACCTGTATTATAAGAGAATGCCTTCTCTTATTCCTAGCGTCCTCCAACTGTTGCTACATGCTACATCCTTTTTCCAGCGTCCTTCGTTATCGATTGAGATGCGAAAAAGTATATCGATCAGTTTCGCTTCTAAGCCTCAGGTGTTTTACGAGAGCGGAATAATGACATTGTTAGAAAGATAACATTAGGTCATTAATAAAAACGGCAAATACATTTTAGAACCACCTCAGGATTGGCTTCACATTTATACCGACGGATCAGCTGAATCAGCCGTTAAAAATGCTAGGGCAGGAGTTTACTCGAGAGAGTTTCAGTTCAGTGCTGCGGTGGGTGAGGGTGGTACGAATTTTGACGGTGAGATAGCAGCGATCCTCGTAGCTCTAAGAACACTATCAGGAAGGCAAGTTCAGAACGCTGTTCTCTTTGTCGACTCGCAAGCAGCAATCCTCGCCATTACTGACGTGAATAAATGTATGTCGAGTGCTATCTTGAAGTGCAAATCCCTTCTCTACGATCTAACATTCCAAGGCACCAATGTGGTCCTTCAGTGGATTCCGAGCCATTGCGGTATTCCAGGAAATGAGGAAGCGGATAGTCTCGCCAGGTGGGGAGCAGAAATGCCACAAACAGTCCATCCAAAATCCTACAATTCAATTCGGCGAATGGTGAGAATGGTAGTAAAGGAGGAAACAAAAAATATTCACAAAGACAAAGTGGAAGGGAAACGTTATGGATATTTGATGGAAAACCCATTCCCAGCAGACCTACCAAGAAGAGATGCAATAGCCTGCTTCAGCCTGGCCACTGGTCACGACTATCTACAAAGTCATCTCCACATGATAGGCGTGGCTGATGATCCTAGATGTAAATTATGTGAACAAGCGGAAATGGATGCAGACCACCTAAACGAATGTCCTGCTTTGATATAAAGAATCAAACATATGTAAATGATTACATACAAAAATCAAACTTATATTGGGCAGCAAGATGTCGGATGGTCGAATGACCAATGACTATGGCATAGGAAAAAAAAAAATTTAAAATAAAATTTATTCTTTGTATGAAAAAAACATGTTTTATTTCACCCCTCAAAAACTGAACGAACTTATGGATCCATCCAATAATTACTTCAAATATGAATTAAAATTTTATAGAATAGAAAAATCAACTTTACTTTGGGACAAAGTCCCTTAACACGTTAGGTGCGGTTACGGTCCCGGGGTTCGATATTCTTCTGGACTACCAAATGACCGGAGTTGTCTCGAAATGTGTCCATCTTACGAATTCTCTAAAACGGTAATTTTAAAAAATATTTTAATGGAATTGGATAGATGTAAAGACACGAGCGTAAATAATCATTATATCTGATGAAAAGTTTTCGGACTCCGGGGACCGATACCTTACTAGACTGATAAAAAATGGTCTTACTTCTGGGCATAGTAGCTCTTGAGAGTTCATCTTAGACTGTTCTCCTTGCTTATTTAACATGTATAAATATTAAATAATATACAAATAAATAATTTATAAATTATATCTTGAAAATTATAATTATTTGTAATAAATAAACTTTTTCTCATTTCATTTTCAATATTTAAGATTTATATAGCTAAAAATAACGCTTGTTTACTAACATAAACATAAATAAAAAAACTTGTCATATAAACGGCATCGGACGTCGGTTTGCACTCGTTTTTGGTGATTTCAATCAATTTCCACAAATTCCGAAATAAAAATCTACAGGTCCTCTATTTTTGATCTTCTCAGTCAGTATGAATCCGTCATTGTGTGCAATGCTCTTTCTCTCACAACTAAATATGAAAACTACATCATACAAGCTATTTTTCAATACATATAAATAACGTAGGATAATATAATATATTTGAGGTTGTAACCTTGAATTTTTGCACCAAATATCCCAATTACCGTTCAGTAACATTTTCAGAAACATCTGATCTTTACACTTAGCCAATCTGTAAACCTCCCCCGTTTTCAAAGTAGGTTACAAGAAAGTAAGGTAGAAAAAAAAACTTGTAAACAATAAATATTGATTAAATTTTATCATAAATAATGAGGTATCATTAACAGAGAGGTATCAAATTTTGAAATAATCGATAAGTGAAGTGTTAGTGAAAAGTTAAGAAGCTTTCGTGAAAAAAAAATATGTGTTAATGAAATATGTGTTAATGAAATCCGTGTACATCAAAGTTGCAGATTCATATTATTTGGTATAGTTTTATTTTATCTTAGTTGCATAATATGGCAAGCTCATTTACAAAATTTAACATTTACACACAATTTTATTTTGTTAAGGAATCATCGAAAAAACGTTCTTCATTTAATTGAAATTCCTGACGAAGATATTTCGAAGAAATAAATCATTACTGTAAACATGGCTATGAAGATAAGGTTATGACAAACTTTTTTTTTTAAACTATCTGAAATCTTATTTTTTTTAATGATAAAATACAGCTATTGTTTTTCTTGTAACAAACGGTTGTGAAATTTAATATGGTAGGTCTCAGTGCAAAATCGAGTAAGAAGACAAGTTTTCATTTTGGGTTATTATATGCTAGTGTGAATATCTCATACAATGAATTGTTGATATTTGCTATTTTATAGTATATGGCTTACAAGTACTTGCCGATTATTACTATTATTATGGCGTTACGGTCCTGTAAGATCCCAGACCTCCTCCACCACAGCCAACCAATCCCCACGGTCTTGTGCTACTTCTTCATCTTCGAACGCCCAGCCGCCTCAGATCGTCCTCCAGCCATCTGATCCGAGGGCGACGTCTATTTCTTTTGTCATCCGGCTTCTCATGCAACATCCTCTTTGGCCGGGAATTCTTTCCACATGATCTAACCATCTGATTCTCTTTCTATAAATGCCACAATATCAGATTCTCCATAAAGTTCCATATTCTTCTCAATGTTTTTCTCTCCCAGGAGTTGAGCTTGCGTTCTGAGTTTTTGATTAAGGTCCAAGTCTCACACTTATTATACATAACCACTGGCATTACTATGGTTTTATAGAGAAGGATTTTAATTCTTTTAGAGAGTGATATGAATTTCAAGTCTCTTTGCAGTGAGTAATAGCATCTATCTCCTGCTGCTATCCTCGCCTTCATTTCACTATCTATTTTATTATTGCATGTGACCAGGCTTCCAAGGTACTTGAACTGGTCAACAGACCTAAAGTTGTGATCCCTTAAAGCTGTTTCCGTATTCACTTCCTTTTCAATTTTTGAACTTTTCATGTTCACCGTCTAATTTCCATTAACTCTAAGGCACAGTTTAGCCGCTACCTATTCGAATTCCTGATAGTACTGCTTGGGTTCTAGAGATATTGGCAACACTATCAGATGTTGAGACAGACGATTGTAGATTGTACATACCCCTGGATTTTTTCAAATTGAACTAATAGCCACTTCCAGGGCTAGATTAAAAAGAAGGGGAGATATAGGATCACCCAGTCTCAATCCACTATCATCCTCAAATTCATCGGACAGCGAATTTGCAAGTTTCACTCGACAGGTAGTTTTCATTACCGTCGTTTTTGTAAGTCTTACTATGGATATGTCTACACCTATTATGATAGATATTTAGATCTATGGATTTCAAAAGATCTATGCATTTCTGCACTGAGGTCCAAAAAGAGGAGGTTCTGTGTTAAATTTACAACATTTTTCCATTGTCTGTCTCAGAGATAATATCTGGTCAACTATTGGTCTTCCATCCCTAAAGCCTCCCTGATATTCTGCTATGACTTTCAGTGAAATCTGTCAGTCTTTTAAGTAGGAATACTGCCAATATTTTATTGGTTGCACTTGATAAAGCAATAACTCTATAATTTTCATATAGTAGCTTGTCTTCTTGCTTGTGTATTGGACGTATTGCTGCTTTTGTCCAATATTCTTATCGATTAAAAAAAAAAAAATTCACTTTGATATTTCTATATTTAGCGATATTGGCTCTACTAATAAGTTGGAATTGTCAGTAAAGCGGTTTTAAACTGAGATCGATGATTTATAAATAATTCTACAGCACAATATAGGCACCATCGTTTTTTTTTTCTTTTTCAGAGCGCAGCCAAATCTCAATTTTCCAGGAGCTAAGCGGTAAGTTTCTATTTTTAAATATGGTACTATTAATATTCTCACATCTTCAATAACGTTAGTTATAGGTATATTTACTTTTTGGACACAACATTATATATGTTGAGACAGAATATATGACCCTTAGTCATATCATTCAAGAAGCTTTGTGGCTTTGAGTTTATTTAACGAACAGTCTATTTAGTGATAGAGCGCGTTTATAAAAACCTACATTATTTTATGGAAATGATGAAATCATTTTTTAAAAATATAGATTTATAACATTTATATTACAAATATTCTAAAAATATTACAAAAAAAAAAAATATTTACGATAAAAGAGTCTGCCAGTCATATCTTGCTACCCCTAAATCTGGCAACTGATATAAAGATTATTAGGCCAGTAACTTGAGAATCGAAACGGAAAATTCATTGCAAAAATGTCGGAAATATTTTTATTTCTTAACTTACATACACGGGTTTGGACATGTAAAAAACAAAATTACTAATATGGGTCACCAAACTACTGAATAGTACATTATAGCGATAAACGTATTATTTAAGAAATTAAAGAACGTTAAATTTTGCGTCGAACGAGTACTTAAACTTATAAATTTGTTTAATTGGTATGGTCGATAAACATGAGCAACGAACGCTAATTTTGACCAAATTTGTCAAAAACTGAAATAAATTACTAAAATGACACTGCAGACTGGAAATGAATTCTTTAAAAGAAAAAAATTATGGATTATATTCGGATTCCGATCGTATTCATATACCGATAAAATCGGAGACCAAATAATTACTATCTTCCTTCAAGAAAAAGTTCCCTACAGCAGCTACTTTAAGAGAAGAAAAACAAATAGAGCATTTATAAAAAAATAATTTAAAGAGAAATATACAAATTATCATCGTGACCAGTCAAGCCAACTTTTTCTGTTTCATTCTATTATTTTTTTCACAAAAACTCGTCGTTCGGCTAAGGCCGGGCGCGAGTTGAACCACAGCCTGGTGAAGTAGCGTGATGGGACAAGTGGTAAAATTCAAAGAACTGGTGACGATAATAAATGTTTCTCCCTCAATAATAAGAATAAGAATTCTCCCTCTATTCCTCTCTTCCTCCCCCCCCTTACTACCTTGCCTTTTAGCCTATACTGGGTTTTCCCGGATCGGGGAGTGAGGGCGGGGAATTTAAAATATCCTCCGGCGATCACTATATCACGATATATCACGATAATATATTTTTTTTATATAGCATTTGAAAATTCTTTTTTGAGGATGAATTCTTTCTAATTTTTTTTTTCTTTAAATAGCTGTTTTTTGGAACTTTTTTCCCAGCATCCAGGGGAGGGGAAAGCGCGCCACAACGGCTGGATCAACTAGTAACTGGACCAATATTTTCACACTCTTCTTCGATATTTTTAAGTATTCCATATGGCAACTTGTTCATTTTTATTATAGATCATTAATTATTCATGAGTGAAAATTCATAATTATTAATTATGAAGTAACCAATCAGCGCCTTAGAAACCTAAATAAACAAAGTTACAGAGCTTCTTCAAAACATTTTTAAATACTAAATATTTTAATATCACGCATCGTTTTATCATATCTTTAGGGTTTGTTCGTTATTGATGCAGTGACCTGGGGATGAGAGATCGAGGTGGAGGTGCATCCGGAGGGAGCCCGACAACAGGGCCTTGTGATGTTACAATTAAGTGATAACATCAATGATTTTCTTTTTGTTTTTCAAAAAGCCTTAACAAATAAATCCCTTGAATCCAAAATCTCCGTGGTCCTACAACGTATGGAAGTTCTTGATTGAATGTTACTAATGTTTGCCATATGATGTTTGTTATAAGTAAGTCATTCCCATCTTACTCCTGAAAAGAACCCTTTTGCCGATTTAAAATTATCTGCATATTGTTAAATCTATCCATATGTTAAAAGATCTCACCCATTTTCTGTTATTATTTAAAAGTTCTGTTAAAGTTATATTAATTCATTTATTAAGTATTTTATTCAAGCTGAGTTATAACTATTTGTTATTTTAGGAACGAAGAACTCCGGAGAAAATTCAGATCTTTTTTAATTTGGTAAGCTCCTCAGTACTTTGTTTTCTAGATTATAAAATATTTAGATTCCTATACTTTTGCTATACCTCTCAATGAGAACAACAGAATAATTTAAAATTTTTAAGTTAATAATGGTATGGATAAATAAAACATCTGTGAAGAAATAAGCATTTTTTCTCTACTTTTCTTCCCTTTCTTTCTCTCTCTCATTTTAATCCTTTACGGAATAAAAGAGTCTACATTTGGACCATGCAAGTTTATTCTTTTCAACGCTCGTATCTTTACCTTGTTCCCTGACCCTATTGTTTCCTTACTACCGAAGATAGAGAAGCTTTGTATTCATGCGGGAGATTAAAAAAAAATTTGAGCTTGGAATCGAAAATTTTCACTTGCGTTTTATTTGGTTCGGTGTCTGTCGGTCTGTATGTATTGTAGTCAAATCGATGTGACCGGCATATCACCTACTGCTGTTTTTATGATTTCTATTAAATTTTCACTAATTGTGCGGGTTGGTGCCTCTTTTGGTTGATTGATGGTCTCATATCAATTTCATTAAATTTCGCAATCTTCTGGTTGCGCTCGCGCAAATGTATTTTCTTAGATATGCCAATATTTCAGAAACGGCTCGATCGATGTGGCTCAAAGTTGAAAGAAAGGTGGGAATTGGTAAAATAATGATGATTTATCAATTTTATTGAATTCTATACAGCACTTCCGGTTGCGTAACCAAAAATGTATTTTCCTAAGTATACTAATGTTTCGGTAACAGCTCGTTTGGTTTGGCTCAACGTTAAAATAAAGGTAGCTATTGGTAAAATAATGAAGCTCTATCGATTTCATTAAATTCTGTACGGTACTTCCGGTTGTGCACGTGAAAATGTATTTTCTAATATATACCGATATTTCAGAAACGACTCTTTCGATTTGGCTCAAGGGTAGAAGAAAATTAAGAATTAGTAAAAGTAGTCGTAGATATAGGTAAGTATGGAACCAATGAAAATGGTGAGGAAGCTATAATTTGCAGAGTTTGTTTTTACAAAATCACTTCTGGAGTCTTCGAATTCAATGGTAATAAAATCAGTGCTTCTCAAGAGATACTCCAGTGTTCTACAGAGTTTGGCTTCAAACGATTTCGGCTCAGACTAAATCTTGCTTCTATCCCCATCAAGAAGAAAACAACTGTGAAGAAGATGCACAGCTGTTTGTTCTCCCTTACCATACTTACTCAAGGGAATATTTCCAGTTCTGATTTTTTTGTAAAGGTGAGCATTGTGGTTAGTCCTGAGCCTGAATATCATGACTTATTCTTTTCTATTTTGTATGTGGTAGGGATCATGGGGGTTGTTGTGAAGATGTTTGGTAAGCAGTCTTTGGCCTCTCACAGCTTTGTTTATTGTTTTTCTCTCTACCTTTTTCCCTCTTCGGATCATCAAAGATGGATATCAAATCACTCTTTTCATTTGGTAGTAATGTATTTTAAATTCAATTTTTGTAAATGAACTTTAATGCTATATATGCATTTATAAAACATTCACTTTTTGGACAAAAATCTAATGTCACTTACACTAGTTTTATTTTGATTCTAATCCTTTAATTTATTAAATGACTCTCTCTATTTAATGTTAAATTACAGATTAACTTTAATAATTTAAGTGACACCAATCTTTTTTATTATTTTGATTTTCAGGGAAAATAAACCTTTTTCTGAAACAGTTTCTACCTACAGGTAAAGATGTATATAATTAATAATAAATAAGAAAAGCATTAAAAAAAATTATTAAATAACTGGTTTATATAATAATGAAAAAGTAACAAAAACTACAGTGAATGATAAATTATCCTACTGAATGTATTTTTCAGATTTTTATTTCGATTTAGTTATATTCATGTTTAGCTGACAAGAAAACATCTTAAATCACACATTAAATGTGTAAATTGTTACAGTCAAAAAGTATGTATTGATTTAACAGTTTAAGTTTACTTAAACCACCATATTGACCGTTAAATCACTCCTGTAAACCTCTAAAATTATTTATATTCTTGAGGGTAACCTTTTGAATTAAACTCTGCTTAAAAGTTTGTTTGCTCATAATTTCTTGTCATCTAATATTGCATCCTTTTTTTTTCTTTTCCTTAAAGTTTATTAATATTGTTCGACATTGTAGGGGAAGGAAGAGATCATGTCCTCCTTAACTAAACTGATAAATTAAAATATTACATTAATAAAAGTTTAGTTAAATATAACAGAAGAAAATTTCTCTATGTCGGATCGCGTCCAGAAATGACATGGGTCCAACCGGACTAATGGATCTCACAGATTCTCACCATTACCACCAATATACTAGAGCACATAGTTGTAGCTGTACTATCTTTGAAATACTTAGGGCCAAATTGATGAGGGAAATAAGGTATTACATCTTGAAGGAGAATGATTTCCTTCAACTAATGACTAACTAACTGAACTACTTCGACTTAGGAACTTTGAGTATGTAGAAAGTAGTTATGAGTTCAATCCATTTCTCCTTGTGCTGGAGAGAAACAACCGTACCATAAAAGCCAGAAGAGGAGAAGTGATCAAACTGAAGTATAAATAAAAACAGACTGTGTGTACAGCATTTTATAACTATGTAAAGAATCGTATATTATCCATACATGTGCATCATCTCACTGCTGCAAACAGCTGTATTTCCTTAACGGCGATGCAGGAATGAAATAAAAATAATAACATTAGAAAACTTGTAAAGAAGTTTTTTTAGAAATTTTGAAATGAAATGAAAAATTTCTTTATTATCCTAGGACAAAGTCCCTTAATTAAAATTAACATATAGTGGTCAAAACAGTTTGGTCGGACTAATGAGTGTAATCACGAGGAAAAGACTTTATACAGTAATTAAAACAAAAAAAAATACATTTAAAAAAACGTAAATGAAAATATTAATAGTAATAAGTATGTGGAAAATGGCATTAAAATGAACTATAAGAATTTAGTATAAAATAATATTAATTACCCTTGGCAAAGAAAAGGTGATTGAAGAGGAGAGCTTTGAAGTAGGAAACCGTAGAAACATGGCGGATGATAGGTAGAATATAGTCCAAGAAGGAGTCAGCTCGAGTAAAAAGGATTTGTCAAATGGTGAGAAAGGGGGTAGAAGTCAGAAGGGTGAGTCAGGATTTGATGGAAGATTTAAATTAATTTAATTAATAATTAATTTATTGATTATTCGTTGACAAATAAATTCATTAGTGTTACTTTATTAAAAATATATATTTAATCAAATATATATTGTGATGCAGAGATAGCACGTTCAAATTTATATTAACGTAATGGAGTTCTATTATACTCATCTTCACCATTGGATTATTGGAAGCGAAGGTTTTAAAAATACTGGCAATATAAAAATCATATGTCAAGAAGTAATCTTGATTTCGTCAATATTTTCATAAATCAACTATGATAGTAAGAAAGAAAGAAAGAGGAATAAATTTATACAATATACAATACCATGTTTAAATTTTGTTCTTGGATATTTAGTTTCCTCAGAATAATTACGATGAACAAACGAAGTGACAATTGTCTGGCATTAGTATACAATTAAAAATTGATTAATTTACAAAGTTAGCTAACCCTAATATTATATTGAGGAAAAAGCTCCAGTTGACATATAAAATTACAAAACCATATATATAAGGGAGTTCACTCATTTATATATGGATAATACATTTACATATCTGTAAGATAAAAGTAGAATGCGGCTAACGGCTCTAAAATATAAAAAATAGTTATTTTTACATATATTCGGAAGATCGATTGCTGAGCATAAACAAATGGTGTTTAAATGAGGTTAAGGATGAGGATTTCCGTATGGAAGTGGGTAGGGAATTCCAAAATAAGGTAGCACGTCTGACGAAAGAATTTTTTAAAGGAAACAGTTCTATGAGAAGGAATAAACTGGTTCGGAGGTTGGGATCTCGTATTGAAAGAATTCGAGAAGGTAAGAAGGTTTTTTGGTTGTAAAGGTTCGGAAAAGGCGGAAAACTAGATAGAGGCACTTCAGCTCGGCAATGCAACTGGAGACTTGGAAGCTCACGGGTCTTCAAAGATAAACCTAATGAACCATCTCATTAGTCTCTTTAATCTGACCTCAAGCCCACCGGACAGTCAACCGTATATAAGGTAACCATAATCGAAGTGGTGGAAAAAGAGAGATAATAATAAATATGTGAAAAATGGAATTAAAATGAATATTTTAAGATTAGTTTAATTCAAACCATCGTTTACTCAAAATTTAGTGTTTGTCAATTATACCCTTTTGCTTCTAGGAACCTCTATCATAATAATTTGAGATCAATTATAATACTTCTCAACACTTTTAAATTATTGTTATGTTGCTCTTTGATAGCGCTTTATACAGGTTTAAAAAAAATTAATAATGATATGTATTTTTTAGAAAACGTAAGTCGGATTCTCACGTAAAAGTTGATGACAGACGGTAAGAATTTTTTATTACTAGATTGTAGAGGTATTTAGAAAGTAATTGTAACATCTAGCGACTTATAATGAATGTTAGATTCCCGTTTGCAGATAAAATCAAAATAATTCTTGTTCGTAAATTAAAATATCAATTATATTTATTAATAAATCTATAAGCTCGTGATGACCGAGAGAGTAAGGCGTCATAACCTTAGGAACTACGAGACTAGCTGGACCGGTTCGAAATTTATTTTGTAGTGGACCTATGGAATAAATCTCAACTGTCCCAATCTGGGTAGAATAGGTTGGTTATGCCCGTGAAACAACTACCCCATACGCCAAAAGTGATCAGATAAGAGATAAAAAGGGGAAAAAATGCATTGATAAATCTATTGTATTTATTATGCTCATTTGGTAAATTATGGGTATTTCAAACTACCACAAATTTCTTTGATAAGATTATGTGCATTATCAGTTAAAATAACTTAGTTAGTGTTAATAATGGTTATGGTTTCTTTAAGAAACAAACACAGACAATACAGAAACGTTTATTGTGGAAGAACACTACAAACATAAAAGCCATATCGATGGATTATACATTGTTGTGATCACTGACGTCACATCTGACAGTGTTGCCTGTAACAGTGTTGTAGGTAGAATATACAATAACAAATAACATCAATTAATTAATCCTAAAAGTTAGAAGAAGTATTCTATACTCTAAAAGCTTGAATGATTTAATCAAACAACAATCACAAATTGAATTAAATGACAGCATGGCCATATTCAGCTCAAAATGGAAGGATGAGAAATTAATTACTATAATACAGAGAGTATATTTATATATATTTTTTTCATAATTAATTTCTTTCAAAATGTTGAGATAAGACCAAACACCATGACATTATCAATAATTTTTTTTTCAGAAATTAGTATTAGTATTTTTATTCAAAGAAGGTGAGAACCTTGCCTTCATCTTGCTAAAGCTCAAGAATAACAGTAATAATTGTCATGTCTGTAGCTCTCATGGGTTAATAGAGATTTAATTTTTTTCTGACGTACAATTAGCTATTTGTAGACGATACAAGAGTCATTTTTTTTTTTTTTTTTTACCACTTAGTAATGGATTAAACTCATTTTTGTTCGGTTATTCTGGGAAATTCCAAATTAAGGTCTCGAATCCCTCGAATAGTAGCAGAAAAGTAAATTATTGTAGAAATATCATGTCTGGCTTCAATAGCTTCAAAAAGACTTAACAAATAGAGATAATACACCACTCGTACCCATTTTTACCACATCAGTCGTTTGTTCCATCGTCATAACTCAAAGTTCACAATTTTCTAGAATATGTACTTAAAATATTAAATGTTTTATTAATTTAAGTCAATCGATGCGCTAGCAATGGGTTAACGGCTAGCAATGGGCTAACTTAATGGTCCTAAATAAAAAAAAAATATTTAGTTGTTCTATTGTATTATACGAATACAGTAGTTAATTTTTATAAATAAATGAAAATAAAATTTAAGTAAAAAATTTGTTGTCCTCACCTTCCTCGCCTTTTCGCCTATACGGGGTTATTCCCATACCAGAGGAGAGGGCGGGAATTAATGTCAGAGTTAAAAGTTTCCCCGGCACCGGGACTAGAACTCGTAATATTATTTTATCATATTAATTTCAGTTAATCAGGTTTCCGGGCCACGCCTGTTTTGCACACGCGTTAACCCACTCAGCCATACCGCCGTATGCCAAACTATAATAAAAAATAAAAATATTACTGGATTCGGCTAGAGGGATAAATAATATTATTCTACCTCCTAAGTGTTCATATCAATAATGCATTTGTCTCTATGATATTAAATAAAAAATTATCATCATGTTTACGACGTTGCATTAAATGAATGATGTACAATTTACTGTATATACAGAAATATATTGCATAATATTTTCTATAACGGTTACTAAGGGCTTTGCTACAGTCCTTCAATAATCTTTAAAAATAAATTCTTATAGTAGTAATTTTATTATAAAATGATTATAAGGGTTAATAATTGATTTAATCATAATATAGCGTCAATTTAATTATAATATAATCTTGACTCTTTTAAGGTTTTATTTGTATTCACAAATTGATTGTTACAGGATAATTTATGACAGGCTGGACCGTAGAGACGATATGCTGTGAGTAATATTTTTCGCATATATATTTTTTCTATTAGCTACGGAATGACCTTAATCCATAACAAATAATAATATTAATTTAACCTTTATTTAAATAATTGAGTTTATTAACTGTGCCAATTTGATAATTCCCATAAACTCTTAGATTTTTTGAAAAAGCTGTCTCTGATAGCTTAGAAACGGCCATATAAAAGACACCAACTGGACACATCACAGGCGGGTCTACGGTGGGGAGGGGCTTTCGGGTTGAAGCTCCTCCCCCAAAATGGTAAAATATGTTTTTTAGAAAAAAATATTAAAAACTATCTCTTAAACTATTATTGTCCGTGTAATTACATTTAATAGATCTTCAAGAATCACTAAGACACCATGTCATATGGGTTGTTAGTTTCTTTCTTTTTTTCAAATTAATTATCGTTATATATACAATTCTCAATTATTAATAACTCCAGGTCTTTCTCATAGATCTCATATTAAGAATATCAATTACTGATGACTTCGTTTGAAGCCCTCTTTCCTCGACTTCGACTTCCCTTGTCCCCTCTACTACCATACCCAGCGAGTATTTGTTTGCAAGCGTGTGTTTTTGGTACTTTTTTAGAGTCTAAATTTAAATAACTATTTTAGTGGAAAAAAGGTAAGATTTTGAGTCGCGTACCCCTGCGGATATTTTTTTTCAGACAATTAATTTTAATATCCGGATGGGATCTACTATCTATTATAACTTTTATTTTTTAGTATGAAATATGTCCTTTTTATCGGAAATACTATCGTCTTCACCTGACCGCCATTTTTCATTCCAGCGACTATATGATGACAGACGTGCATTTTTATTTTCAGACCTTTGGACATGGTCAAAACTTAGTATGAAATAAAACGCCTTTTTTGCCACGGGCTCCAGGACTACCATGTTCGTTCGGCGGAAACTCGACACTGAGTTCGAAACTGGACATGTGAGGCCTCCTGTAAAACACCGAGGTAGAAGTTTAGAGGAGTCTAGGTTTGAGAGGGCATGTCATGGAATGGCGTTGGAAACTGAACCTTTATTGACAATATTATGAATGCCGAACAATATAACGACATTTTGCGACATAATTTTACAAGTAGAGCCGGAAATCTGAGGTTCGAAGATGGATTTATCTTCCAAAAGGGCAACGATGCCAAGCACACACCAAATAAAACAAAAGAATGGATGGTATACAAGGTCCCTAGCCAATCGGAAACGCCGCGACAATCTCCGAACATGAATGCAATAAAACATCTACGATACCTGTTGAAAAAGTAAGAAAAATAAAATTTATTTAAAAAATATTTAAAAGAAACTTTGTCAGAGGAATGGCGTAAAATTGAACAAGAAGTAATTCTTAATTTTGCTTTGTCGATACCAAGATGATTAAAGGATTTCATAGATGTCAATGGTATGATTACGAAATATTAATAAATATCCAGTTCTTAAAAAAAAAAACTCAAATTAAAGTGGACCAATACTGTTTTGGACCGTCTTGAATTGATTGTTCGTTTAGTGAGTTATTTAATTAAGTAAATTTAAATTATTTATTTGTCTAAATCTTGTATTAACTAAAAATGTTTATCAAATCAATTTCGGAATCTTTTACAATGAAACCTGAAAAAAGTTAAATGTTCCAATATTTTTTTTTGATCCACTGTAGATGCAAAATAGAATATGTAAGAAAATTTAAGAATCTTGAGTCTACAATGACTTTTGTTTAAATTTTCTTTATTAAGAAATATTACAATCTGTCACATCTAAGGACAATAGTAATACTGATAGAAGAGTAGCTTATTCACACTCATGTACAATAAATAAACAGCTAACTAAAAAAACCTAAACTAATCAAAATAACTGCTTAAATAAAAATATGTTTTTAAACAATATTTACAAAATTCATTCCCTCAAGATCTCCGAGCAAAGCCTTCCCTCCACTCATGGAAGTAAAGGCGGGATTCTAGGAGATCCCAGCGCCTCTCATTTAGCCTCATTACTGGTTCAATAACTAAAGACAAAAATAAACGAAAAAAAATTGGAATGGAAAGAAATGTGGGTAAAACCGTTCAACTTTTATTTTTCATATTGTTCTGATGGAAATGGTATGACACTTTCCATTCTTTGAAAATGAAGTATTATCTAGACATGGTAAGAGGCAAATAATGGTCAGTTCACTGAAGAAGTCAAAAATTTATAAAATGTACAACTATAAAATTAGTTTAAACTTTATCAATAATTCTTCAACACTGAGAGAGATCCTACTTTCGAAATTGGTTATTTTAATTCCTCAATGTGGAGTCCAGTTCCACTAAAAAAGAATGAAATGCTCTTGCATGATTGATAACTTTTGTAATGTATTGTTATATGGCAGTGTTTGCCAATTAAAACTTTCTCAACTAAGGAATGTACACTTTATTCATTATACTAATTCAGTTTAGCCTACCTTTATTATCAAACATATAAAATATATTTACCTTTTCAGGACATCTCAAGAGATGCTTGACGATGATACGTAAGTAATATGATATGTATATAGTAACATTAGTGGTAGATTTCAACAACAAGAACAATATAATAAAATAACAATTCTCTAAAATAATATATTTTATAAATGCAAATGATGAGAAAATTCGTACTTTTTTTTCTGTTTGCTTCACAGAATTTGTAGATAATTTGCCACCTTAACCACCCTTTTTCATTTCAGCCTATCTTGGTCTATACTTTACAGTCCTGATACTTTCCAGCAACTGCTCTGCAACATATCTATTGATTCGATCAATCCATTTGGTTTTTTACATATAGCGCCCATCTGAACCTCCTTAACTTCTATTCATGAGATATTGATTGACAAGTTTTTGTAAGCAGTTCTGTATTGGTTCTTCTCCCCTGTGCGTTGGTACTTTAATCCCAGATAGCTCGTTTTTTTTTTCACGCAGTGAATTTTCCTCTGAAGTATTTTAATACGTTCTTCTACGATGTTATTTAGTGTACAGATCTCGCAGGCGTATATCATGGGCTTATAATATATATGGGCTTATATTTTAAGCCCTTAATCTGAGATTTTTTGGGAATTCGGTACTTTTGAAAGAGTGAAGAAAGATCTATTTACACTTGTAATGCGCTAGTCTACTTCTATTCGGTAGTCATTCATTGAGGTTATTGTAGTAGAGCTGAGATATTTGAATTATATATAAATATTAAAAAAATATATTTATAAGATTTATTTTAATTGCCTGATTTTTATTATTTATTTTTTTTTTTGTTGGGGGAGAGTTGGGTAGCTCAATGAGTATCATTTTCGTACCTTCTGTGCATGGGTCCGAGTCCGGCTGTGGTATATAGCTATTGATTCTATTATACATTATTTTCTGTATTTTCAATATATATATTTTCACTACTTTGAAAAAATAAGAATTTAATTTTGATTAATTATTTATTAATCTACTATTTCGGAAGATATCTAAAAGCTAATTCTACCTTCTACCGTTTCTTCTCACAGTTCTTCGTTCTTCCTATTTGCTATTCTATTCCCTTTGATTGATACAGATTAAAATGGTTTATCTCTCCCCTTCTAATTGCTTTCATCTGTACATAAAAGCTTCTTAGTGTTAGTAGTTTTCCTTATTTGGTAGATGAAGGAAACCGGATTCTACATTATCACGGAAGATGATTTCCCTCAGTATTTTGGCTCTTATTCAACTGAGAAAGTTGGCGCAGGTTGAGACGACCTGCTTAGTAGTTCCCGGCACATCGTGATAGAGAAATGGGGAATTAATGATGTTCGATAAGTCGTGGAGATTGGCGAGAAATTCTTCATGTTTTGCGAGTATTTGCGACATCCAATAATGAGGGAAGATTCATTTTGCTCCCATAATAGACGGTAGCTATAGTAGACAGCAAGGGAGCATTTTATCAAGATAGATCTTTTATGAGTAATTACGTTTGAATCGTCGATTTCACTTCTCAATGTTGTTCTTGCGAACATTTAGTTGGATCTGCCGCAATCTTTCCTTGGAGATTTTTTGGGAGATTTATTGAGTCTTCTTAAAACATACTTCGTCACATCTTCTCACAGGAAGAGGTCGACAAGTACTCCTCCCATTAAGATCTGAACCGCCTCACGGCCAACAGATCTATAGGGTTTGGCTATTTGCAGTAGGGCCGTACTCTTTATTATCACCCGTTTTTATTTCAGTTTTAATTATTCTTACAACAATGATAAGATGAAAAGATTTGAATCAGAAGTGTAATAATGCATCTCACTTTCAAATCGCCGATCTTCCCCTTTCTCGAAAAGTACTCCATATCTAAACAATCATTGAAGATGTTCAACAACCGTTCTTAAACATAGGAGACATTACTCCCAACATCGCAGCATCAATGACGTCTAGTCCTCGCTTAAAAGATCCTCTGTCTATCCACGGCACAATGGAGATCTTAGTTTTTCCGTGGGTACAAGTCCGTTCCAGCTGAATATATAGTTACGCGACTTATAAACGTATGTCGATGCATCATCAGCATTTGCAGCATTTTCAGGAATATTTAAATACTCTAATGTTTAAATTGGCTATATGAATATTCAAATAGTCTAATGTTTTTTTTTCTATGGTAGAATAAAACCGCTCTCCAACCCAAGCGATCCCTATGATGATATCAATTTGTTTTGGAGCCCCCGCGAGCTCCTTTATGCCACGAAAGCTTTAGCTACCTATGATGTGAAAGAACTGTACAAGAAAAATCCTTACACTGTTAAGAACATTCTGCATCTGATTTTCTTGATTGTGAAATGTAAGTATACATGAATACATATATGTATGCATTCATGAATACATGAATAAGTACAGAAATGTAAGTATAGTATCTAATAAGAGTAGGATAAAAAGATACTATTACATGCCTTTTTTTAAAGCATGAGTTAAAGTTTAGCTCGTTGGATTACTTTCTCTGTGTCACTTGATTTTTTCCGGTAACCCACTATAAGTGTAGTTTCCTTTTTCAATGAATTATGTGTTATAATTAAATTGATTTAATATGTTTGTGTTGTGACCAAAGAAGACATCCTTTTAGTAATAATCAATTAGTTTAGTGAACTTTTAAGTACAGACTTTTGACAAATGTGATATTCTTTAAAATGAAAACCTGATACAGAAAAAAAGAAGGTGCTTCGATAAAATATATTTGAATATTGTACATAGCAACAACTAATCGGGTATCAAAATGAGTTTTGAATAAAACAGAAAGTTGCATTTTTAAAAATTCTTTTATTTATCCTTATTAAACCATTCATTGTTTAAATGTTAGTTAAACATGAGATAACATTCAGTGGTTATAAGCATGTTATATCAGTTATTAGGTCCCTATGTAATAATTTTTTAGTACTTCTACATAATTTTTCTGTTTATACTTAAAGGACAATGGATTTCAGTGGTAAATTTAACACTTGACAAGATTCTGTTTCTGTGTCCATGTTTTTTCTACATACTCTTGCCAGTTGTGAATGTATTATGAGAAAAAAAAACAACAATAAAAACACAATGTGGAAATTTAAATCCTATATGGCTCAATAGTGTTGAAGTAGTCTATGCAATCATTACAGAAAATACAAAGACATACTAAACTATCTCACATATACAGCCAATGATTATCCTATATTTATATACTAACAAATATATATATATATATATATATATATATATTTTTTTTTTTTTTGGTTGTTAATTTTGTTTAATACAATTTTAATGACTTAGAATTGATTTCAGTAAAATGTTTGTTCCTTAGTTGACATAAATTTTATTCAAATAAATTGTACTTATCTCATTCTTGCTCTTGTGTCTTTCAGCGATGAGCGTGAGCCTAACTCTATTTCTTCATAATTTTCTAATTCTATAAACTACTATTATTTATTGCTTATTTGTTTTATCTAAGATTTTTTTCTTAGATACCATTTTTTTTAGAGCTTTATGTGATTTTAAAACAAAAACAGAGTGTGATGGCTCATTGAGTAAGTCACTGGCTTCCTATGCTCAACCTCCCTGTATGAGTCCACCTGTGGTAGATGATTATTTATTCGATACTACTGTACTAATGTAACTCCATTTATTCCAGTGGGCCTATCCCCAGTTTGTGGTATAAATGGTGTTCTGACAATAGCCGAGGATTGACATATTTACAGTATATTTTCCCTTTTTAGATCTCGATTGATAACTTTAGCCAAATCCCAACAGGTCATTTTCAGTTAGATCTGGATGTTCATTGCGCTTATTCAAAATGTATAAACAACCCCCAATGGATTCTTTTCACTGGAGGTTAGGCCGTACCAAACAGCTCAGTCACTTCCATTTACTTCCAAACTCACTTAGCCGTTCATGGGATTCCATTTATGGTGTGGAGATATCATACCACTGATGAATGTGGATGACCTTTTAACTATAGTACCATTTATTCTGTTATCTCATCTGTGAATCAACCTTATGGTCAGAAGATTTTACTGAGGTATTTCAATCAAATAATTAATTAAGGGGGTAAAACTCGTGATTGAACGTGATCTTGGGCCAACCACCTTTCTGCACCACTATTAATCTTGAAACAGTACCTCCTTACGAAGTACTGCATCCAAGATTCTCCATGGATTGTAGTGGGTGTTTTTTTTTTTTTTTTACAAAACAAGAAAGATAACTTTTATTCTATATAGAGATTATTTATTCATTTTTTAATGTATGTATATAATTTTTTTCTGAAACAACCAAATTTGCCTATCAATGATATTTTCTAAAATATCTGAAGGTCTCTTGTATTTATCTACTTAGCATGAGCAAGGCTATGATTAAAAAAAAAAAAAAAAAAAGTCTAAGCTAATTTTATTTTATTTTAAGAAACATTTTTTTTGTAATAAAATATTTTTGTGTTCATGCAGATAAACCACTTCTTAAAGATTTATTAGAAGTTGGGGAATATTTTCAACGGTTTCCAGAGGTGAGTAAAACATGTTTATGAATATTTGTATAATTGATATTACTGAATAGAAACAAGTCAAGTCTATATTGTACCATACAGTTACTTAAATACACAAGTTTCCACAAGTAAATTAAAATTAGTTATATTTTATTTTACATTTTTAGATGCTTAAAATGAATTGTTGTAAAATATTTGAAAATTGAACTAGTCGGATGATTTTCATATTGCAGTGTTTTTAATGCTTCAATAATTTTTTTTCTAGGATGTAAAAGATGAGGACATGGTGTGTATTGCATTATTTGATATTTTATGCCGAGGTAATGGAATAACCTTAGAAAATGAAATGAATGCATCCCTCAGAACAGAATATAAAAGTATTGGATTGAAAGTAGTTTACATGCAAGTTGAAAAAGACAAGATTCATTACTTTGCGCAAGTTCATGACAGACTTACGGATATCGGTGCTTCTTCAGTTCACAATTTATTACCTACCACGACACCTATCCAAATTAATTTTGAATTTCCGATGATATTTGATGTATGGATAAACAAATCTAAATTGGAGTAAGTTATCACAGTATTATACCTCAGGTACAAATATTTCTTATTATATGGGAGTTTTTTTAAGACCAAAGTTGGACATTAGTTGATTATAAATTTGAGTACCAAATTGTTTCACTTGTTTTCAAGTTTACTACAAGTATGAGTAAATAGAATTTTGAAAGTAGCCAAGTATGGGCAGTCATGTTCATATACAGATGACAGACATTTCTTAACGACATATTTTCCATACGACATATTTTTATATTAAATATCAAAAACCATTTTATGTTTGTAGTCACCCTCTGCAAAGGTGTTTATTGGTGGGCATCATGGCTTCACTCACATAAACATGGTGCGAGTTGTTCTCTTCCCATCCTAGATGGCGTGTAGAGAAATCTCTTTTTGCTCTTCGCTGCCGCACCAGCTCATCTCTCACTGCTTGTCTGACGAATCTTATTATATTCTATATATCTTACTATATTGGGCCTGGAGTCCTTTCTTGCTTGGGCTTGATTCTCACGGCGTGATGAAGATCATCTGGTCTCAACTTGTACACTCTTAGTTTGAGATTTTTTGGTATTTCAATACCCTTGAGAAGGAGAAGAAAGCTTTATTTGCGCTAGTTATATACTCTGTATTGCTCTAATTAAAGAATGAAAATTGACATTCATATTTGTTCCAGTATCTTTCCTGAGGAACTCCTTGAGGGAGCTGGGTTCAAAAGAGCTAGTACACGAACCAGCAGCGAAATGACTTATAATGAGATTGTGGAACTGCCTTATTTTTTCGAATTGGGAGTTTCTAACTATTCTGAATTTGTCAAAACATCTCATTACTGTAACCATGTGTTCATACCGGCTGTAAGTTTTATTAAATGTTATTTGGTGTAGGATAGCTTGTAATAATTCTTTATATATTATATCTCAAACGTGATTTTTTTATTTGCTATATCATATTTTTGTTATACTTAATAATTAACAAATCCAATGCTAGGCATCATTATCATTTTTTTATATTGTTCGTTATTAATTAATTATTTTATATTTTTAAAAGGTTACATATTTTAGCATTGCTCTATTTTTGTAAGATTTGCTTTTACACAGCTTTTCAATGTTTTTTTAGCTTGTTAGTATTATTAGCAATGAGTCATTTTTTTCACCCTGGCTCCAGGCTGCTGGCTACTTCTTATGAAATGAGCAAACAAAAAATCCTGTAATGTTATTATTGGGTTGGCAAATAAGTCCTTTCGGTTTTTCAAGGTGAAATAAAACTCAATATATTATTGACATAACATGTTGTAACGTTCCTCTTTCCCTCCAAAATCAAATAATGAGTTTCTTTTTCAATATAACATTTATTTTAACATATAAACATAAATTCTCAGGTTGGGTTCTGACAACTGAACACTCATTCAACATTAAATAACTATAATTTACTAATTACTAACTACACTAATTATACAGATAAAATTTATAATTGTTTTCAAAAATATTTTGTCCCGATCTACACTTTTTGGTTCTATCCATCTGTCAACATAAATGGCATTGTTAGCACTCACCCAAATGTTTACGCCTGTCAGTGAAATAAACTCTTTTTACTTACGAATGTTCCGTTTTCGGTACCACTTAATTAATTTCTGCTATGTTCTTTCTTCCATATTCATTATAATCTCCACTAGTGGCCTCTATCAACACTCGAACCGGCTAGTACTCATTTTTCATCTTCTAAGCTTTCTGACTCAGCACCTTCTCTACTTGGTGGTTCTGCACATTCTCTCTTGGCGGCTCGTCACATTCTGTCCTTCCATGAGGCTTGCTTTCCCCACCATCCGCACGCACTTCCTCCCCGTAGTTCGTGCTGTTACCACTTTCGCACCACTATTAAAATGCCATGTAACGTTGAAATTACAATTTATTTTAATTTACAATATATTGACCATAACGTCATATGACTTTTTCTCATCTTTCCACTATCTGCATAATGCCATGTTCATAGAATGTCTGGAGTTTATTGTTAAAAAACTGATCCAAGTGGTTTTTGATGCCCTCTTTTTGTTGGAATTTCTTTCCATTCATGGAGTTCTGCAGAGACTGGAATAAGTGGTAGTCACTTGGAGCTAGATCTGGTGAATAGAGAGGCTGGGACAACAAATCCCATCCAAGGCTCAATAATTTATTGCAAGTGACCGATGAGGCGTGTGGCCTATCGTTGTCTTGGTGGAACACAACACTTTCCGATCATTCATAACTCTTCAGAATGTTCTCCAAATTCAATGTTATTATATCCGTTGCAAAGTTGAATTATTGTTCTTCAAAAAGCCGTATGAATGGTTTTTTGATTTAATGCCTATATATAAACAAAAACTCCTTTCTGTGTTTACGAAGGTTCTGTTGATGTCATTTTGTTTAGTTTATGTGACCCTAAATTCCTGCTAAGTTTCTTGTAGATAGCTAAAGTCATATTGAAGTTAAAACATTTTTTTTAAATTTTCAAAAAAGAAAATCATGTGAGGGACCCAAACATTAAGCCTGGAAACTTAGCCGAGCTTGTGCAAATGGTTTTCTACGCTTGTGTGAGACACATTTAAGGCCATAGCAATCCCTCTCACTGATTCAGTGGGATTTTGATCAACAATGGCCTTAACATTGCTTGTTTAAATTTCATGTGGATCATACCATTGAGCATTATTAATGTAAAAATTTCCTGTATGAAATTTGGCGAATCAATTTTGACAGGTGCATTCGCTTAAGGCATCACCCCTATAAACACTGCAAAGTTTTCTATGAGCTTCTACAGCCCTCTTACCTTTTATAAAATAATATAATAGACTATGCTGATAATGAATGTATTTTCTTCCATATTCACAGTGCAATAGCAAACAATACTAAGCTAGTTTCAACAAGAGTTAACAGATATAGTTGTTGGCATATTACAAACAGGAAAAACAATTCACCTTAGGGGTTAATTCATCAGATAAGAAGTGTATGATAGTGACATAAAAATAAACAGAAAAACCAAAAGGATTTGCCAACCTAATATATACGCATATTTAATTGGAAACTTATACAATTATTTTTATTATTCATTTTTTTTTATGTTAGATAATCAATGATGTTTCTTTAAGGATCGAAATCATTGTTTAGCAATGGCTCAAGTGGTCAAGCTTCTTTACAAAGGAGGGATAACGAATGGAACGGTCATCCAAACACACATTTTATCGCTTGGTAGCACAGCATATTTCGCCTACTTACTTAACTTAGCTTTCCCATTAACTATAAAGTTGAAAGTGTTTGGTGCTGATCAGATGTAAGTAAAAGTTTAATTTTCTTGATTTATCTACTGTGAAATATAATTTAAAAAATACTTTTCTGGAGTATTTGCATAAATTTTTCAATTGTATTGGTTAGTGATAATTAGGTTATAACAATAAAAAGTATGGAATTTTCTGAAACATATTTGCAAAGATATTGTTAAAGAAAAGTGGAGTGGACAGGGCTAGGTTATTTCAGCTGAGATAAGGCTTCGTCAGATGCTGATACGGCATAGAAAATAAATAATTTCATGTATTTTTCCATCGTCATTCAAATTAAAATAACAGAAACTAATTTTTCAATTATTCTAATTGAATGGAGTAAAAATCAAAACTTTGCAAAATTAATATATATATATATATATATATATATATCAGATGTATTTTTGATCAAGATCCAACTATTTGCAAAGATTCCAAGTAAAAAATCAACAACTGGAAAGATAAAAATATGCAGAAACTAGGGATGGTCGATTGTCGATAGTTTGATACTATCGGTGAAAAGCTAATGATAGTATCAATAGTTTAGTAACTTCCCACCACAGACTTAAGGATGATTTATTTTTGCTGTATTCTTCGGTTATTTACGTTAAATTGCTGCATTAGCTTCATAATAATAATTAACATTGATGTTGGATACATTTGTAAAGATTTATACAGATTTAGGCACTAATAAAAATTATAATATTATCAATTAACAAATTTATTGACGGGAAAATACATTTATATATTAAAATAAATTACATTAATTTCCATGAATATCAAATTCAAACCAGAATCACCTGCCATGATGTACAGTATTGTTTGAACTATTTGGCTAAAAAAAGCTGATAATATTATTCATTTGATAATGTTAGTTTAAAATAGAATAAATATGTTTTGAATGAAAAATAAATAAACAGGAGGGGCCAAGGTAACATTTTTTTTCCATCAACACAACTGTATCTATCGTTAGGAATAGTTTTAATAACACACCTTCACGCTTCTATCCATTTATTTGCTTAATGTGACATTTCAGAACAATTTTCCATTATCAAACATTTCACTTTTACATTTTTATATTATCACTATATCTTGTATATAAATAAATGTTTACAAATATGAAGACATGTTATAAAAATTATACCTTTAAGTATCTAAAAAATTTTAAATATTTTATGTCTAAGGGGAAGAGATGAACTATCGATAGTCACTGGAACTATCGATTGTTTCAAACTATCGAAACTGCTATCAACTATCGCCCATCCTTAATAGAAACTTAACAATTTTTTATTTATTTTATTACTGTACATATTTATCTATTTCATATAATTTTAAGTAAATGTAGTGATTTCCAATCTTTTAAACTTTTAATTGTTTAAACTGAGTTCAAATTTCATTCAATGTGATGAAAAGAAATCAGAGAATTTCTGTCACTTCTTAAACAAGGTCCAAATTAACAGTCATACAGTCCACTGAGCAGTCCAGCATAACCATATCCAATAATTGATTGTGGCAATATCATGTAACATGACATTTTCGTTATAAGGACTATAACAAGCACATTCAATATGGATTTTAGTTTTTTTTACGTTACTTTGTTTTTGACAACTTTTTATTACTTGAAACAGCGCTGTACTTTTTTAAATCTTTTTTTACTTTCACTTAATTATATATGTGTGTGGGAGTGGGATAGCTCAGTGGTAGGCCGCTGAACTTCTAATGCTCAAGGTACCAGGTTCGAATCCGGCTTATGACAGATAAATTATTTATTCTGATTCATCGGCTGTGGATCCACCCTGGGGTAGGAAGACCCTTCTGGGGCATACCTGGTCTATAAAGTGGGTACCCTCAATTACATAATTAATTAAAAGGGAAAACCTGGCTGTTGAGCATGATCTCTGTCAAATCATCTCCTTTCACAACCGTTGACCGAGAAATATTACTTTCCCTACGTAGTACTGTACCCAAGACCCTTCATGGGTTGTAGTGGTAGTTTATTTTTGTTTGGAATATTATTAATGTTCTTTTTTTTTTTTTTTTTTTTTTGGAATATTATTAATGTTCGTATCTTGTGTTACCTTGTTCGTTAGGACTTCATTATATTAGTAATGGTAAAAACACGTATGATATCACAATAGTCATGCTTTATTTTTTCTCTACATCAACGTTTTTGCCCTTAGGTCATTTTAAAAGACAAAATCTATTTTAATAATTTATTGTCACAATAACTTAATAATCTGTTTTATAGGACTATTAAGTTATTGTAACAAGGGCTATTCAGCACATATGAATATGATTCTATTTCAAAATATTTTCCTTTGAAAATGACCTAAGGGCTGTAACGATATATGTAATTACAGGTTGTTTTATTTTTTATTTAATCTCATAACATTTTTTTACTTTTAACTTTTCACACTAATACACTGCTAACGAGATATTGGTTTTTCTTATTTAAGCAATTTTCTCAACTGAACACCTTTTGCTTTATTTTATTTTTTTTTTTTATAATAAGCCTGGGCCAGAAAATCTTCGATTTTTTATGCAATTTGGAATCTTCAAGAAAAGTAAAGTGAAAATTTGATGTTAATACTAATATTTTTTTCTACTTGTAAAACAGAGTATTTGGATTAAACAAATTTGAAAATTATTCTAATTTATCATTATAGCACTTAATAACTTAAAATAAAACATAGATTAAGTATTTTAAAAAAGACTCGATTAATAAATGTGTTACAGGAAGGCGAGTTTTGAAAGCTATTTTGATCTGCTGAATTTAAAAAATGTTAAAGTCTTCAGTGAGAGGTTTTATATTGTAAATGTTCGAAAGAAAGATATAGCTTCAACTGCTTGCGTTCTTATCAATCCTGAAACTGTATTTAATCCTTCCCTGAATTTAATCAATGAGACTATGAAAAGGGGATGTGATATAGTCTATCTGAAATCCACTTATGAATTATTTTCTGAAAACGACACTTTTAATTATTCTTTTGTTAACCAACATACTCAAGATTTAAAAGAGATAGCCAAGTCTTATATTCAACGGGCTTTAAGTATACCAAAGGTAACGGTTGCATCAGTAATTTTTTTAGTTATTGTTCCTGCTATCAATATACAAGTCAGTTATTTTTAGCTTAACGCATGCATGTCTGCTCAATAAATTTTTTGAAGTTTTTCACTCCTCTATACCCTTTACAAATTAAGTTAGAGAGTTTAAAGTTTCTCTGTAAATAAGTTGTTGTTAGGGAAGTCTCTTTTAGGGGTCTACTTTTTACTTTCACTTACCTATATATACAATATATAGTAAGAGTAAGTATTGCGATAATGAAAATTTTTGAATCTGAGTTTTCAACAGAAATACATGTTTTGAGGTCTCCTGAGTCCACATAACCAAGTTCCACAAAATGGTCTTTGTGTATGCATGTGAACAGTAGCTCAAAAACAAAAAGTCATATGAATGTGAAATTGCAAAATTAATGTTTGTATATACCTGGAATGTTACAGCAACTTTTTTGTCCAAATTGATGTACCGCAAGTGGCACTTTATGTGATAGATTTAACAATTTTTTACTATTTTCTGAAAAACTGCTCCAACAATTTTGATTGAACTCCGTATATCAGTGTATTATTAAGCAGTTTTTAATATAATGTAGGTTTTATTCTCATTGATGTTCTCTAACGAGGCTTAAATGGCTAATTTTCAATATTAGCTTCCTTTAAAATATCTTTAATTTTTTTTTATTTAAATCTTAGTAATCGTAAACCAGAGCTTACCCGAAAGATTACAACAGATTCATAGTAACATGAGCTTAATATATTATGGACTCTGGTTCACCAGATTTATTTTTCTTTGAGTATGCTCTGAGGTGTTGTTAGAAGCTACTTCCTGGTCCTACCTTACCACCCCATATTTCTTTTGTTAATTACCAATCAGTTAATAGTTTCTATTTAACCATTTTTATTACTAATTAGTAAATGGTTAATTGTCGTGGATAATGAAGAGAAGAATAGTTGGGGTGGTCAGTCAAAAAAGAAGTAACCGTTGGAGATGACGCCAGTATACATCCCTTCTATCCACCTACCTCCTTCAATAACATGAGCATTGCATCTTTCACCTTAGAGCAGTCAGGTTGTTATCATTTCTCTTTCTTATTTCAACCTTCTCAGTTTCTCTCCTCCTTCCTTTCATTCCATTTCTCTGTTTTAACTCTTTATTATTTCATACTTTGTCTGTACATATTGATAGACTTTACAACATCTCAATTTTCTATCTAACTATTCTATTCACAATATCTTAATTTTACTGTTTATTTCCATTTCTTATATAACTTCATATTTTTCTGTTTTTACATTTTATTCTAAGATTCCCATTTTAATACTTATGTCACCTTTTTTGACTATGTTTACTTCATCATTCCACATTTTGTACCTGTTGTTATTATTTGTCTCTTGTTCTTACTATTGTCATTATTCTAACAATTTCATTTTACTGTAATTTTTATGTTTCTCATACCTTGTTATCTGGTTATTTTCTTAGCCCTGATGATGGCCTGAACTTCAGGTCGAAACGTCGGCATATGTAAAAATAAATATTATCATTTATTTTTGCCTTCTTTTTTGACTGACCACCCCAACTATTCTTCTCTTCATTTTTATTACTAGTTTCTATACAATATGATTTATTGTAGCCATATGAGACCTATGTCTGAGAGAATAATAACTGCCTGATATTAAAGACCATGTAATTTTACATTGATATAATGAATAAATTCAAAATCCGTTTTTGAGGAAATTGTAAACTTGTATAAAATCGCTGATATAAATTGCCACTTCCTGTCGGTCAATATTAGCCGAAAAGTTGCTCTAACATCCCAGACATGTACCTACCTTAATATGTAATTTCAGTTTTTTATGGCTTTTAGTTTTTGAGCTAGGTTGTTCACACACAAACCATTTTGTGAAACTTGGTTAATTGGAGTCAGGGGAACTTGAAACTTGTATTCCGAAATGTGAAAATTTCTATCACAATACTTTCCCTTAATATATCTTTTCATATATAGGTAAGTAAAGTAAAAATCTACAATTTTCCAACTAAAATGTTTTTATCAGAATCAATTCTTAATGAATGATTATGTTAATTTGTGTTATAGGTTAAATTTGTTGTATATCAGTCATTCGATACAAAGGAAACTGCTGATGATAACATAGCCTTGTATGTGGTAAATTTTGCCAGGGAATGCTCGCATACAACTATTGAAACAGTCAAGGAGAACATGAGTCCAACAGAGATGGAGGATGCAAATTATCACTACTGTGTAAGTGGTTTTCATTGTTAACATTATTGATTTTGTACAATCAAAGACATTTTTTTATGATGTTAGATGAATTTAATTACTTTATTAAATAAATAAAAAAAAATACTGCTACAGCTTAGAACTTTAATATGCATTATTTGATAAATATTAAACCTGCTTTATAGTTTAGAGGTATATCCAGGTATTGAACTGGAAAATTACAGGTATTGAAGTGCAATTATTATGCTTTGTGTTACGTCCTTAATTTTTAAAGATTGCGCATAATGAGGATCTTTTGGTCTTACAGAAAAAACTGAGTACTGGCGGGGATCAATTAGTTGAGGCAAAATTCGTCGTTGAATTTTTAAAATCTGCAACGTCTTGTCTCTTCAATACAAAAGATGTGATCACTAAGTATTGGTGAAAAAGTGGAGAATAGAGATGGGAAATTCGAGTCTTTTAGCTTGTAGTAGACATCCCCCGGTATTTACTCCTTTATATGACATTGTGTGAGGAAATGGGAAGGAATATATAATATATAGGAATGTGAGGTTGCACAATGAATTGTACTCAATTGTGCAGAGGACAAATTCATTGAAAAGTCTCATATCGATAAACAATCGATGAAGAAGTAAAAAGGTCCGGTGAGGTAACAGCAGCTGGAGAAAGACGCCAGGGAGAGGGAGAAGTCACTTGAGGCTAGGACACGGAGGCGATAGGACGCTAGGCCTGGACAGAAAGAAAGGAGGTTGTCAGAAGAGAGAGATATTACATTGAAGACTAAGAATATCAAGCCTACAGTTATAAGACTTTTATACATTCATATATTACAGTTGTAGAAATAAATTGTTTTATTGTACAAGAGTGAAAAGTCATTTTATTTAGTTGTCCTATATGCCTCACAATTGAAGAATAATAAACAAGGTGAGTCAATTCATTCAAATTGTATTTACTCAGTCCCACATTTTAGATATATATATTCTTATTGTTTCTTCTCCTCACTCAGTGTCACAAAGGTATTAGATTTCCAACAACAGTTAAACACCCTCAAAAAGTCTATATCCAGTGCCGGGGTTTTGTTTTAAACATTCAGGAGTGTAAATATCGGTTGGCAGGAAAATGACTGCCACCGAATTTATCTGGGTGAAGAGATGACTCGCACAAACAGACACCTCTATTGGCTAGCCCGGCAGAAGAGAGCGGCGGGAAAAATCAAATATACGTGGTTTGCTTCCGGAAAGGTGCGGTGTCGAAAAGAGGACGGACATAGAGTCATCCTGATAGAACAGGCCTCGGATCTAGATGTATTTGACTGACTACCTAGAAGCCGTCAACCCCTTAGCCTCATTAAAATAATCTTACTTCTTATCTTAGTGCTATCTCTACACCGTCACTCATCAATCTATTTATTTTCAAGTACATTCTCTTTATTTATTTTTAATGTTAATATTACTTTTTCTTCACTTAGTTTCATGTACGATAATCGCTTTTCTGTACTTTCTACTCGTTTTGTCTTCTCGCTACCAAACACTGACTGTTTCTCTCCAAATCCACTGTATGTCTAGTTCCCTAATCACATGTCAAGTTAACTCTCAATCACTTTCTGCCCATTATGACGAATTCCTGCAATACTTTACCCAAAACTTTTATCATATCATAGCAATATCCGAAACCTGGCTCAAACCTTATATTCCTTCATCTTCAGTCTCCTTGCCTAATTACATCCTGCTCCGTCATGACCGGGTAAACCGGACTGGCGGTGGAGTAGCCATGTTTGTCCACAATAGCCTAAAGACCCGAATCCTCGATTGCTCCCCATCTTCCGATCATCCTCATGTAGAATACCTCTTAGTAGAAATTCTCAGTAATATTTCTCCTATCCTTTACGCCGTGGTATATCGCCCTCCTCTCGTGCCATTTGACCCGTCCTTCGAATCAACTCTATTCAACTTCGTTCCCCTCTATCCCAGAATAATTATCTCCGGTGACCTCAATACCAATTTCCTCTCAAACTCCAATGACAAATCCTATTTAGAAAATCTGTTTTTCTCACTTCACCTATTCATCGTTCCTTTTTCCTCCACCCACCACACCACCAGATCTGACACTTGGCTAGACTACTACATCATCGACTCAGCACAAAACCTCCTCTCCGCCTCTCAATTGCCAATATCCTTTCTTTCATCTCATGATCTGATACAAATAACGTATAATATCCGCACTCCTCCAATCCATCCTCGAACTATCACTTTCCGCCAACTGGATACCCTTACTCGAGAAAAAATATTACCTGATCTAGTAACATTGGATTTGAATGGAATATATCATTGCTCCTCTGTCGACACCATGGTTGATATTCTCACCACCAATCTTCTCAATATACTCAATACCCACGCTCCTCTGAAAACCTCCACTTTCCGTCATCGTCCTGCTCCTTGGATATGTCAGGAAATTAAGGATCTGCAGAAGAGACGCGACGCTGCACGCAGACGCTTCAGACGGACTAGGCTTGCAGATGATTATCAAATATTCAGAGTGCTTCGTAACACGACACAGACAAGGATCCGACAAGCGAAAGCGAACTACTTTCACGAAGCCCTTTCCTCAGCTCCTGATATCAAATCAAAATGGCTTCTACTTCGTAAGCTTTCCCTCTGTGAACCTTCTAGATCCCCTTCCTCAGTTTTCCCAATATCACCTGATGACCTAAACTCCCACTTTATATCGGTTTCCACCTCTTCTTTACCATCCCCTTCCGGCTTTCCTCCAGAGGTACCTTTTAACGACAATAATTTTTATTTTTCCGACATTTCTCCCACAGACCTTATTACCGTTATAATGAAATCCCGTTCCAATTCCGTAGGCCCAGATGGCATTCCTATCAAACTAATAAAATTATGTCTCCCTGAAATCCTCCCAGCACTCCTTTTCATCTACAATTTCTCCCTGCAGAATTCAATATTCCCGACCTCTTGGAAAAAAGCCATTGTCCTTCCTTTAAACAAAAAGCCTAATCCATCCTCTCCCGAAGATTTCCGCCCAATATCAATCCTTTCCAATCTTTCTAAACCCCTAGAAAAGTTAGTGCAATCCCAAGTTTCCAACTACCTTGAACAATCCAACCAACTCGATCCTCTCCAATCTGGCTTCCGTCCTGGCTACTCTACACAATCTGCTCTGATTAAAATTACTAGTGATATCCAGACTGCAATAGATGACAAAAAACTAACCATACTTATACTGCTTGATTTCTCCAAAGCTTTCGATTCCATTATCCATTCCATCCTTTTCAACAAATTAAAATCATTATCCTTCTCCAATAGTTCCATCTCTTGGTTCCAGTCTTTCCTCTCACAACGAACCCAAGCAGTTTCCATACCTAATCAACCTCTATCTGCCTACCTTCCTTTATCCTCAGGAGTTGCACAGGGTTCAAGCATGTCTCCTCTTCTTTTCAGTTCTTATATTAATGACCTAAATGATTCAATTATCCATTGTTCCCACCACCTTTATGCCGACGATTCTCAAATCTATTTATCCTTTTCTCCCGCTGAGTTATTGGTGGCATTTGCCAAAATTCAAGAAGATTTAGATCGAATTAGTGCCTGGGCCAACTTAAATGGATTAAGGCTAAATGCTGCCAAAACTCAGGCCATTCTCATTGGTTCCAAGCCTCTTCTTAGATCCCACACCAACTTTCCCTCACTCTATCTAAACAACCACCCCATCACCTTCTATCCCTTTGTTAAAAATTTAGGCTTTCTCATAGATCAAACCCTTTCCTGGAATCACCATATCTCTCATATATCCCGCCGTGCAATTTCTACCCTCAAACTATTCCATCACTTCCGCCATCTTCTACCCCAAAATACCCGTAGACTCATAGTTTCCTCTCTCATCTTTCCCCGCTTTGACTTCAGCTGTGTGGTGTACGATGGCCTCTCGGTGGAACTGCGTGATAGACTCAAAAGACTTATGAATTGTTTCGTAAGATTTGTAATTGGAACCCCGAGACGCTCCCGTGTCTCCCACCACTACACTGAGTTAGGGTGGCTCTTCCCCTCCTTAAGAAGACAATATTTCCTTGGCACTTTCCTTTATCAAATCATTACCGACCATCGTCCTTCTTATGCCTACAACCTTCTCCAATTGAAGTCCTCAATCCATTCACTCACTACAAGATCCCGACCCTCTGACCTATACATCCCTTCTCATAGATCTGCCTCATTCCAAAATTCCTTTATAGCCCGCTCTGTCAACTTTTGGAATTCCCTCCCGATCAAAATTCGACATGCCCCTTCCCTGTATACATTCAAAAACCTCCTATTCCAATTCCTGTTCCAAAAACAGTCTGATACCAGCTAACTATTGATATTATATATGTATTGTGTAGCAATCATATAATCATAACACTTGGTAAGAGATAGTACATGCATTTCCTACTATCGACGTAGGAATTTCAATACATACATTTTTTTTTATTTTTTTTTTTATTCAATTATAAGTAACTGTTTATTTTTATATATATATATTCAAGTAAAGTTTTTTTTTTTTATGAAATGAACTCATTGTATCTCTTTTTCGTTCTTCATTTCTCAAAGTGTATGTTTATGTTGTTCAACCCTTAAATATAATTTTGTTCATAGTTCAAGTGATTCGTTCATAGTTTTAATTGTTTTGTTCATAATTTTAAATGCTCTGTACATAGTTTTATCTGTTTGTATATAGCTTGTGCACCTAAGGTTTTCTTTACTTTTTATTTTATTTTATCAATTTTATTTATTGTTTCAACGTTCAGGCCAGTAATATTCTATTATTTTGTACATTATTGTTATTCTGAAGGGACTTAGTCCCAGAATAAAGTTTTTTTTTCTATCTATCTATCTATCTTCTAAATAACCTAGTTCCCCCGATATAAAATGGAAGGAATATTAGCTATTCCCGCCAAACTAATTATTTGAAATTAAACCTTTAACAGGTTATTTACAAGCTGAATCGATTCACAATGATTCAATCATTGTAATAAATTGATTCTTATAGATGATTCTGTTCTTCTTTCTTTCTTTAAATTAAAAAAGAACTTTTTATTGAAAAAAACAGTAGTCAACATAAAAAGTCACGAATCCTATAAATAGGAAGGAAGTTTTAAGTTTGAAAGAAAAAGTTTTTTAATTTTACTCATTAGATTTTGACCTGCATTACATTACATAATGAGTAATGTAAATGAGCGTAGGTTATAAATGTCCGAATACAAATTGCTGGTGGAAGAGCAGATTTGGAAAGTAAACATAACAACCCAACAAAAAATGAAGAACATGACTGAAAGATTCTCTAGAACAAAACCAGTGAATCGACCGATCCCTTATGAATCGGGAATTGGAGATTCATAAGGAATTGAAAATCTTTCTGAGGATTTGTGCAATGTGAATTGCTTGTTGAGAGATTGATTCCTTCAGAGGAATCAACTCTTTGATTCAATTCTCAATTCACCTGCCCATCTCTAGTGGAGAAATTTCAAAAACAGCTACTAACTGATCTTTTGAGATTTTAGTGAGTGTATTTTAGCATTTTAGGGGTGAAACAGATTCTGAAATATATATGGTCCAAAGGAAGGGATTATACTACATCTTTTGAACCTAGCGTGGAAACAAAAGAAAATTCTGAAAGACTGGGAAGTAGCTTTGGAGATCCTCAAAGATCCTTACCTACCATTAAGCTGTTAATCCAAACACATAATCTTCTTTGTGGCTCACCGTAATCGGATTATAAAGCTATCTAACTTGTTTTTCTATCCAGAAACACATGCGAGACCCATAAGGAAGACCTTGCATGAATAGGAGAGTAGAGAAAGGAGTTATTAGTGATCTAAATTTTTTATCCTTAGAAGAATTTTATTTTGAAAATTAAGATAAACTATATGTAATAAAACATAATAACTTATATGTTTAAAATTAAGATAATTTAAAAATAATAAGTCAAAATCATTTTTATTGCAGAAGCAGCTTAATCTATACTTCAGGCAGGGAAACACTCAAAATAATAGAATTTCACCTGCGCTTTGGGGGTCGAAGCCTCCTTTCATAACCACAATATACCATGTTGATCCAGTAGGTATAAATATTTATATATTTTGTTATGATTTTATTTTTTCTGATATAATTATTTTGTATTTTATTCTAATTTTTTTCTATAAATTTTAAATAATTTAGGTTTGCATTTAAAATAAAAATTGAAATATTCATTTTACAAATATTTTATTTAAATAAGAAATCAATATATGCAATACAATACAAAGATGAGAAAAATTGGAATAAATGATTACATGATAATAACTGAAAATAAAACTCAATGAAAACGCCATCAAAGCAAACTCCTCACCAAATCATCACTGAGGAAGGGCGATGACCTCTTTCCAGTCTTCCAATGACTTTCTGGGCTTTAGAGCTGTGTGCGTGTACACGATCATTTTGGCCTAAATTAAACCGAAGGATGTAATCAAAGTTCAACTTTTGTACCAAAACAAAGTAACTTTAGTATTTGTGGCAGAACTAGGTAAGATCTTTGTTATTTTAATGGTCTAAATGATTTGTTAGCTGTATGCTTTTGCTTTAGTTCCGTAAAAACGCACTTAAAATTTTTTGTAATAGCCCAACATTGCCAGAAAGTAATTTTTACTGAAAGTATAGCAGCAAGTCAAAGTATAGTAGAACAATTCACCTATCTCCTTCCATACCACCGTTAAAAACCTAGGCATTACCCTCGATCAAAGCCTCTCCTGGAAACCACACATCTCCCAAATTTCCCGCCGTACTATATCCACCCTGAAACAGTTTAACCATCTACGTTATCTTCTTCCATTCAAAACCCATCAACTCCTGATCTCCTCTCTTGTTTTTCCCCACTTCGACTATGGCTGCAATATGTACGGTGGACTCTCGGGAGAACTCGAAGCTAAACTTAAACGTTTAATGAATTGCTCTATCTTTGGGATCTCAAGGGATACGTATATTACCCAGTTCTACACCAAGTTGAAGTGGCTTTATCAGTCCTACCGCCGTCAATATTTCCTTGCTACATTCCTATACCAGGCCATTAGAACACGGCGACCTGCCTATATTCTACAGATCCTACAATTCAAACGCTCCTTTCAATCCCGTCCCACAAGATCCCGTGCATCCGACCTCTATCCTCCTCCTCACCGAACTGCTGCATTTGATAAATCCTTTTTAATACAAGTTGTCTCCCTCTGGAACTCTATACCTTCAGATATTCGACACGCAAAATCAATATACTCTTTGAAATCTCTCCTCTTCAAACACCTACTCCATTCCCAATCCGATTGATCACGAAATGCACTTAAAAACCTATGCTGTAAAAACCTCAAAGTACGCCCAGATACTCTGATTACTTTGTGATTCATCGATATTTCGTTTACTTAATTACTTTCTCTGTATATTTTATATTTACAGGTATTTATATCTTTTTATTACTTATAACTTTATTGTATTCCTAATCAACCTGTAAATATTAAACTGTATTTTATGGACACACCAAAATATTAATATATATTCTGTATTTGTAACTTGTTCTAAAGGGACACTAGTCCCAGAATAATAAAATTATTTTCATTCATTCAAGTGAAAGTTGTGTGATGCACACACCAGATTTTTATTCTTTTGCAATGGTCCAATCAATTCCTCTTTTTACAGTAGTTCTTTTCCTAGAGGGACAGGAAGAAGATCTCTAACTTTGTGTCCAATCGAACCATTTTGGAAAATACATTACATAGCCGTTTCAAGGAAAATACATTTGTACATCTCAAGTTAAATTATTTTTTCAAAGTTTTGAATGGAATATGATAAAATTTTCCAATTTGAAAATTCCTACCACCTACATAATTCCTCATTATCCGTTCCTACCTTACTCATAGATACTTTAAAGTAAATCACAACAATGTCTATACATCCCGCTTTTCCCAGTCTGCAGGTATTCCTCAAGGTAATACCTAGGTCCTATCCTTCCCACAGTCTATACAGGTGACATCCCAACCCATTCTAACACTTGTCATCACCACATATGCCGATGACACATGTATCCTATCAGTTAATAACGACCCATCAATTGCATCCTAAACCTTGAAGAATGGTGTCAAAACTTGAGAACTAAAATAAATTCCAATAAATCTCATCAAATTACCTTCACCCTTCGTTGTAAACCAATGACTTCCTGTCATTCAGTATCCTTTAACAACACCTCATTTATTCCTGATGAACAAATCTATAACCTAGGACTCCACCTGGACAAACGTCTAACTTGGAATCCTTATACCAGACTGAAACGACAAGAAACCGCTCGACATTTTCGACTACTCCATCACTTACTAGACAAACGCTCTAATCTTCCAATTGATTAAAAAAGACTCACATATGTGACTATAATAAGGCCTATTTGGAATTACGGAGTTGAGCTATGGGGCTCCATCAATCAACAAACCTTCAAATTCCTCTCGTATCCAATCCCTACAATCCAAAATCCTTCGTAAAATCCTCAATGCTCCTTACTTTGTCACAAATAAAATCATCCACAGTGACCTTAATGTTCCTTATGTATTAGATTTGGCCCAGATATCTGTTCTTCCATAATAAACTTCATAACCATCCCAATTCTCTTCTTTTTAACCTTCTTTCCTATTCAATTCCTGATAACCCTCCGAGGTATTCCTTCTCATTCCCTCACTCCATGTCAAATAAAGGAGTAAATACTGGGAGATATCTACAGGATGATCAAATCATTACGAGTTTGCATCCTGGTGCCAGGGAGCATTAACTCTTGCATTAATCCCCTACCCTATCTCCTTGCCTTAAAAGAAAAATCATACACCCGAAAAGGCGAGGAAAAGGAGGATAAAAAAATTATATTAACTGAACCAAATTTGTTCCTTGATGTCTAAAATGTAAAGCATGAGTGGAAATTTTTGATTCTGAGCAAACAATTTTTTTTAACCTCCTACATGAATAAAATGGTTCTCTACCTTCGGCAGTGAATAAATAAAACTTATTTCTTTTATTTATTGGTTTTTAAATGAACCATGATCTTTATTTCAGGTGATTTATGATTCTGAGACTGAAGGTGAAAGAAATGAAAAAAATAGCACCTCTGATAAGCCATCATCCTTAAAAAGTTACAGTGTCAAATCTGCTCCATATCCAGGAGAAAAACAACTAAGAAAAGTAATGTATAAAATAAATACATAGATTTTTGCCAGTGAGGTAGGCAAATATAACTTTCTTTTCTGATTTTTATGTTTACTTTATTTGTTACATACCATTAAATGTGATTCGGATATAGTTTCCCATCATCAGAACCATATTGACTTTTTTCAGATATCTTTCACTGCAAGGATAAATTATTAATCTATTGTTACCTATTGTAAATTACTATTATTTAAAGTTGACTTCATTTTTTTGTTGGTTTGCTCCATTTCTCATAATATAGACATTGTTTTTCACTTTTTAAAATTAAACACAATCAGGCGTAACATTTATATTGGCTAACAATTTGTTACATTTAAGAAAATTAATTTGTACCTTATGCTTGCCTTTTTCTTTTTCATCCTCCTTCCCATTTTAGACTGTTTTTATACTGATATTTAATTTAATTGGTTTATTTTATCTTTTCGATTCTCTGTATCATGTCTCCAAAATAGTGTGAGACCAGGTATTCAGTATCTGTTTTAAAATTTACTGTTATAGAAATAGAAATAGAAAATAGTTTTATTCTGGGACAAGTCCCTTTAGAATAACAAAAAAGTACAAAATTAAAATATTATATCTGGTCTAAATTAAATAAAAACCAACACAAAAAGTAAAAAGAAAGAGAAATAAGTAAAGAAAACATTGGTTAAACATAACATATACAAAATAAATAAAAATATCTAATATACAAAACACTTGAAAAACTATGCCAAGGCACTTAAAACTATGTACAGTGGTAAAATATAAATATGCAATTTTAGAAAAAAAAATATACATTACATTCTGCTTAGAAATAAACTCCGTGTCTCTGTAGGAAAAAAGAGAGAGAGAAAAAAAAAAGAAAGCCGAATCTGATAGTAAAAATTTTCAGAGTATTTAAGTGATGAATTATATGTAGTGCTATGTTCCTGGCCTCGCGTTTCTACAGCGAGTAGGGGGTTCCAGGAACCGCATTTATTTGTATTTAATACGTATATTGGTATTTATATCGGTCCCAGAAGGGAACCGATCTACAGATCGGGAACCGATCTACAGAAAAATATATTAATTCTGTATTAAAAGGTTAGATACCACAGACCCCCTACTGTAGTATCCTAGATTGAACCATATAATTTATATTGGATTTCTTTTCTAGAGGTATCGTGTTTTTAAATTTACCATTTGTTTCTATTACTAATAGGTGGCATGCAAGGTATTGTAAAATTAACAAGATGGTTTACTAACTATTATATTTATCAACTTCAACAACCAAAAACATCTATATACAAAATAATAACTAAACCTATATACATCATGAATAGTTGAGAATCATTCTGGAGGAGAATGCTTGATGTTTGATTAAAGTTACATGTATTCTATTGATTCTATTAATTAACGATTTATGGTTGCCAACACAAGTTTACATCTGTATAACTAAATGAGGGTTATTACCTAGCTGGTTCTTCATCATCTTCGAGTCTCCTTCCATGTCGCTCTCCTCAGTCTCTGTCTTCCTCTCAGTGTTCAACCCTCCTAGCCTGACCCCCAGCAGAGTCCCAGCTATCAGTCCATATCTTACTCTCTCCGCCTTTCCTGATCAAGTGTCTTCTCAAAACTCTAACCATCCTACCTCTCTCTTTCTGTACTCTTTTCTGATTGGCTGAATATTCCTAGCCTAAGGGATGACCACGCCCTCTCCCCCAGGCCAAGGTATACCAGCAGGTACAGATTTGTGTATTTCTGGTGGAAGGTGTGAAAGGTCTTTCTGGATCCTGTTTAAACACTCAGTTGTCGGTCTTGGTCGGTGGTTCTTAAGGGTTTTTATTACCACTTACAAAAGGTTGTCCTCGTGGGTCGTTACCCTCGCTCAGGTACCGCCAGATGTGAGCACTTACGATATGTATTTATTTATACCTTTAAAATAATTTAATGAATTCCACCGGTGGTCTTTACAATACATAGCATTCTCCTAGTCTATGGGGAAAAGAAAAAATTAAATAAACTTAAGTTTATTTGATGGAAATGTATGGAATGTATGGAAATGTATGGAAATGGTTTATTTAGAATGGAAAGTAAACATTTATTTATAAACATTATGGAATGAGATTTAACTCAAATATACACAGACTTATACATTAGCCACTAGAAATACTACAAAAATATTTTTTTAGACAACCAGTCACTCTATTTTAGTTGCATATCTAAAATTAAAAAGCCATAAACTTAATCATATATGAAAATGGAAATATATTATCCATACTATTAAGTAACCAACAGTATTTTTCCTACTGCAATATATCAATACCACTATACCTAAATCTGTACAGTTTATCTGCACGATTAGTGGAACGCATAATAAAACATAAATATACATTATGATATTAATTACAATAATGTTGAACCTTTCATTCTACTATTTTTCTTCCTTGTTTACTAAAATATCATTCAAACAACATTTTATAGTGTGATTGCCTTGAATATCTAACATTCACTTTATATTTACACTATTTCTATGATTCTTATTTATACTCTCAAAAAAGAGTCTAAAAAAGAATTCATTTATTCCTCTGGTTCACTTATTGAAGGTTTGTTTATACACTGACTGTATTTACTAAACTGTAGTAAATAAACACAACGTATATATTCGTTTAGTATAAGTACCTTGCGTGGCAACCGTTATAGTAAAAACAAAAATTTTACCTTTGGTTTTTAAGAGAGTTGTACCATCTTTTACCTTTAAACTTTTATATCATATCCTTGGTCTAGAAGCTCATAGCATTCTCATCATTTACAACAGTCCTTTCATTTTCATTCAGAAATTTTTAAATCATATATTCCTCTAGCTCTCCAAAAGGAGAGGTCAAAACTTGTTTTTTATAAAATGGGATGGTATATCAAATTCATGAAAACCATTCTGTCACTATCGGGATGCTTATATATTTTGCTGAAATAGTGAATGAACCTCGTTTTCTTCGTTTTCTCAATGACCTATTAATATTTTATTTACTCAAAAAACTCTATTCAATGAATATTCAAATTCCCATCTTATGTTTTTTAATTATGGATGAATCATCCATTCCTTACACGTGGCCGTTATAAATCGTTAGATTTGTCTCAAATGTAGTCATGTGCACATCATAATGACAAAGTATATTAATTGAGCCCCATTTACCAATATAATTTTTAAACCTTCTGGATCCATACACATATTACCTCAGTACTCTGGAGGTATAGTTATAGAAGATTTCTTTATCTTCTCCTAATTATTCATTATCAATCACACTTAGTGATGAATGGATGCACTACAGTTATTCCATCAAAAGGGTTCTCCCTTATATAAAATTTAACAACCCTACGGGTGATGAGGAGGACCTATGTCTTCTCCTAGTTGAGGGTAACTATTCCCTATTCCTTTAAATTAAATCCTATCTGGATTAAAAAGTAAATGATCCAATGTTCCTTAAGAAGTTAATTTGGGGTGCTCGTCTGCGCTAATTTTGAACTACGCCAATATAATTTTAACTAAATCTTACTCCCATCAATCTGGCCACTGTACATTTAAATTAAAATGAAAAGTTTTATCCCTTTATTTAATAATGATTTATTTTCGGTCCTTCCCTTTTTGAATATTGTAACATCAGATTTTTATTTTAATGTATCTTTTTTACTTTACCTATACTAGGTAAGGAAAGTATTGAAATCAGGTCAAATTTCCGATATGCGGTTTTTGATGGATCTATACGTTTCAGATCCCTTAAGTCCGAAAAACACATTTTTAGCCATTGGTGTGTCTGTCAGTGCCAAGATTTTCTCGAGAACTGGTGAACCGATCTTTTTTTATTTTGTAGGGTTTCGACTACTGATGCCTGTAACACAAATCGGGTGCTTCCTGTGCTATGGTGGCTGCCCAATAATTGAAAAATATATTTTTCTATAGACTGTAGCGCAAAAACAGCTGTAACGATTTTTATGAAACTTTCCTAAAGTGTTCCAATAATTGTCCTTTCAATTTTTGTGCATGTACTAAATTCCTGAGAAAATTCAGGAAAAAAGTTATAAAGAAAAGAAAAATGTTTGGGGCCTAACACGCTAAGTATATATTCTATGGTAAAATTTATAATATAAATTTTGAAAGGTAATTAAATTGCAAACAAAACAAAGCGATGATACAGCATATTCTATATTCTACAATCTTTTAATTTATTATTTTCCTACCTAGGTAAGGAAAGTATTCCAATATGCGGTTTTTGATGGATCTATACGTTTCAGAGCCCCTGAGTCCAAAAAAACACTGCTTAGCTTGTTTTTTTTTAAGCTAATGAAATTCCATACACAACTATTAACAAAGTTACTGCTATTCAATTTCATTTGTAAAAAAAGAGAATTAAGTCAACGTAAGAAAATCTGTTACCTGCATCACACAGGCTTCACTATTTTCTTTTCTTTCAACAGAAATTATTTTTTGACAAAATTAGGCTATAGGAAAAAGTTTTTGATAAGCAATATTAGAGGATATTGAAATTATTACAGTGATCTACCACAAGCCGGTTTATATTGCTTTAGTTTATCAAAGAAATCATACTCAAATCTTTTCTTTGATCAATTTTCAAGAAATTAAATCTAATTTAATTTTTTGGATTCTCAATGAAATTATTTAAAGGTATAAAAACTTTTCTGATATAGGTAGGAAAGTCGTGTGAGTGGACACTAATTGTTTTCTTAAATTTATTTAATGGCTGGCGGGGGGGGGGAGGGGGTAGAGAAATTTTATTTAAGGGAGATACTTGGAGATATTTCTGTATTATCCATTCTTTTGATTACTTTTAACCCTCCAAAATAACTATATTTCTGTAATACTAAAATCTTTTGGTTGTTTTTAAGTTTTTTTGTTTGTTTAGTTTTCTCCCATGGCCTACAGTATGACTTCAGAAAGTTGGAGAGAAAAAATAAGGAATGTTGTTAGTGGTTCTGGTTTTTCTACATATTCTGATATGAAAAAGGTACTTGTATATATATATATATATAAATATATATATATTAAATGAAGTTATGTAATTGTTGATTTTTTTTATTAATTTTAGAAAATTATTAGCTCAAAAGGAAATATCAAGTCTTCAAAAGATAGAAAAAGAGGGAAATATGGCTCTGTAAAAAGTGAGTCCTCTAATAAATCTAATTTACAAATGGTGAGTATTAATTAATTTTTATTATTATTATTTATGGTTAACCTATTTCTGTTTAGTATATAGACGTAATATTGATATTTTAATTCTTTTTTTTATTTGCCTATTATTACAATTATTTGTATCTACCTGCAGGTCTCCCTAATTAATAGAGCAATTAATCATTTAAATTCTTTTAGTCATAATTAAATAAAAAGAAAAACAACAATTTTTATAATAAATCAGTTCTGCTACAGCCTGACGGTGGAGACAGATGCTATTGGAGAAGATCTCTGATTTTTTATTTTATTGTATTCTTTTCAATCAGTTTTATGATCAAAATTATTATTATTATTTAAATAATAGTGAAGTAAAGATCATTTCCATCTGACTTGTCAAATCAAGGATTTCAAATCAGTACATTTTTGCAGATTTTTACCTGTAAATGTGTACATTCCCGAAATGTCTAACTTAAGTATCCAATCAACTTCAATGAGTGTGAAACATGATATAGTTGAAAAAAAATATATACAAATTGTTTTATTTAACTTACGCAAGTTATATTCCTATCCCCACATATATTATTACAGTAAGGCTCAAAATCAGTTTTTTACCAAATATAAGCTCCTGCCATGCTCAAATACCATTAATGGGATACCGTTGGATTCAGAATTTCATGGAGGGTTAGCGAATCGTACTCTCTGCTTTTGTTTTTCTTTCTAAAATAAATATAGTCGCTTCAAACATTTTTCTAGGCTTCAATTCTGGAATGGTAGTAAGTCTGGAGATCGATATGGGACAAATTGGGCTTTCAAGATTTTAATGCGTTTCAGCAAGACCTCAAACCTTCACCAAATCCCAAGATTGAACCACCAATTTTGAAGGCTTCATTCTCCTTCAGGCGGGCAAAATAGTCCAATTACCCCTAAAATTCAGGCTAAAAGTTATGAAAGAAAAGAAACTTTATTTGCGAATAACTTGAAAATTACATACTTTTCCCTAGGTTATGTCCATAATTATATAAAAGATTACTAATTTCCCTACAAAACGAAAAAAAAATCATCAAAATCGGACAATTTTTAGCAAATATACGGCTTATTGAAATTCGTACTTTTAAATTAATTTTTGTTTCATTTTCATTAATTCGACAATTTATTTCTTTTATGATACGTTGCATTGTTTTATTTTCTTAATAATTTATTATTTGACCACTGAACAATACACTGTGTGAATTTTCGCACGAACCTACTAGTAAACTAAAATTGTAATGTATAAAAAAAACTTTTTTTTTCATAAAACATTCAGTATACTAGTACTACCATAAAATTAATATTCATATATCACAATCTAAGCAAATTCATCCTCACACAGGATCACTTATTATCTCATATCTGGTACCATCATTGGACCTGCGCAAGCAAACTTTTATTGTTGCTTGACAAATTATTAAATATGAGCTTAATCACTTCTGCACTAGCATTGTAAAGTCACTTATCTGTATTCTAATGTAGTGCGTCCAAGATGAGTTTGCCTGTAGGTAAAGGGAGCTTGGGCAGCCTTCTCCCTCTCAAGTTCTGGTTCAATGAATGAAACTCATTCGAGTAAAGTCGGCTGGGGTCAACTAATTGAAGTGTTTTTGCATATGGATTGAAATATCTCAGAAACTAAAAATCAGACTTGCATACTGTAAGCGAGGGAAATGTTCAGCGTTTCAACTCTTTATAATGTGGTATTATTAAAAACTTAACACAACGAAAAAAAGGTGTCACAACCCAAATGATAACGAGTTTTATAATTGTGGGTTGATGGTTGACTGTAGTGAATAATTGAAGAGAAGGATGGTTGGGGGTGATCAGTCAAAATAAAATAGTAAAAATAAATAATTGTATTTATTTTTACATTCTCCTACGTTTCGGCCCGAAGTTCAGGACAAAAATGGACAAAAAAAGAACAAACAAGCAATAAAATACTCAATTTCACCTCTAACCACCCCTAACACCAAATAATAAACACAGCCCGAAACCTTCTAAACAATGCAATTACATTAACTGACCAAACTTACATTTCATAAATAAAAACTGAAATATACAAAATACTAACAGAAAATTTCTACCCAATTAAACTAATAAATAAAATATTGTACAGCAGAGCACACAACAGAATACACATATGAAATTGGAACAAAAACAAACAACAAGAAATACCAAAAACACAAATAAATAATATTAAACTACTAAAAAAACCTAAACAACAATTTATTACGCAGTTTTTCAAGGAGACAGTCACAACAAATGACAACATCCAAAATAATCATCCACAAACAATCAAAATACACAATAAAAGAATATTTAACAAAATGACATACATACCACAACTTACAAAACAAATCAAAAAAGTATTCATGAACTATGACCTACCGGAAAGCCAGTTTGTCATAAATAACGATAAAAAATTAAGTAAATAATTGACAAACACAAAAGACAAGGTAGAAGTTCAGCCCTTTATCAGAGCTGTTATATCAACAAGCGTAGACAAACAGACCCTGGTAGTACCCTAGCTCCTTTCGGTCTGTCTGTCTACCCTTGATGAAGGCCTGAACTTCGGGCCGTAACGTTGGGGAACGTAAAAATAAATACAATTATTTATTTTTACTGATCATCCCAACCATCCTTCTCTTCGATAACGAGGTTTTATTCAAAATATGTATTAAAATATCTCAGAAACTAAAAATCGGAGCTGCATACTATAAGCTAGAGAAATGTTCAGCATTTCATTCTCTTTTTACTGAGCTATAAATGACAATTATATTTTAATGTGATGTCGAGTCAGAGTTGGAAAGGGAAAACAATATTGCCAAGAATCGAAAAAGAACGACTGTTTTGAACATTTGGACTAAAATATCTCAAAAATTTAATACCATAAAGAATTCAGAAACTTATTTGCAGATGCTAATATAGATACTTTTTTTTAAATAGCCATAAAAATAAGACTTTATGTGTTTCTATTCGATTTACTGTTCCACTCGATAGAGTTTCAACTGACCCCTGTTACAGAAGTTATATTTAAAAAATAATGGAGTTTTTGGTGTATATTTAGCAAATATATTTCAATCAAAAGTATTTATCAAATATTTTAGTTATCATTAATCTCTTAATCATTTTTAGAGTATGATACAAATGGCAATCAGTCAGAGCAAAGTTTACTGCAATAATTTATACACAATTATAACTGTATATGTTGTAAATGTTATTTATTATTTTGTGAATATAGAACAAAAAGTATTTTATGCACAACTATGATTATGTAAATTGTAAATGTTATTTCTTTGTGAATATAAAAAAAAAAAATTTATATTTCATATTATTAATCTCTCCTTGTTGATGTCATCATTTCTATCATGTGGTCTAAAGACCATACCATAGTTTTTTTCATTTGTACAAAAATTTATAAATAATATTTTATATCTATTAAAATTCTCCTTCAAAATGAACCATTAAAGAGGTGAGGTCGAAATGGGATTACCCTAACTACCCTACCTGCCTCCTTAGAGGTATGAAGTTTCCGATTCTTATTATTACACCACTATCGATATCTTCTTTCAAATCTCTCCTCTTCGGCGCGCTGCACTTCGCAACGAGTATAAGTCCAAAGCCAAAGTATACCGAAGAGAGGTACGTTCACGAAAGCGTAGGTCCTGGGATGAATTTATTGCAGAAGAATCCTCGAAGAATTCTTGGGGTATCCCATACAGAGTCGCTATGGGTAAGTTCAACCCTCCGCAGACAATAGCAGCTCTTAAGTATGGAGATGCGCAGGCAACCACCTTCGAGGAAGCGGCTAACATCTTCATAAAGGCGACATACCCCAGAGATGATCCATCCCAGGACAATGAGGAGGAAGCTTTCGTGCGACGTTCTACGTTATACCCTCCTGGCACGGACTTATGCCCACCGTGGGACATACATGATCTACGTATTGCTGTGGAAAAGCAGAGAAAAGGACGTGCTCCAGGACTCGATTCAATAGATGCGGCGATCTTGAAGAACAGTATCCCCTACATTGATGAGCGATTATTGAGGATTTTCAATGATTGCCTGGATCGGGGATACTTTCCAAAAATGTGGAAGATCGCCGATTTGAGACTCCTCTACAAGGGAGGAGGCAGGGATAAGCAGCTCCCAAAGTCATATAGACCTATATGTCTCCTCCCTATAATGAGCAAGGTCCTGGAGAATCTCATCTTAACCAGCCTACGACCAGTTCTCGCAAGGGCTAGCCATCCGCGTCAATACGGTAGTACCAAGGGAAAGGGAACCGCTGATGCCCTGCTTCGAGTACAAGCGGACGTTGAACAGAAGGCTGAGCGGTATGTCATGTTGCTGCTTTTTGACATATCCTCCGCCTTCGATAGTGTCTGGTGGCCGCGAGCACTTCAGCAGCTACAGAAGTACGATGCCCCCAGCAATCTATACGCCCTCATAAGTAGTTATCTCCAGAACAGATTTGTTAAGGTCAGAGGTAGCTCTTATGAAACTGAAGCTTCCATAGAGAGGGGATGCCCTCAGGGATCAGTCCTTGGTCCAACTCTATGGAAGCTAGTGTTTGATGAGTTGCTGGGTGTGCTCGAAAATGAGCGGTTCCCTGCTACGGCTTACGTCGATGACTTGGCGGCAGTAGTAGCGTCAAACAGCAGAGCCGGAATAAAGCTACAAGCAGAGCGGTGCGCCAATCTGGTCGGGCAATGGTGTGAGGGGATGAAGTTACGAATGGCCGCATCAAAGACCCAGGCGATCCTGCTGAAGGGAAAGACGGATAGGGCACATCCTATAAATCTGTGTATACAGGGAACGAGAATACGTCCAAGTGAGGTGGTCACCTACCTTGGCATAAGGTTTGGAAGAGGATTTAATATGACCCCTCATTTGGACTATTTAGGAAGTAGGGTGGCCCTAGCCTTGAATGGACTTAGTCGCCTAGGGGGTGCATTTTGGGGCCTCAGATACCCAGCTACGAGGATCATTTACGATGGAATGATAGTGGGTATTCTGAGGTACGCCTCTCCTGCGTGGTCTCAGAATCTCTCACATCGTCAGAAACGCAGATTGGCGACAATTCAACGTACGGCTCTGTTGCGAGTCACAAAATCATACCGAAGTGTGTCTCACGAGGCGGTGCAGATCTTAGCAGGAGGGGTACCTCTCGACCTTCTCCTGCGAGAAGACTCGCTAATATTTAAGTTGAAAAGAGAAGGCTCAGCAGGTCTTCCGGAGAATATCCGGGTGAGGATTGCAGAAGACCCAAGAAAATGGAAGAGGATTATCCGGGAGGACACCATAGATGAGTGGAATCGGCGGTGGGTAACAACCTTGAAAGGAGCAACCTTAAGAAAATATTTCCCCACCGTCCGAAGTCGCTTGAAAGCTAAGTGGGTTCTCCCGGACTACTGGGTCTCTCAATTCCTTACTGGGCATGGGGGTTTCCGCTTTAAGTTACATGGTTTTGGAAAAGACATAGATCCCCTATGCCCCACTTGCGGAGTACCGGAGACGGCTGAGCATATTATCGTCAACTGCACCGCCTTTGATGGACTAAGGGCCGAAATGATCAGAAAAATGGGAATCTATGGCCTCACGGAGGATGAATTTCCCGGGTTAGTGACGGAGCAGAACTACCCGTATTACAAAGATTTTGTGTACGGGTGGAAAGCTGCTCTGGGACCCTCTCACTTTAATCTAGGAAGAGAACCTGCTAATAGAAGGCCACCAGACTAATATATTGAAAATAATGGAAAAAAAGAAGATATGTGAAAAACAAAACAAAATTGAAAATTAATTTGTTGTTTAATAGCAGGAATGGCATGCACGTGTGTGATATGCCATCCCTGCAAAATCCCGTGTAGCCGAAAGGCAAGGAAGGGAGGCATAAATAAATAAATCTCTCCTCTTCCAACACCTACTCCATTCCCAATCCGATTGATCACGAAATGCACTTAAAAACCTAAGCTGTAAAAACCTCAAAGTACACCCAGATACTCTGATTATTTTGTAATTCATTGATATTTCGTTCACTTAATTATTTTCTCTGTATATTTTATATTTATACATATTTATATCTTTTTATCATTTATAACTTTATTGTACTCCGAACCTGTAAATATTAAATTGTATTTCATGGACACACCAAAATATTGATATAGATTCTGTATTTGTGACTTGTTCTAAATGGGCACTAGTCCCAGAATAATAAAATTATTTTCATTCATTCATTCACTATGAACGCTTTCCAAAGTTTCAAAACTTTATTAAATATTGCTCTCATACCCAATACATAATTTAAAAGTAGTCAAAAGTAACAAATGTGAGAGTAGCTAACTTGAGAATTCAATTAAAAAAATTAATTTAATGAAGTGAAGGATTTTACAAATAATAATATAACCTTGTGGAAAATCACTTTATACTGTTGGGATACTTCCTAAATAAATAAGAGGTACTTAAATAAAAAAGAAATAAGTGTATTAATATATTAAATTGAAATATATAATTATTTTATCTCAGGTATGGGTTACTCACAATCAGATCAAAACACTCAGACAAACTAAAATTAACTACACCAAACACTGTTCGATTTTAAAATAATGTCAAGTTTGAATTGACAAGCCAACCTCTTTTCTATATACACTGTTTCTTCCTTTGTGGCACTGAATTCATTTGTCTTCTGACATTTTCTTATGTTCTGCGAAATATATCTTCCAAAATGGTGACACTTTCTTCTACTCAATTCAAGCTTCCTGGAAGATCCTCTCTCTTATAACTCCTAACAACAAGTCTCTCTGCCAAACAACAACTTACAAGATGGTAATACTATTACTGGGTTTTATCCACTGGAGCCAGGATCGTTTCTCTCATCCTTTTTTCACCCCAGCAAAACACCAACTGCTTGCCAAAACAAAATCCTTTGTTCCCTTTCCTCTTTGGGATTTTCTTTCTGTGAAAACTACAGAGCAGCCATTTTATTTTCCCTCAACTGGTGAAACTAGATTACCTTGCCTTTTAACTGTTCAACATTAATTTACTAAACCATTTTTACTAACTTCCAATAAAGCTGTATATTACAAATTATATTTATTTTTATATTTGCCAATGTTTCGCCCCGAAGTTTGGAAAAGTCTTTCCATGCTTCTTCGATTGACCTGCCCTGATGAATGCCTGAACTTCGGGCCGAAACGTCATAAATATAATTATTTATTTTTACTATTTTTTATTTTGACTGATCACCCCAACTATCCTTGTTTTGAATTATTCACTACAGTCAACCGTCAATTCAAAATTAATAAATTTAATGATTTATATTAGTAGAAACATTTTTTTTTTTCGAAACTGCATTTGTAGGACTTTAATTATGACTGCTGATAAAGAATAGATATTAACAGATAATTATAAAAGTAAGGTGAGGTGATGTGATTTCTGTTGTGAGTTCTCTTACTCATAAATCCTCCATTTTAAAGGGTGAATCTGTTATAGTATGGTACATGAATCTCCAAAGATCAGAGTTGTCCTGGGTTATAGCCATGACAAATCAATATTTCTCTAAATAATAGCAGTAAATTGAATAATATCAAAATTGAAGAAATTACCCATGTTTATTGGAATAATGAGAATTTTTATCTATGGAAACACCGTGCACATATATTTTCATCTTCAATGCTGAATAATCTCTTCTTTATAGTTATCTTTCATATGTTTTACCTTTTTTTAACTATCTACATTTTCTTTTTATTTGGTTTTTGTCATTCAGTGTGATAAAAAGATTTTTGAAACATTTTTTCGTGAAGATTATTTCGTGAAGAAAACAAGAAGCCTATCTTCAACCATCTCTTCTGTTAGAAGGAGAAGCAGTATGGTATGTAATGATGAAAAGTTCAATATTAACTGTGGATATAAGTAAATAATTTAGTTTTGCTAAATTATAAGCTTGTAAATTATTTAACGAACAAATAATTATTAAATTATTTCTTTTCTCCTGTTCATTTAATCAGTTATTTCTTATATTAGATAGAAATGTATTTAATTATTTATAAAGATAATGTATGTGTAAGCTAATACACTTCTATACTTATTGTATTTTTATACCATCTCTGAACATCAGCCTGCCGCACATCTAGATTTTTCATGCATGAACAAGTAATGATTTGAATGATTTGGTAATGATTAGTGTCTCTATTTCTATGTTTCTATTCACCAATGTACCTTTAAATATGGAATTAAAAAAAGGTTTGCAAAACTATGAAAAGCTTGTTGGATGCATCAGATTTGTACTTTCACTTACATATCCAGAAATATTTAGGAAAAGTACCGCAATGTGAAAAATTTCAAATCTTGAGTTTTCAGTGGTAATCTGAACAAGAAAGAAAAAAATATAAAGTTAACTGACAAGAAAGAGAATTTTTTTTTTTTGTATGTCTCAGTATATATTACTGGAATTGCTTCGTTTAGTAGTGTCGAAATTGTATTGTGGAATCTCTTAAAAGAAAGCATTAAAACTAGACGGTCATCCAGAAGTTGAGGAATCCCTTTATATTAGATTTTTGCAGCAGTTATAAAAAGCAGTATTTTAATTTTATTTCACTGGAAAAATTGTTTATAGCCAATTTATTTTTCATTGTAGATAAGTCAGAGTCCTGGAGCCCATGGCAAAAAAGGTGTATTTCATACCAAGGTTGGCCCTTATTAATTGTTCATATCCAAAGACCTGATGAGAAAACTGCACATATGCCAGCATATAGCTGCTGGAATAGAAAATGGAGGCGAGGAGAAGATAGATTGAGACTATATATAGGTAGTAAACGTATATAAATAGAGAGAGGGCTTATAAATATAGAAAGCTACCAACGCCCAGCCATCTTATAATGAAGGTGATAATGTCTGCCTCTCCGTATAGTGCAGCAAGCTTCCAGTTGTACCTGGCTCTCCTGACTCCTCTCTCACACAAAAGTCCATATATCTTGTGCAGGGTCTTTCTCTCCCAGACTCTCAGCATTCTTTCATGTTCAGCCATCATTATCCATGTTTCACTGTCGTAAGTTACTACGGGACGAATCATGGTCTTGTACACTACTTCTCGTGCCTTCCTTGACTTACCACGAAATTTAAGTACCTGCTGAAGGGCAAAATAGCATCTGTTTCGCAGTTATTCTGGCACTAATTTCAGCCTTAATACTGTTACCTTCTATCATCTAGAAGCCAAGGTATTTACACTGAGAAATTATAGGATACTTATTGTTTTATTGTTCTGTAAGGGATAACGTCTGCTGCTCTTCATGTAGGCAGTCTTCTTTTCTTTTATGCGCAGACACCTTGCCACTTCTGCCACCTCAATCTCCTCTAGAGCTCCGGCCATTGCTGGAACGGATCTGGCCTCAATCTCCACATCATCTGCATATGCAAGATGCTCTGTGAGGGGATTAAAGATTGTCCCTACTGGATTTGTCCTGATGGAACGTACAGCTTTTTTCAAGCTCATGTTAAAAAGCATGGTTGCCTTTTTTTCTCCTTGCAAGATTCCTGCCGTTATCTAACACTATTTAGATAGCCCCCTCTGCAGCTTCACCCGGTATCTTGTGTTCCTCATTGCCATTCTTACCAGTTTCAACTTTTCTTTCCATGTGAGCAGTAAGTTTCCGGTTGATGGCAGTAGACAATGCTTAGGCAAAATTCAACAGAGAAATCCCTCAGTAGTTAGAGCACCAGAGCTTGTCGCCTTTCTGATATATGGGACAGATAACCGCTACTTGCCAATCCTCAAGGATTTCTTTTGACCAGAGATCATATATGAACTGGTAAAGTTGGTCCCATACTTCTTCCTCACCATATTTCAGCAGCTCCGCTTCAATCCCATCTATCCCAGAGGCTTTATGTATCTTTGTAATTCACTAATTTAGAAAAAAGTTGTTTTTTTGTTCGCATTTTTATCATTATTTGACTCACCAACTCTTTTATGTTTTATTTTACGAAAAAGTCTTTATCTTTTCATTTTATGAAAAAGACATGAGGAAGATAGTTATTTAATATTAAATTTTCTTTAAAAATATGTATTATTTATATTCTTATCTTCAACCTTTCAAAGGCTAGAGCAATTATAACTTAATGATTAAACTCAGAAACTATACAGAAAAACTTACTTTTTGCAATTTTCGTTATTAAACAGCTCTTAATCTGTATATAAGACAATGTACATGTGTATACATTGCATATATGATATACAATGTAATTAAATATTACATAGTGATTTTGAATAGTGGCGCTAAGGTAGTGACGTCACAAAATACTGCCAAAAATGGACAAAGAATGACAGATGGTGGGGGAAGAAGAGCCATATGTTAGGACAGGAGGTAAGCAGCCAGCTAGTAAAGAGGATCGGTGAGAAGAAAATGTTAGTTAACAAATAGTCAGTGTCTACAACTAGACGAAGACAAGAAATTAATAGAACAAGAGAAAGTTGTAGAAGTTGGATGCAATACCGAGGAAGATTTACTCGGTTATACTTATTGTACTTATTGTATGATTTAGAAAATTCATAAATAAGTTATACAAAATTAATGTGTGTAAGTTGTCTCAACCCAACCTGGGAAATAATTATTGCATAAAATAAATATAATTTTATTCACAAATTGTTTTGTTTACTTTTCGAGGGGAACGTAACCTTACAACCTACGGTCAGAGCTTATGTACAGATTAAGAGCTGTGTGATAATGAAAATTACGATAATTAAGCTTTTCTGTATAGTTTATTCTTTTTTTCTGTTGACACTACAGACCATACAGATATTTGACCGTGAGATGTGGTCTCCTAGACCACATCCCGATTCCTGATTTAAGTACACGGGGGTAGGGTCATCAGTCCTATGCCCGGTCAGTGTGAGTTGCCTCCAGTAGACTGACATACCCAGGGGGGGTTTGATCTCAGGCAGTGTGGCTTTGCCTGGTGGACGGCCACCCAAATCGGGCAGTCAAGTGCCTTAGCCTGCACGGCTACACCAGCCCCCTCTGAGTTCATTCATTAAGATATAATTGCTCTAGTCTTTATAAGGTTGAAGATAAGAATGTAAAGTAATATATATTGTTAAAGAAAATTTAATATAAAACAGGTATCCTCCTCATGATTTTTTCATAAAATGAAAAGATAAAGAATTAGCGTGCCAAATAATGATAAAAATGTGAGGCAAAAAATAATTTTTTTTTTCAAGTTAGTTAATTATCAGGAGGGATATCAAGGAAACTATAGAATATAATGTAAAAAATAATATAACCATTTCTATTCCAATTTTTTTTAGCTTTAATTTCACATATGACATTATTATAGATAGAACGCATATTTTCTATATCTATAAGCCCTTTCTATATATGCGTTTACTATTATACACCTGGCCATCATTTTTTATTCCAGCAGCTATATGCTGGCAGACATGCATTTTTATCACTAAGCCTGTGGATGTGGTCAATATGTAATAACAAACCTTAGTATGGAATATGACACTTTTTTTGCCATCGGCTCCCGGACTATCATAGAAAGGCGAAATGGATACAATATTGATTATCGAAGCCTGGCTTTTTTAAAGAATTTCGGAGATCAGTTGTTTTCTTTAGCAACCGAATCAGAGACTCGACCTACATTATACAATTATTTTCAGAAAGCATTTTTTAGTTTGCAATGTGGTTATCTTTAACTGATAATGCATATATTTTCATTACCTTTTGCCATTTTTGTGTGGTTTTAAATTTAACCTTCGGATAATTAGAACAATTTGATAATCTGAACAGGCCATGCAGTCTGCGTGTTCGGATTTTGAAGACCGTAATTGTAATTTTTATTTATCCTTTGCTTAGGTTCATTACTATTGCTTTGTTAAAATTTGTATTAATAATTTATTAATCATAGATTAAAACTGGACCACAGTAAATCTGTATAAAATAATAGCATTTATTTAGAATGTTTTAAAGTACACTTTAAAATTAAAATTGTAAGGTTTAAGCCTTTCCAATTTGGCTGTTTTAAAACAAATTCTATTTATATGTATATACACACAATATTATAGTAGGAATCGATTAATTTTAATAAATTATGCTAATGAAATTATGCTAGTCAAATTTGTCATGCTGGATATATCAATAGCGTTTTTAAGACTTCCTTTGGGCAAAGAAAGAAATATTCTAAATTTGTATATACATTTTTATTTATATATTGTATGTTAGTTAATAAATAAATTTCTGGAGAGTAAGAGAATATAAGAAAAAGAGACAATCAAAATTTGAGAGATTTTTTCACCTCACTTTGGGGAGCCTTTACCTTACTCCTCAGTCAGTTGACTAGTATAAGTTTTGGATTCTTGTTAACCTGACTATTTCTTTACTTTGTGTACCTTTAAAAAATTTTTATGGTTAATAAACAAAATTTTAGAATTAAAAATATGGTACGTAAATTTATTTCTGTGTGACCTGTACATAATGTATTAAGTGCAAAAATCATACATATGAAAAAACATAATTAAAGTTTGGTATTTTCATAGATGGGAAGCAGGGTTGCTCAGTGGTAGGGCACTAAGCTTCCAATATTGAAGATCCCAGATTCGCATCCCAGCACATGACAGAAAAATTATTTATTCTGTTTCATTGGCCGTGGGGCGACCTTGGGGCATACTCAGCCTCTACAAAGTGGGTAACCTTAATTAAATGATTGATTCCTGGCCCAATCACCTCCTTGCACAACCGTTGGCCTTGTAAAGGTACTATTTTGTTGGCGTGGCCCACGACAGCAACCACTATTCCACGCTGCCAACCGCTGTTGGCGTAGCTATTTCTCTGAAACTGCTCACTGGCCCTTAACCTTATATAACCTGCCTATAATCTTCAAACATTTCACTTTATCTTCAAAGATAAAAAAATGGACATCCTTTCTCTGACTACCGCTTTTTTATTTGAGGAGGAAGAAGAAGTGGAAATGTTGTTCATAAGGAGAAGCAATATCAGTATTTCAATGAGATGCTCATCATCCAAATCATCAAATCCCTTCTTGGACATTGTTTGTTATTGTCGAGATGAACAACCAAAAATTGAGGAACAACCAAAAAAGAACAAAAAGGCGGAAAATGCGGTACTAACAACAATAGACCCTCTGATATTAGATATTATTAGTTTGAAAAGTAATAGTAATTATTACATAATTGACTAGTAATAAATATCATATATTTGTAATTAAATCACAGCAGGCGTTGTTATATCGTTTTATCGATAGTAATCAGTAAATTCCCACTTTAATTAAAAAATAAAAATCGATTTTTCAATGAATGGATTTTCGTTATCATCAAGACAATGCTCTATATGCTAATGCTAATATGATAACATAACCTACAACCGCCGAGCCGTCAACAGCTCCACTGCTTCGAGAACGGTCAGCTAGGAGCAGCTTTGATATGACTTCATACCTAGACTGCCGAGCAGCACCAGCGAAATAGGTTCCTTTCTATTCCACTAAAGCAATGGCAAACAACAAGCAGTTGCGGTTGTGGGCTGCACCATCGAAATAGTACCTTAACAATACTTGCCCTAACCAGTACTGAACCTAAGACCCTTCATGGATTGTAGTGGTAGAGTTTTTTATTTTCACAGATGCAAGTACAATTTTCTAGTTTAAACCAATGGTTCACAAAGGAATGTTCATCTCCTTAATATCTGCATAACATAGCCTATTAGACACAAAGAAAGAGAGAAAATTAACTTTCTAGTGATACTCATACAAATTCACAAAATTGTACTTAAGTCACTTTTCACAGGTACCTCAAATTGAATGATTAATTAAGTGAATAAAATAAAATATTGTTTGTTGATTGATTTACTTAATAAATTCTTGATATTCCTTTTCTTATAAACTGCTGGTTAATCATAAGTGACTTGAAGTGAAGGCTGCATAATTCTTGATCTGGATATTACACTAGAAAAAGACTGTACTGGCGAATGTGTCTATCTATACAGCAAATGTTTGTTACTATCCTACAGTTTACACGATTAAAGTTGCTAATAGTTGCCGCCACTACATCTGAAACTATCATAGTTACTGTCATTGTGCAAACAGGCCTTTATTATTAGAATATATATAAACAATATATTTTAAACATCTGTATTTTATATCTTTAATTATTTAAGTATTTTTTGGCAGAAGAACCTACATTTGATCCTTTTAATGAACTGTTGAACTAACTAAAGTTAGAGAAACATAAATGTTTATATCCCAAAATTGTTTTGATATGTTTCCTTCTCTATTTCCTTCTCTATTCCTTCTCTATTGATATGTTTCCTTCTCTACATCTCTATTGATATGTTTCCTTCTCTATTATTTTTCAGACTCTTTTACAAGTTCGAGGATCGCCTCCTGATTTCAAAAAAATGGTTTTATCTAATGATATGTTCAAAAATGAACAAACGCCTATCCTGTCAGAAAAAGAAGATCCTGTTTTAAAAAAAATTCTGAAAAATAAAAGGTCCAAGAAAAAGAGTGGGGGTGATAAAAAAGAGGTACTGTTGGTATACTTAGCTATAAATAGCAAACGTATCAACTGTAATTCTCTCACTATAATTTGGTACTAGAAAATTATTTGTATTAATGAATTATCATAATGGGCAAGGATAGAAGTTCAAAACAATACTTTAAGTATAAAATATTTGGCTTGGAATAAACTTTACATTGATATATTATAGCGGTCTCCAAACTACAACTTATTTAAGATATTATTTCGTTGGTACTGACAACAATAATGGCAGATAACCTTTTATGCTTTCGTATTTCGCTGAAACTGCTCACCATTGCATTTGGGTTATGTGGCTAGGTTATCTCTTTACTATAAAATATTTAGCAAGCTTTCCACCATCTACAAAAGCATGATCTCTTGTAATATTTTGAGTCAGAAAATATCAGCCTAATGATTGACATAATATTATTTTAAGAATTGATGGTATATCTCTGATTTTAAATTTATTACCTATTATTAGTATAATAACTTTAGTATTGACCCTAGAACGACACACACCACAACATTTTCAATATTAATTTATTTTTATATAAATAGCTAAATACAGTCATTAGCACTCCTTTGTTGGACTTATATCATTATTGGGAATGATCGAAAGTCACTATGGGGTATCCCACACCCCAGTAGGTTGTTTACGTGACTCTTCGGGGTGCCTCACACCCCAGTGTGCTGTCTATGCAACTGTTCTGTGAATTTCCTATCCCAATGTTTTATTTGTAATTCTAAAACTTGAGGTGTGAATTTCTAATGTTATATTTGTTAATTAGTGTTATTTTCAATTCAGGCAACAATATATAGAAACTACTTTTTTAGTATGGCAACTACCAAAAAAATGTTTTCCTCTTCTGAAGAAATCCATAAATTATTATGGAAGTTAGAAGAAAATTGATTTGGATTAACATTTAGGGTCATTTGTACACACCTTCGTCAATCTCACTAACTTCCTGCGAACTCCCAGTTCTGCCATTATTTCAGAAGTTATAGATGACTAAAACAATTTCTTAAAAATAGAGGTGTTTTTATCGCTAAACGTTCTTCTGAGGTGGCCCATGTAAACAGTATTGTTTTTTACATGTTTATACCCATATATACAATTTAACTAAAAACATCTACCGCAGGTTCCTAGATTACCATTACAGGAAATAAATGAAGATTCGTCATTGTTGTTTTTATACTAAAATATTAGTTAAATCAATGTTTGTCATTCAATGTTTCTTAATATAAATATTTTTTGTCATCACAAGCCAGGGACCGTAGATCTTAGTGTTGTTCTTGGCTAAACAATTGGAGACCTGTGATATTATATATGGTTCTTTTTAATGCTACTAAGTAATACTTATGAATTTTTTAAAAATACCTATATAAGTTTTTTTTCGCCTAAATTTTATAAAAGTTTTCGAATCTGTTTCAATGAAATAAGAAAATTATAACCATGTAGTAAAATTTAAAAAGTAAATTAAGATCTTTGTATTTAATTATTTTATTTTATTTTTTCCTTTTGCAGGTATTGTTTAGTGATGAGGTGGAAAATATTGATTTTCAGCAAGTTTCGGAATCTAATGTGTCTTCTCAAATTCAAAACACAGTCTCCGAATCATCATCGGATTATAAAAAAAATGAAAGGCTATCAAAAAAGAAATTAAATTATATGGAAGATGTAAGGAGCTTTAAAAATTATTTTAAGATATATAAGATAATATGCTAATAAAATAAACTTATTTTATAATTTATAATTGTGGGTTGATGGTTGACTGTAGTGAATAATGAAGATAAGGGAGGTTGGGATGAGCAGTTAAAATAAAAATGACAAAAGTTATTATTGCTAATTTAAAGGAAGGAGATGGTCTGGGGTGGCGGTCATAAATAGGCTGAATAGTGGCAAAACTATTTGATTAAAAACCTAAATTATTTTTTACTTTATTTTAACTCTTTATTCTCTTATACATAGTCAATATATTTTGATAGACTTTACAAAATCTCAATTTTCTGTTTAAATTAATAAATTTACAATATCTCAATTTTTCTATTTCTATTTAGTTCTTATATAACTTTATATTCCTTTTCCTTTTTCCTGTTCTACATTTTATTCTGAGATTACCATTTTAGTTCTTATGTTATCTTATTTTGATTATGTTTACTTCATTAGTCTACACTTTTTAGCTGTTATTATTATTTATTTCTTAGTTCTTGTTATTGTTATTATTCTACCTACTTTATTTTACTTTAATGTTCACTTACCTACTTCATTTTATTTTAAGTTTTTTTTTTTTAACCTACATTGTTTATGTTTATCATACCTATTGTTATCTGGTTCTTTTCTTAGCCCTGATGAAGACCTGAACTTGGGGTCGAAACGTCGGCAAATGTTAAAATAGATATTATTATTTGTTTTTGTAATTTTTATTTTGACTGATCACCCCAACCATCCTTCTTTTCATTAGTAATAATAAGACAACAGTTTTAAAATTAAAAAGATTTTGTCTTCGTGTATTTAATATTTTAAAAATTGCTTGGCAGACACCACCCCAAATCAAAGAAAAATCTGATAAGGAATTAAATAGGGGCTCGAGTACCAGTAAATATTTTCAAGAAACATCTCAGAAAAAAAATGTAAAAAGAAACAAGAATCCAAGAACATCAAAAAAGATGGATGAAGCTGTAAAGGAGGTAAGTTAATTTTTTTTTGGTCAATAGAAGGTAATGGAGAGTGACAAAAAAATTATAAATAATAATTTCTGAAAACTAAAGTTATTTAACAGAAACCGCATGTTTCCTAGGAAATTAAATAAAATTCCTAATGAAATGTAAACTTTTAAAATTATGTTCAAGTTTAAAAAAATATATATATAAAATCTATCGAATAAAGGCAATGGCATTGTTAAAAAAAATATTTTGTTGTACTTGTGTGAAAGAAGAAGTAAAATGTAATAATGTTTCACCTATGTGTAAAACATATATTTATAATCTTAAATACATTTACTGTAGTTTAATAACTCTAGATCTGATATTATATTTTAATAATTAGGTATCTAATGTCAGTTTATTCCGAAAGTTCATTGTGTGATATTTTAGAAAATTAAGTCAGTGAATAAAATATGTTGAATTTTCTCTTTGTGAAATCACTTTCTCCACTTGCAATTGGTGTTACAATTCTTGACCTATCGATAGTAGGTAATGAAAATTTTTGTAACTCCATTTTGTAAACTTTACAATAGGAAAATAAAAGTTTAATAACAAATAATAGTACAATCATTTATTGGTTAAATCGTCTGCATTATGTTAAAGCAACAAATATTAACCTGTCCAATGTTACACACTCTAGGCATATATAGCTCAGAGACTGAAGTTATGTGATTTACAAAAATATATGGAATAATAAGGGTTTTATTTCCTACTGTCGATATAATAAATAGTTTTTTTGTTGTTTCAATGGTCTTAATGATTTCTTAGCTCTAAGGTCTAAGCTTTGGCTCTGTATAAATGCATTTCAGAAATTTTGTAATGCTCTAACATTGCCAGAGAATGATTTCTATTTAAATTAGAACAGTAAGTGTAAGTTTTGTGATACCTTCACCAGATTTTTCTTCTAGCTAATGTATTTGCGTGCATTTGTGGTAATGCATTTAAATTAAATTAAAACTTATGTAACACTTATCTATAAATGATAAAAATCCAATAAATCGACAACCACACTGCAAAAGCCTGTAAGAATAACTAAAAATTTTCTGGAGACGAAAAAAACTCAGTAATTTTTGTTGTAATGAACATTATATTTTTGATTCAATATTTCTTGAAGGCCTAAGGTAAAGATGTAATGCTAAATGTAATTTTTTTGATCATATTTCTGCCAAATAATCTTTTACAGCCATTACTTTTTAATTAATTTGAAAAGCAGGTATTAATTATGTAAAAGCCATAAAATTTATTGTAGTAACACCCATAACTTAATTAATAATGATCAAATCATGACAGGAACAAAGTCAGTTTCCAAAAAATAGAGAAACGATACTACAAATAAAAAAATTATAAAACGGACTGGAAATTGAATATTTGATTCACGGGTTATTTATTTTTTTGTTTCTTGCTATAGAGGCGGCTTGAATGGAGTGTATTTTAGAGTAGTCCATGAAAGTTTTGTTTTGAACGTACTCAACTTCATATGGACATTGATTCACGAAATCCTGTTAAGTTCTAGGTAACTGTTGATCTGTAGATCTCTTCATTCCTCAGCTTGTTGCTATTTCAAAGATTCATTGGTTTGAAATGATGGAACTAGAGTTCTTTTTTCATCTTGTGTTATATTTTCTAATTAATGAAACAAATTTTCTGCCTCACTATCTGGAATTCGGTAGCATTGTAACTTTTTTTTTCAGTCAAGCTGATTTTGCAATTGCCAGGAGGTTTCGATTGTTTTGAAGGCTGTTCAATATTATATTCTCACATACCATTCTCCTTTGTTTTGCTAAATTGCTTTGTCTAGTTCCAGAGTGAGCAGGGCCGGCCTCATTACAAGAAAACCCGGGCATTTTCCCAGAGGCACTGGGCTAGAAGTGCCCGCTATTTATTAGAAATTAAAAGAAAAATATAAAGCATAAGAGAAAAAGTAATTTTAGCCTATTAATAAAGCTAACTGATACTGCAGTCGATGCGCAAAATGCTTTATACATTCTATGTTTGCATGACCACTATTCATTGAGTATTTCATTACGCTAGGATAATATTGACCAGAAAAGCTCAAAACCTCATTTTCCAAAGAAATTGTCCTTACAGGCTTTTGCAGTGTGGCTGTCGATATATTTATATAAAAAATATTAATTAAATAATTAAATCTTTTCTTTTTTGTACTGATTTTGTGACATTCCGATTTTTCAGCAGACATTGCTAACAGCACAACATTCACCTATTAATGTCAATAAAATTATCGATTCAAAGGCTAAAGTGAGAAAATTACCAAAGAAATCTTATATAACAAACCAAAGCAACATATTGCCAAAAAATTATTCAAAAGTTGCAAAAGAAGTTCCTCTAATATCATTTGGTACAAGAATCCAACAAAAATCGACTCGTGGATCTACTCCAACTCCAAACCTAAAAAGTAAAAACAGAATACTTTTAAACAAGGAGAATACAACAGTTAAGAAGAAAGCAGATGTTAAAGAGGTGTATACAGCCTCTAGCCAACAGAAGCCTTTGAAGTTTCATGTAAACACTAAGAAACAATTAAACAATATGCAAAAAAGGTTTAAAACAGAGGTAAACAACTAAGTTATTATTATTATTTGCTTTATATTATTGATTAGCTCAACTCTTTCATACTCATGAATTTTATGTTTTTTTCTCGTGGCAAAATGCACTGCGGCCATGGAGGTCTATTCTGAGTCGTTATTAGTGTTGCTTTTAATCAGGGCATTATTTCGGCAATCTCTGCAAACTGAAGTAGGCTTGTTGGATTGATATGCTCATTAGTCTTCTTGGAGTCTAACAACAATCATTGACGAATAGACTGAATCTTAATCCAGCGAACTTGACACACCAACAAGTGATATGATAAGTCATTTCATCCTCCAGGCCACAGAACCTACAGAGAGGTGATTCTGTTAGCCGCAGTTTGAACATAGGATAGTTCAGTTTACAGTGAACTGTGATTGCTGAGAACTTCTTTTCATGTTAATTAGGAGATTAGTTTTCTTTGTACATACACCATCCAGGAACAGTCTAGAATGAGTCTTTATATTAAGATAACTGTATTTCTCGGTTTCTGCACCATAGGTCTCCCTGGTTATTCTCATGCTAATACTACTGATTGGTTTGTGTGTTATGTGAGTTGTTTCAGAGCCTTTTCTGGCGAATTCTCATTGCAAGTAATACCTGATTTACCTGGTACTCATTTGACTTAATTGATCCTTGGTAACATGTTTAGGATTGTGGAGCAACCCCTATCAGCCTTAGATCTAGTTGTATAATTGCACAGTGCACGTAATGCCCCCTGACTGCCAGTAAATATGGAAATCTTCCATCCCACCAACCCATCAAGCAACAGCTTTGATGCACATTGGGATGTCACCAGTATCTGAGATTGGAATACGCTTGCATATTTGCCAAGTGGTATTGACATGCCCTCCTCTGGTCTGTTCTTTCTCCAGAAGCCTGCACCAGAACAATAGGTCATTAATGAGCCATCAGTGGAACAGCTAATTCCATTAATAGGTTTGTGTTTCCCTGCAGTGTCAATATTTACATCATTGTTTCTTAAAAGAAATTCCTTAATCTTAGTGTCAGAGTGCATTGCAAGCACTCCATCTTCCTTAACTCTTTGAAAATTTTCCTGTTTTCCTCATGAGTATAGAATAGAAAATAATCTTTATTCTGGAACTAAATCTGGCCAAAAGACCTATTTCAATAAAGAATAACTAAAATAATAGTAATAAATTAAGTATAATAGCTCTTAGGATATATTAACGAAAACAGTTAGGTAATAGGGTTGCTATCCTATACTATACTATACCATTGGAGCAAATACAAAAACATAATAATCACTAAATGAAATTAGAAAGGAACACTAAATCAATTTTATAAGCAAAGCATTGTAGTGATGGAATATAAAAATTAAAAAAAAAAAAATTAAATTAAAAAAAATGAATTATATGAATTTCCATTCTTTGTCAGGGTCTACTCTTGTCGCACTTTCGTACTGTCACTATTTATATGTCACTTGCCCTGTTCTGCAGTTAATCTTCCTCTGTATTGTGGTATCCAACTTCTACAACCTTCTCTTGTTCTTTTATTTTCTTGTCTTCACCTAGACACTACTTGTTAACTCACATTCTTCTCTCGATCCTTTTTACTAGCCAGCTGGTTACCTTCTACCTTAACATGTGGCACTTGTTTCCCCTTCCATCTGTCTTTGTCCATTTTTGACAGTATTTGTTGATGTCACTACATTCACGCCACTATTCAAAATCACTATGTAATATTTACATTACAATATTGTAACATACCACTTATATTTTACAGATAATAATAATAATATAACCTCAGAAGATCACTTTATAACCTTAGGATACTTCCAAAAGAAATAAGAGGTTGTTAAATAAAAAACAAAATTATAAGAGTATTAATATATTTATTTATCTCAGGAGTTGGTTACTGACAATCAGATCAACTCAGACAAACTATTATTATTTACACTATTTATATTAAATTTAAACATTGATTTTAAAATAAAGTCAAGTATGAATTGACAAGCTAATCTTTTTTCTATATACAATGTTTCTTCCTTTGTGGCACTGAACTCATTTGTCTTCACACATTTTCTTATGTTCTGCCAAACACATATCCCAAAATGGTAACACTATTCTTCCACTCAACTCAAGCGCTCTGGGAAATCCTCTCTCTTGCAATTCCAAACAATTATTCTTCCTGCCAAACAAGATCTTCTAAAATGGTAAAACTATCACTGGGGTTTACCCACTAGGATATCTTCTCTTAACCTCTCTTCACTGCAGTCACACAACAATTGCTTGCCAAAACCTTTGTCCCTCTCCTCTTTGGGATTTTCCTTCTTGGGAAATTACAGCGTTACCCATAACCACATTGACTAAGTCTTAATTAGTGCATGTCACAAATCCAATCTCCTTAGTAGTGGAACTTACAGGGGAGCAAATGTTGACTCTGACCATTACCTTTTAATATCAAGAATTAGAGCCAGGATTGCCACCGTCAGGAGCCAAAGGACTGAAAGGTCCAAAAGGTGGAACATCGGAAAGTTGAAGGACCCAGAAAGCTGCCAAGCATTTCACCAGAAAATAGAAGAATTGGTGAGAGACGGGCTCAGAGTAGCTAACGTTGAAAGTGTACAGGATGTCTGGGACCAACTGGAAAAGGCTTTGGAAGGCGGAGCAGAACAAATCCTTGGGAAGGAGGTTCTTGAGGGTCGAGGTAAATGGTTCGACGAGAAGTGTAAGCTGGTCAATGATACGAAGAATGAAGCTTACAGAAACATGATAAATAAGCGCTTCACCAGGAGAGCTACGGAGGAATATAGAGGCCCATTGGAGTGTAAAAGAAAGCAGGAAATTCTTCCAGAAGGTCAATAGTGGACGTGCCACTTTTAAGCCTAGGATACAAACATGCAAGAAAGAAGATGGAACACTGCTTACCGATAAGTCGGGTATATTGGATCGGTGGGCTAAGCACTTCCGTTTGTTATTAAATGAGGAAGCGGTTATAGAAGATATAGAGGCAGGCGACATTGCTGGAGAAGATGTGACTAACAATCTTGGAGATATCAAGCCCCCGGAGTTTGAGGAAGTAATGGATGCAATCCTTCGCATGAAAAACAATAAGGTGCCGGGACCGGATGAATTGCCAGCCGAGCTCTTTAAGTATGGGGGAGATGAGTTGCATAGAGCACTGTCCGATATAGTCCTGACAATTTTGGATCAGGAAAGAGTGCAACGGCAGTGGACTAATGCTATAATATGTCCACTACATAAGAAAGGAGACCAACTTGATTGCACGAATTACCGTGGCATAGCTCTGTTGTCTTGTGCCTACAAAATCCTCTTGAATATCCTTTTCAGCAGACTTACCCCATTTGCGGAGCGGGAAATCGGGAAATATCAAGCTGGCTTCCGGAAGGGCAGATCCACTGTTGATCAAGTGTTCGCCCTTAGGACAAAAAACGAAATACATGCACATAGGGACTGGTGGCGACGAGGAACTGAGTGTTGGCCCTTATAAGTTCCAAAGAGTGAACGAGTTTACATATTTGGGATCTCTAGTAACTGCAATAAATGATGTCTCTGCTGAGATAAAGAAAAGGCTGGTGGCAGCAAATAGAGCATATTTTGCCTTACTGAAAACTCTCCGCTGCAGATCCATTACCAGGGGCACTAAACTGGTCATATACTAGACGCTTATACGCCTGGTTCTTACCTATGCTTCCCAATCCTGGACCATCTCAAGAAGTGACAGAAAAAATCTTCTGATTTTGGAAAGGAAAATCTTACGTCGAATAGTTGGCCCAGTGAGAGATGGAGATGGATGGAGGATTAGGAGGAACAGAGAGCTTTATGACCTCTATGGGGATATGGACATTGTAAAGTTTATTAAGCTGGGGAGGCTCAGTTGGGCTGGACATGTCGCTAGGATGAAAGCGGAAGAAATTCCTAAAAAAGTAGTGGACACCGCCCTTCATGGCCTGGTAGGCCAAGACTTCGATGGGTTGATGGAGTGGCAGCGGACGCAGAGAGCCTGCTACGGATCAGATGCTGGAGAGCGGCAGCAAAAAATTGGGCCAAATGGCGGCGGCTCATTGAGGAGGCCAAGACCTACCCAGGGTTGTAGCACCACGCAGATAGATAGATAGATGGGAAATTACAGAGTAGCCATTTTCTTTTCCCTGCACTAGTAGAACTAGATTAGCTTGCCTTTTAATTTTTCGACATTAATTTATTAAATCATTTTTACCCACTTCCAATAAAGGTGTATATTACAATATATACACTCATAAAGAGGAGTGTGTCAAAGATAAGTAGAAAATAAAATACATGTCAAAGAAATACAATCTCATGAATAGGAAAATTAGAAGTTAAGATAAACAAATTTTACTTACAATGCTTTGTGAATGGTGATGGAAATTCATATTCGACACAGAAGAAAAAATAATATATAAAGAAAATTAAAGCCTTATTACATAATATGTATTTAGCCAGCGTCTGATTAAATTGTGAAGAGGAAATGGAATAAGAGGGTTTTATGTGGATAAGGATGATGCATGGCGGATTTTTAGTGGGATAGAATTCCAGAATGCAGTGAAGCGGACAACTAAGGAATGTTTAAATGAGGCAGATCTGTGGAAAGGAAGGAGTTTAAAGGTCAGAAGGACGATATTTTGTGGAGAGGGTGTTGATGGATGATTTGAATTGTAGGAGATTGTATACGTAAGACGGACAATGATTATTGATTATACACCCCTGAACATAATTTTAATTTGGCTAGCCTATAAAAAGTTTCCGAGGCCTTTGATTATACTCATGAATTTAATATTGCCTGCATATTTGAAGTAAGTCTGAGAGCCTCTTTCAGTCGAGGACTCTAAGGATGACAGGCCACTGAAATAAGAGCTGAACTGAGCTGAGTGAAGTCAGAGGAGGTCAGCAACCGATTGCGTAGTGGACCTTAGCTCAATTAGCAACTTGCCTTGCATCGGTATCCTTCTTATATTCAGTATAATAATAATAATAAGGCTTAGCGAACCCAAAGGTTCTATGCCAACACCACCAATCGCTTGTTACACACCTCCCTCCACAGTTCGCCATCCAAACCCAGTCCCTTCAGATCGGCTTTAATGCAATCTTCCCACCTTCGCTTCGGTCTACCCCTCGGACGCTTACCATTCGGCACAGCAAATATTAACCTTTTAGGAATTCTCTCGTTACTAAGCCCAACAACTTTACAAGCCCATTTGATTCGCCGCGATGAAATTACCTCAATTATATTACCCGGATACAGCTCACGCAATTCGGCGTTGTGTAACCGTCTGAACTCTCCGGTTAACTCATCCTTCTTCGGTCCGAATATTCTACGCAATACTTTATTTTCTAAAACCTTAAGACGCTGCTCATCCCTTAATGTAAGCGGCCAAGTTTCGCATCCATAAAGAACTGTAGGCAAGATAATTGTTTTATAGATTCTAATTTTTAAGTTTTGGGACAAGAGGCGCGAACTAAGTAGTTTTGTCACAGAAAAATAACAAGCATTTCCCGCCTTCAGTCTAACCTTAATCTCTTCTTCAATTTCGTTTTTTCTAGTTATCGTAGAACCTAGATACCTAAATTTATCTACCTGTTCAAACATATTACCATCTATATCGATATCACCAGTAGTATCGCCATTTTTGCAGCTAACCATATATTTTGTTTTGTCCACGTTTATTTCGAGTCCTAGTTCTTTACCGGCTTTCATTAACGTTGTCGTATTTAGTTTTATAGTTTCAACGTCTTCGCTTAACAGTACCAGATCATCAGCATAGCTCAGCACGGATGTTGTCCCGCCCAGATCCAACCCTTTCTCGGTTCGCATTACCTCCCTAATGGCATGTTCTAATGCCAAATTGAACAGGACAGGCGAAAGAGAATCCCCCTGTTTTAAGCCCGAACGAACCTCAAATGTTTCGGACAAATTATTACCGATTCTAACTTTATTGAGTGTCACCGTCAAGCACATCCTGACTAGATTTACTAGTTTTTTTGGAATCCCCTGCTCGATTAGAATATTACACAGTTTCTGGCGGTCAATAGAATCATAGTATAACATTTTTAAAATATATATAGCATATGTAAGATTATAAAAAAATAGCAAAGTTGATCATGTCAGAGTTGAAAAGAAAAATCAAATATTTGTGTATAAAACCGAATATTTTCCCTTAAACATTCGATCAAGAATTCTTCTGCTTCCATTTCATATTTTAAACGGAACCTAAGTAAAATAAAGAAGTTGTGAAGTGAAAATAAGCGGAGAAAAAGTATAACACTGAGGAACAAAGCCACACGGTTGTGAGGCTTCGGTAAGTAGGTGTCGTGAGTGAAGCTGAGTATAGCTTCAAAACTGAACCTCGTTCGAGCCAAAGTTGAGCGGAGCTGCTCCTTGCGATGCTGCGGTCAGCTGATCTCCGCATCAGTTGGCAGGCCTTTCATTAAAAACCTTTATTTCGGAAGATAACTCAGCTAGGCCTAGCTAAGCTCAATTCCCCATTGGATGGCCGGTCAGCCTGTTGTGAAGGAGTTAATCTCCTCCATTAATCAAAATTCAACTTCTCTATTTGAAAAAGATTCAACCTATTCCCCTTAGACAAAGAATCAAATCCTTCCTTTAGTCAAAGACTCAACTTCCTCTATTAATCAAACTCAACCAGTCAAAGACTCCATCAGTCTAAAACTCAATCTTCTCTATTGTCAAAGACTCAGCCCCCTTTAGTCAAATAATCAGTCATCCCCCTTTAGTCAAGGACTCAACACTTCTCTAGTAAGGGGAACCCCGTACTTAGCTGCTAGTTTCGGATTTTTTTTTCTAATTTTTGGCTTAACTTGGCAGTGGGTACTGATCAAAATTGCTGGTTTTCAGTAACTGCTCTTTAATTTGATTCTAACCAACTCTTACTTCTTATGTATCATATGGCAAACAATAAAATTAACTCTTTATAATTTTTATCAGTTTAATTTTCATAACAACCCCTTCATTTCCAGACAACCCATAATTTCCACCTATTGTTCCCATAAAAAAAGTTTAACGATGTACCTTTTGTCAATAATTGTCTTTCCTCCCTCTCTTATGCCATTGTCTTTTCTCCCCTTAGTCTTATCGTAAATGGCAGTTTTATTGGCTAGTTATTGGCTAGTTATTGTTTATTATTTTTTTTATTTATATGTTATAAATAATATATCATTTCCTCATTTACTTTTGTAATTTTTTGAAAGGAATTCTTTTTGTTTTTAGATTATAGAGAGTTTTCAAAATCAGTTTTTTCATTCTAAGAAACAATCTGATGTTGAAGAAAAATCTAATTGTGAACATACCCGTCCTTCTTCTTCTTCGGTATCTTGGAGAACTTATGCAAGAACTGCTCGTAAACTTTCTGATTTAAATTTACTAGAGATGCTGAAAAATAAAAGCTTAAAAAATGAGGTGACTAATTTAATATTAAAACTTATGTACTAAATCATTTATTCAAAGAATATTTAACTAAAATAAAATACAACTGTTAGCTATTTGTTGAACTACAATACCTGCTACATCACTTTTATTTTACTTTCAATTACCTAAATATGAAATATATAGTAATTGAAAGGGAGAAGCACCCTATACCAGATCTTCATTCTAAAACAATTACTTGAAAAACGATGGGAAGTAGCTCATGACGTCCACGCCCTATTTTTCGATTTCAAAGCAGCCTATGATTCTGTGGGCAAGAACTGTCTGTGGAAAATCATGTCTGAGAGTTCCTGATATATTGGTGAGATAGACAAAGGCGTGTACAAATACCTCTAAATGTATGGTCCTAATACAAGGAGAAGTATCTGAAGCCTTCAAAGTTTGAATGAGCTTACGGCAGGGAGATGGACTATCACCGATGTTGTTCAACTTTGGCCTGGTGAAGGTAATAAGAACAACATCATAAGAAACTGGAGGAGTCCACGTCTGAATGAATCATAAAATCCTTGGATACACAGATGATATAGCTGTCCTTGGATGTAATCAAGAGGATATTGAGAAACTCGCAAAGACTCTGACAAGAGAAGAAGAGCAGATCAGCCTTCAAATAAATGAAAACTAAACAAAATATATGATAAAAAGCTGAAAATTCCACCCCAATAACAGGATCTGAGTAGAAGGAAAATCATTGCCGAGAGTAGAAAAATTCAAATACCTGGTCTTCACAATAACATCAGTGAATGAATAATGAGGTGAAATACACCAGCGTATAACTAGCGCAAACAGAGCTTTCTTCTCCCTTTCAAAGGTATTAAAATCCTGAAAAATCTCAATAATTCTCAAATTACGGGTGTACGATGCAATGATAAAGCCAATGCTAATGTATGGCTGTGAGGCTTAAAAAAAAGTGTTGAAAAATTTGAGAAAAAATGCTCTGCATGATAACCAGAGCAATCTGGGATCAGAGTACTAACACATGGAGAAGAAAGACCAATAAAGAACTTTTCACAGAAATTGGTCAATCAATATATCATGATACGAAGGCATTGAGCTTTAGATGGGCGGGTCATGTAGCTCGTAGCAACCCATCTGGAAGCCTTTATGTAACAATCAATGCCTCAATAGAAGGCAAAAGACCACATGGAAGACCAAAAAGCAAATGGATAAATAAAATCAACAAAGATGCTATAGAGCTGTGTGCAGATAAATGCAAGATGAATGCTATGGAGCAGGCTTGTTAAGGTGGCAAAAGATCTACATGGTCTGTAATGAATAAAGAAAACAAAATAGTAATAGGAAGTATTGCAATTTGAATCCAAGTTTTAAATAGATTTTTTTAGGTCATTTACATACACATGAAGTGGAATATGGATATGTTTGTAAAACGAATTCTTCTTAGTTTATGTGTGATAGTTGTGATCCCTGGCCCTGATGGCCAAGGATGTAAAAATTTCGAATCAGAGGTGGTAGTTAGTCAAATCTGGCCTTGTGGATAAATAAATAATTTATAATGATGTAGAAATGGTTGACCGTTGATATAATATGAGAAGGAGTTAGTCGGGGGTGCGGTCAGATAAATACTAAATTAAAATATAGTAATTATTTTATTTTAATTTTGCGGACGTTTTGTAGTAGACATCCCCCGGTATTTACTCTTTTATATGACATTGGGTGAGGGAATGAGAAGGAATATATAATATATAGGAATGTGAGATTGCACTGTGAATTGTACTCAATTGTGCAGTGGACAAATTGCTCATTGGAAAATCTCATATCGATAAACAATCGAAAATAAGAAAAAAGGTCCGATCAGGTAGCGACAGATGGCGAGGACGACGCCAAACACTTGAGGCTTGGGCACCAACCCAAGACGTCATCTGGGAAGAGAGGCTTACTCCATTGAAGACTAAGAATATCAAGCCTACAGTTATTAGACTTTAATATATTCACTTATATCAGTTGTCAAAATAAATTGTTTTATTATACCGGAGTGAATAATCCTTTTATTTAGTTGTCCTATAGGCCTGACAATTGAAGAATAAACCAGGTGATTCAATTCATTCAAAGTGTAATTACTAATTCCCACATTTCATTTATGTATTGTATTGTTTCTTCTCACACAGTGTCATAAAAGGTATTAGATTCCCGAATTCTCAATCACAGTTAAACACCTTCAAAAAGTCGATATCCAGTGCCGGGGTTTTGTTTTAATATTCAGGAGTGTAAATGACCTTAAGCCCCGATACAAAAGCGGAAGGCTATTCGCTATTTCTGCCAAAACTAATCATTTTACAATTAACTTCCTATAGGTTATTTACAGTTTTGACCCACTTTGCAGGTCGTCTTCAGGGCTACAAAAGATACAAAACATGTTGAGAATAAAAATTAAATATAAGTAGATATAAAATAAGAAGTTGTCAGATACAGAAATAAAAGATGATATCAGAGATATAGTGACAATGTAGTAAAATATTAAGTATTATATACGTAGAAGATACAAATAAATGGAAAATAAGTATGAATAAAAAATGAATAAAAATAAAAATAAAGGAGAACATAGAATGTAAGTTAAAAGTAAACAGATTGCGATAAAAGATAAGGAATAAGTGTATAACAAACTAATAGAGATTACATTAGATAACTGTGGGTTAACAGATAAAGAAAATGAATGTTAACGAATAAATAGATTGAAAATTGAATAAGTAATAAGTAAACATTACTTATTAAATATTTAATAATTAAATATTTAGTATTTATCTGACCGCACCCCCGACTAACTCCTTCTCATTAATAATTTATCTTCTGCTTTGATCAGTTGTAGTAGGTTGTTTATATTTTTTCAGGTAAATATTTTTAAATAAATCCAATTTAAAATATTGATTTTTTTTTATTTCATCAAAAAGATTAACTTATTAAATTTAATCTTTTCCTCTGTGTTATCTCTGATATGATAGCATTTCAAATATGAATTTTCAAAACTGCACAACAGTTTTGTTTACTTTTTGTTTTTTGTATAAATTAATGCCTTTGTTTATTATATAGTTTTAAATATTCTTCTACTATTTTGTTTAGATTATTTAAGTGGTAATTTCAACTATCTAAGTATAAGATTTAATTTTTTTTATTTTTATTTATTATAATTTTTGTCCACAACTGTGAGTTTTATCAATTTGGTGATCATAAAAAACCTAACCAATAATCACAAAATCAATTAAATTCACCCTCCTCCCCCAAAAGTAAAAATATACTAATTATAATAATAAATATTTTCTAATACCCCAATCCAATCATACCTAAAATCCATTTAGGTATTATCGGCCTTTAAGGACAACCTGAATTTTATAAATTATTTTTCCTCTAATTGTTCTTATTTTCAGAAGCAAAGAAGAACAAAGTCTGGTTCAAAAAGAACTAAAGATATTGATTCATCAGTATCAACGGTCTCAGAGTTGGATGATATCACAGATGACGATGTAACCAATTTTTCAAGAAGAAACGATGTATGGTTTTTTTTTTTTCAGTTTAATTTATTCTCAGAAAACATTTAAATACAGGACTATCTGAAATGAAAAAAAAAAAAAAAACTAAAATATTGCTGCAATCCAGAAAAAAAACAACTGTATTAATGTTGACAAAACTTTTTCTGTTGGTATATACAGGCATAGAGGGTTTTAAGCAATATTAACTTACCAAAAACAATATGGTGGATAAGCCATTTGTTTTTTTTTAGAAAAACGATAACTAATTTAGATTTTAAAAAAACTTGCTAACTTTATACAAAATGGCAAATGTATTAAAAGTTGGTTTAATTTTTATTTATTAATTTTGTTGGAAGTCTAAATAATTTCTTTTTGAAGGTTTAGCAAAACGAGATCTTCATAATTTGTTTTTCAGTAGAACACTTCTTTACACCCATTTTATTTTTCATTACAGATGAGTCATAGAAAATTGTATAATAATGGCATTTAATACTTGCTTGAAGCGGGTGAATGGATAAAATGTCAACTATCTGAAGTAAGCCTGATACTTTTAAAGAATTTGCGAAATCAGGGTTTTCTTTAGCAACAAGATGATGAACTCAACATACATTATATGAATTTGTTTATCTTCTTCTTCTTCTATGTCTCTATGAATTTGTTTATATTTAACTGATAATATATATATTTTGTTACCTTGTACAATTTTTCCATCATTTTAAATTTAACCTTTGATAATCCGAACAGGCCATGCAATCTACGTGTTCAGATTACTAAGATCATACTGTATTTAATTATTATTTTTTTTATTGGTATTACAGACATGTAGATCTTTTGCCACCTTAATAAGCCTGCTCCATCTCTGCCTGTCTTGGGTCATTTCTTTCCATTTATCTGCACACAGCTCTATAGCATCTTTGTTGATTATATCTATCCATCTGCTTTTTGGTCTTCCATGCGGTCTTTTGCCTTCTATTGAGGCATTCATTGTTACACATAGGCTTCCAGATGGGTTGCTACGAGCTACATGACCCGCCCATCTTAAGCTCCATGCCTTCATATCATGGGATATTGATTGACCAGTTTCTGTAAAAAGTTCTTTATTGGTCTATCTTCTCCATGTGTGAGTACTCTGATCCCAGATTGCTCTGGTTATCATGTAGAGGATTTTTTCTCAAATCATTCAACACTTCTTTTTAAGATGCTGATTAGTGTCCAGGTCTCACAGCCGTGTATTAGAATTGGCTTTATCATTGCATTGAACACCCTTAATTTGAGAATTATTGAGATTTTTCGGGATTTTAATACTTTTGAAAGGGAGAAGAAAGCTCTGTTTGTGCTAGTTATATGCTGGTTTATTTCTGCTCGTTGTTCATTCATTGAGGTTATAGTGAAGATGAGGTATTTGAATTTTTATATTCTCGGGAATGATTTTCCTTCTAAGCAGATCCTGTTATGGAATGGAATTTGGAGTCAATCATTAAATAGTGTAATTTTAATCAAGTCCACAACAGCCAGTCATCAAATGAACTTGATGAAGGTCATTGAGACTAGCTATGATACATATAAAGACCTTCAAGACCTTTTGTAGTAATTTCACTTCATCATTTTTTACAGAACACAGCATGGTGTAATGCTTCCAATACGGCAGAAGGTAAGTTCTCTACTTTTAAGTCAGAGGATCCACAAGTTGTTCAATGACTCAGGAGAAAAGAATTTCAAACTAATTTATCAGGAGAGTTACAGGTTAACACATTATCTGCATACCTACGAGGTAAATCGTAATAAATATTCGTGCATACCTATCTTGTAGTTTGTTTAAGCTCCATATTTTACTTTGTCTTCACAATAACCTCATGAATGAATGAGCAGAAATAGACCAGCGTGTAACTATCGCAAACAGAGCTTTCTTCTCCCTTTCAAAGGTATTGAAATATCAAAAAATTTCAAGAAATCTCAAATTAAGGGTGTTTAATGCAATGATAAAGCCAGTTCTAATATATGGCTATGAGACCTGGACACTGACTAGCACCCTAGAGAAATGTGTTGAAAGATTTGACAGAAAAATCCTCTGCAAGATAACTGGAGCGATCTGGGATCAGAGCACATGGAGAAGAAAGACCAATAAAGAACTTCTTACAGAAATTGGTCAACCAATATCCCATGATATGAAGGCATGAAGGTTAAGATGGGCGGGGCATGTAGCTCGTAGCAACCCATCTGGAAGCCTCTATGTAACAATGAATGCCTTAATAGACGGCAAAAGACCACTTGGAAGGCCAAAAAGCAGACGGATAGATAAAATCAACAAAGATGCAATAGAGCTGTGTGCAGATAAATGGAAAGAAATAGCCCAAGACAGGCAGAGATGGAGCAGGCTTGTTAAGGCGGCAAAAGATCTACATTGTGTGTAATGCCGACAGGAGAAAAAAAAAATAAAGAAATAAAAAAATCGATTGACCCTAATTGATATTGGGCCTAAAGAATTCATTTTCAATACATATAATAAAAATCAAACCAAATTTTAGTAAGCTCATCTTTTTATAGATTAAATTGTCTAAATTTACTTTCGGTTTTTTATGATAAGTGGACAAACATTTTTATTTTATGACAGCAGTTGGCAAGTTAATATTGCTCAAAAATATCCATGGCTCTATATAACAATAGAAAAAAGTTACTTGACAATTATTTTAGCCATTTTTTCATGAAATAGAATCGAAAAATCAAAATCAGATTTTTTTATTAGCCACAGATAACAATTCATAAGCGTTATTTTAGTTAAAATGTTACACATATTAATACACAGTATAGTATTTAAATGTATAATTTTTTATCTCATAAGTAAGTTAATTGTTTCGATTTGTGGCAATTTTTTTTTTTTATATAACGCTCACACCTTCTCAGCCAGAGATGGGCAAATGTTACTTTGAGAACTGAGTACTAAGTATTTTACTCAAATAGTGTCTTTTTTTGAGTACCAAAGAATTTAATTTCTACTTCAGTTGATGTCATACTGGTTTACTTAAATAGTGATTTGTAGTAGACATTCCCCTGTATTTACTCCTTTAGATGACATTGTGTGAGGGAATGAGAAGGTTTATATATAATATATAGGAATGTGAGGTAGCACTGTGAATTGTACTCAATTGTGCAGTGGAAAAATTACTCATTGGAAAATCTGACATCGATAAAGAATCGAAAAGAAGAAAAGGTCCGATCAGGTAGCTGGCAACAGATGGCGAGGGACGCCAAACACTTAAGGCCTGGACACCAACACAAGAAGACGACATCTGGGAAGAGAGGCTTACTACATTGAAGACCAAGATTTCAAGCCAACCATTCACTCATATATATTCATTTATTATCAATTGTCAAAATAAATTATTTTATTATACCGGAGTGAATAGTCCTTTTATTTAGTTGTCCTTTAGGCCTAACAATTGAAGAATAAACCAGGTGAGTCAATTCATTCAAAGTGTTTACTAAGTCCCACATTTCATATATATATTCTTATTGTTTCTTCTCACACAGTGTCATAAAAGGTAATAGATCCCCGAATTCCCAATCACAGTTTAACACCCTCAAAAAGTCTATATCCAGTGCCGGGGTTTTGTTTTAAAGATTCACTAGTGTAAATAACCTTAAACCCCGATACAAAAGCGGAAGGCTATGCGCCTATTCCCGCCAAAATGAATCATTTACATTTAACTTCCTGTAGGTTATTTACAGATTGAATTCCCAATAGTGATTTAATTTGAGTAAAATACTTCGTACTCAGAATAGCATTTACTCCTGCTCCCACCCCAAAAAAGCAGTTCCTTTACTTATTGGCAAAAAATTGTGGTTTAATCAAGTTGCTATAAGGTGGATTGTACTTTGCCTATCAAATTATCTCTTGATAATTTTTTTATTTATATTTCAAGAGTTCAAAAAATAAATAAATAAAATAAAAATTGGCTTCTTAAAACTTCTGATCTATAATAAAAATAAATTATTTTTAAATATTATAAGTGATTTAATTTTAATATATTTGCATAATCATTCAGACTGTTCTCTGGAGTTATTATAAAAATGAAGATTTTACCAAGCTTTTGATGGAAATAGAAAAAAATGAAAGAAACCCCTATCCAGCATCATCGATTTTGAAAAGGGAAAAAAGTGACAATATTTCCCTTACCACATCAATTTTGGAAATGCACCAAAAAGAACTTGAGTCATCTGTATCACAGTCTGCACCTAGATTGAATAAAAACAAAGAGAAGATGATTTCAAAAAGAAAAACAAAATCCAAGAACAAAACAAAATCAAAAAAGAAGGTAAAGAAAACTAGATTAAAATAAATATCATGACTTTGTTGCAATGTTGTAAATAATAAAAGCAGGGTGTCTAAATATATACCTAAAAACACAGTATTGAATTCTTGATTATTCAGTAAAATTGAAGATTTTAATTTGATTAATTGAATAATTCAAGGCTGCTGGAAATCCTAGTTTATTTTAGGGAATGGGGTCGCCAAATTAAATGTGACATGAAATTAATTTAAAATGAAACCTTAAGTATTGATTTTTCCGTATTTGTAGCTCAAATTTTTCAAAAAAATTCACAAGATCTTTTACTTAAAAATTGGTTAAAATTCCGATAACACCTAAAGCAATCCTTTCCATACCTTATTACCTTATTTATTCTGGGACAATAATGTACCCTTCAGAATAATGTACAGAGATAGAAATGTGGGCTTTGGAACCTCAGAGAGTAATTACTAAATAAACGGATTTATATAATGAATAAATAAAAGAAAAGAATATTATTTACCTTCAATCTTCAATTAAAAAAAAATGAAATAAAAGTATTTAAAACAAACTAACTATTTATATACTGTAACATCTCTCTTATATTTGACAAATAATAATAATAATAATATAACCTCGGAAGCTCACTTCTTACCATTGGGATACTTCCTAAATAAATAAGAGGTTGTTTAATAATAAACAAAATTATAAGAGAATTGATATATTTATTTATCTCAGGTGCGGGTTACTGACAATCAGACAAACTAAAATTAACTATACTAAACATTGTTTGATTTTAAAATAAAGTCAAATATGGATTGACATGCTAATCTTTTTTCTATATAGTGTAATGTACACCTTTATTTGAAGTGCGTAAAAAGGTTTTAATAAATTAATGTTGAACAATTAAAAGGCAAGCTAATCTAGTTCTACTAGTGCAGGAAAAAGAAAATGGCTGCTCTGTAGTTTCCCAAGAAGGAAACTCCCAAAGAGGAGAGGGACGGAAAAAGGTTTTTTGTTTTGGGAAGTAGTTATTGTATGGCTGTACTGAAGAGAGGACAGGAGAAAGGATTCTAGCTCCAGTGCGTAAAACCCAGTAATAGTATTATCATCTTGGAAATTGTTGTTTGGCAGTGAGACTGGTTATTTGGAATCACAAGAGAGGGAATCTTCCAGAGAACTTGAGTTGAGTAGAAGAATAGCGTTACCATTTTGGGATATATGTTTGGCAGAACATAAGAAAATGTGTCAAGACAAATGAATTCAGTGCCACAAAGGAAGAAACATTGTATATAGAAAAAAGGTTAGCTTGCCAATTCATACCTGACTTTATTTTAAAATCAGTGTTTAATTTTAGTGTAAATAATAATAGTTTGTCTGAGTTGATCTGATTGTCAGTAAACCACACCTGAGATAAATAAATATATTAATGCTCTTATAATTCTGTTTTTTATTTAACAACCACTTATTTCTTTTGGAAGTATCCTATGGGTATAAAGTGATCTTCTGAGGTTATATTATTATTAAAAAATTTATGAGGGATGTTACATTTCACTGTTTCTTTCTTTGTTGCACTAAATTAATTTGTCTTCAAATGCTTTCCAATTTTCTGCCAAACACAACTTCCAAAATAGTGACACTTTCTTCTATTCAACTCAAGCTCCCTGGGAGATATTCTCTCTGGTACTTCCAAACAACTAGTCTCTCTGCCAAACAACTTCCAAGGTGGTAATACTATTACTGGGTTTTTCTCATTGGAGCCAGAATCACTTCTCCTATCCTTTCTTCACTACAGCCACACAACTGCTTACCAAAACAAAAAACCTTTGTCCCTCTTCTCTTTGGGATTTTCCTTCTTGGGAAACTACATAGCAGCCATTTTCTTTTCCCTGCACTAGTAGAACTAGATTAGCTTGCCTTTTAATTGTTCAACATTACTATATTAAACCCTTTTTACTCACTTCCAATAAAGGTGTACATTACAATACATATTTACAACATCTATTTACAATTTTATGAGAACTGAATGGATAAGAGGTGATTGAACAGATGGGATTTAGAGGTGGAGAGAGAGGATATTGGAGTGACGGATGTAGGATGGGATAGAATTTCATAGGGATGTGGATCAAATAATGAAAGATCTGTCAAAAGCAGCAAGTTCGGTGGGAACATGTATACAAATCTGAAAACCGGGAACAGGTTTTGCGGCAGTAGATCGAGGATTTGAATTGAAGGAGCTGGGAGATGTATGAAGGACAGCGGGATTAGATGACTCTTGGAAGAGGAAGGATGCTAGGAAATACATCGGTAGGAGCAGACCCACTCTAGACTGTTTCTGGAAGAAATCTGCCAATAAAGAACTAACTTACTAATTAATTTGAGGTAGGAGCTCACTGAAGAAAATTACAGCAGCATATTCAGGGTATTGTAAACTGAATTATCATATGTTCAAACTCCGGCTCAGAGTCGTCTCTTTGTAGGTACTGTGGCCGGGAGGATGAGACAGCGTATCATGTCACTTGCTGTTGCAATGGGTTTGCTGGCCTAAGATTTCATTTATTCGGCATTGACGGGGAGAAGGATCCAAAGGCAAACGAACTTATCAATCCAACAAGCCTATTACAGTTCATAGAGACTGCAGGAATTACACTCTAACTGAAGTGACTTTAAACAAGGCATACAATAGGCCTACATGGCCGTAGTGGACTTATGCTGCAAAAAAAAAAAAAAAAATACATCGGTAGGAAGGATAAAGCCATTTCAGCTCATCATGATAATGGGAAATAGAGGCGTCCCTTGGGATCCTAAAGATGAATCGTACAAGGCAATTTACAAACGTTTTAGTTTCGCCTCGAGATCCCCGGGGATGTTCCTACTATGCCCCATATACCGTACAGCAATAGTTGAAGTGAGGAAATATTAAGGAGTTTACGGGTTTCAAATGGAAATAGGTGGCATAGGTAATTTAGTTGTTTTAAAATGGAAAAGGCACAGCGGGAAATATCGGGTACATTATTTTTCAAGGAAAGGGTTTAATCAAAGGTTATTACAAGGTTCTTTATGGTGGGATAGAATTTTATGAGATTATCGTGTAGTAGTAGGGTCCGTATGTTAGGAAGAGTTTTAAGGAGGTGACTGGAGCCTATCAAAATTGACTTCTCGCCATTCAACTTCAACTTGTTCACATCCGCTCAGTCAAAAATTATATTTAAGTCCTCTTGAAGTTTTTTGGTGGCTGCTAATAGGTCAGAAGGAGAAAAAGACAGGTATATTTAGAAATCGTCTGCATAGATATGGTATTGGTAGTGATGGATCAGGAGAGGAAGGTCATTAATGTAAATAGCAAACAGAGTAGGAGATAGGGAGGAACCCTGAGGGACACTGCAGGAGAAGGGAAGTATCTTAGAGGGAGGTTGACCTTGGACGACTACATACTGGGATCTATTTGAAAGGAATGATTTGAACCATCACAGGACACTGTTGGATAAAGGAAGATGTGCAGTTTAGCTAGGAGAATGCTGTGTGTTAAAAGCTTTGGAGAAATCTAGGAGAATTTAGATGGCACTAATTGATAATGTAGTTACTGCTTTACCAAGTTATTGGTGCCATTTTATTTCTTTGAAAGCTAGAAAAGGTTTTCAACTCACAATAATAAAATTTCATATAAGAGCAGTGTTGAACATGCCAAGTTTTGGGGTACTAACTATGATTATTAGACAGCTTTAGTTTTCTGGTATCATTTAGAGAAAACTGTTGCAGAATTACATCAAATACTTGTCAAAGCTTACGGTGAGCATGGTCGTGATAAATTGCAGTGCTTTTTGAGTTGTATAAAAAATCCAAAAGTGGTGATTTTTTATGTGAGAAGTAAAGACCATGGAGTGTGTGTGTGTGGTATATTATGAGCCGCTAAAACCTTGTGAAAATGTTAATACTGAACGCAATCGACAACTAATAATCATTTTGAATCAAACATGTGAAAATATAACTAGAATATAAAAAAAGATAACACCATATAATTTTGCTAAATGATAATGCACCATCACACTTAGCAAAGTTTTTCCAAGTATGATATATAATATAGTACATTGTAGATGAGTTACAATGACTGTGAGGTACTTGGGACCCATACTCTTCTCCATTTAGTTATTATTGTTCTATTATTTATTTATCCAATTAATAAAAAAGTTATAATCTGTCTTATGAATAATGCATTATTCAACTTCTTAAAATTTTTTTTAGTTCTTGATAAAGATTATTTGTTTGTTTTCAGCTACAAAATAAAAAAAAATCAAGAAATGATTCTAATACCAAAATCAAAAAATCATTGACTAAGGTAAATATTTTTTACATTATCGCTATGTATTTTAAGGAGGTTTTGGGGTCAAATTTTACTTTTACTTATTTTGCACCTTGCCTGTTGTTCATTAATTTGTAGTTAGTAATTTCCTAGGGCACCAATTATGGGTGGGGACACCAACTTATCTGATAGTTTGTTTAGTTGCCATATGTTTGCAACTTTTATGAAATATTTTGTACTTTTTGGTGATTAGTATGTATTCAAATTTGAGTTTTTATGATATTACATGATTAAATGAAATTGGCTTTTTAGACTGAAATCCTGAAAAAATCTGTATAATCCAGTCAAATTAGCACAAAAAAAGAAGTCTACCTTACAAAAGGTCGGGTAATTCAAAGTTCTTTTTACTTTCACTTGCCTATATATGAAATATATAGCAAGGGACAGTATTGCGATCGTGAAAATTTTAAAATCTAAGTTTTCAACAGAAATAGATGTTTTGAGGTCCCCTGAGTCCAAATAACCAAATCCCGATAAATGGTCTATGTGTGTGTGTGTGTGCATGTATGAGAACAGTCTAGCTCAAAATCACAAAGCCATATAAAAGTAAAATTTTATATTTAAGGTTTTTATATATCTCTGATCATATACATTTATATACATCAATTCAATATACACAAGGTAATCGAGAAAGTATGTGGCTTACAGCAAATGAGACCTAGTATTAAGAAAACTAGGTGGTGGAGCGAGGATGTGAAACGAGTCGTATCTGCAAAGAAAGAGGCCTGGAAACAGTAAGTCGCCAGGAGATTTGTCATGGTACATAGAGAAAAGGAACCAGTCTAAGAGAATAGTTAAGGAAGAGATGAGAAGATCTTAGGAGTAATTCGGGCTAGAACTTGATAAAAAGTATAAGGAAATTTTGGCACATCACAAGAGCACTAAGGAACAAAAAAGCAAAGCCTGTGAGAAGTGTAAAGGATGAGCATGGCATGCTGGTGACAGAAGACTAGGACATACTGCATGTTTGGAGGAAATACTTTCAAGAAAAATTCAGAATGGAAGAAAGGCGTCGACATTTTCGAGATTGCCATAAAAGATATGTAGAAGAACTGAACCAGAAGTCCCCGATATGGATGACACCATAGAAGAGGAGGAAGTGGAAGCAGCCATTGCTAAATTAAAGATGGGAAAAGCAGCTGGACCAGATGGCATGGCACCCGAAATGAGGGAAATGAGCTAGTCAAGTGTCTCCAAACACTATTCCAAAAGGTTTGGCATCTCAAAAGGATACTCATAGAATGGGAAAACAACATCATTATCCCAATGCATAAGAAGGGAAGCCAAAGTGTATGCGATAATTACCGTCAGTAGATAGAATATACCAATCCTGGCGCAGGTCCTCGGAGCAAGATGGCGGCGCCCATTACGCGCCAAAAATTTTAGCCTTTAAACACTGTTTCGTTCATAATAAATCGCTCAAAAATTGTGACCTTTAAACACTGTTGCGCTCACTTTAAATCGTTCAGTAATTTTAGCCTTTAAACACTGTTGCGCTCACTTTAAATCGTTCAGTAATTTTAGCCTTTAAATATCGTTTCATTTATTTTAAATTTTTCAAAAATTGTAGCCTTTGAACATTATATGTTTATCATAACTATATAATCTGTAAACTGACCAGTATCGAATACTTCATATTATTTACTGAACTTTATATTATTTATAATAATTAAATTAGCATATTATTTATTAAACTTAAAGCGGATAATGAGAAGGAGTATTTTCATTTTAAAAAGTGGTTTTATTTGTATAAGAAATATAATATTACAAAGAACTGTCCATGTACATTTAGGTAATTATGTGCATCTTTCTTAGTTCAGCTTACAGCATTAAGCCCTCTCACCACGTCAAGGTGAAGATACATCGAGAGGGTTCAGTGGTTTACGGGCGTTTATAGCCTCGCCAGTGACCAAATCATACATACTTTTGGTTTACGAGTAAATCAATACCTCGCCAGTGACCAAATCAAAACACACATATTTTTGGTTTACAGGTAAATCAATACCGTGCCAGTGACCAAATCATACACACACACACACACACACACACACACACACACACACACACAAGTTTTGGTTTACAGGTAAATCAATACCGTGCCAGTGACCAAAAACAAAAAAAAAAAAAATCTACTAGAAAATAACAAACTTCTTAATACAATTAACTCAGAATAAATAACAAATTATTTTTTTGTATTTTCTTTTTGTTTAATTTTTTTTTTTAATTTTTAAATATTATTTTTTATTTCAATTTGTTCAACTCAGCCAATTCATAATGACCGTAGGCCAAAGTATTGAACCCATCTTCTAATATGTGTCTTTTATCATCAAACGGAGAAAGGGAAACTTTATTTATCTCGGTACTAAAAATATTATGCTGCTTTGATTGTATCGATCTCATAGGTGTATGCATAATTTCATTGTTTAATAACACTTGCTCATAGTCTTCAAAAGTGATATATTGTTTTAACGATGACGCTTTTACACCCTTAGCACGCTTCTTTACACCATCTTCCATCATGACGGCGTACATTTTGGCTCTTAACCCAACATATTTTAAAACTATTTTTGAATTTAATTCATCTTTAAACTTTCCTAACTTTTTTTTATTTTCATCTGAGAAACAGAAATGATTTTTAGGATAATCAGAGAAATCGAAATAATGGTGCATTTTTTTCATATCTTCAAAGACATCATCTGTTAAAACTTTATAAATAAGCGAATCTGTATCTGTATACATCATCTTTAAGTTATTATTGGAATATTTTTGCAACATTGTATCATAATGAAATTGGTACATCACAGTTTTGGATAAATCTAATATGCACATTCCAATGTATATGGGTTTGTTAAACAATACTTTCGGTTTTCCCATATGTACAGCTACTATATTCTCATTGTAGATAGTTCGGTCTATAAAATTTGGTTTGGTAATCAGTTTCATTAACTTTTTACTGTCAGTTACTAGCTGAATATTTTGATGATTCCTAATGTTTTCCATAGTCTTACCAAAAACTGCATTGTTCAGTAACTTATAAAAATCTTTTTCAAAGTCGTTGCAGGCTCCTTTTCTCAAATCTGTGTTGTATTCTATATACGAGCGAAGCCATGGTGATTGGATTCTGCTGGCTGAGATGCATTGGAAGATAGGAGAATCTCACAAAATCTTATTAATGCAATTACGTCAGTTTATCAAGACCCAAAGGGAGTAATAAGGCTAGCTGGTACTGACTCTAGGTCATTCCATATTTTTAGGGGAGTTAAACAGGGCAATATCCTGAGTCCTCTACTGTTCATAATTTTCATGAATGCCATTTGGAAATTTTTTAAAAGGAAGACACCCAGAGCAATAGTGAGATACTGGAATATGACCCCAGTGTTGACACAATCATTGTTGTATGCAAATGATGTGGTATTGGTTGCGGATACTGCTGAATCGCTTCAGGTCAATGTGGATGAGTTGCAAGAAGAACTGCAACTCAGAAGCATGCAGATCAATCCCTCCAAAAACAAGGTTATGTGTGTTGGACGAAGGAACGAGGATCTTAGAATCACTTGCAATGGAGAGACTCTTGAGCAAACCGATACCTACTGCTACCTGGGAACAGTGATTGGCAAGGATGGAAGAATAGACCAGGAGGTCATGAATAGAGTCCAAAAGGCCAATGGAATATACTACCAAATATCCATGACACTCATTGGAAAGCAGAAGTTGAGCAGAAAAGCGAAGATTCTGCTATTCAAATCAGTTTTTCTCCCAGTGCTACTATACGGATCTGAAAGCTGGACACTCTTGGACTGGCATTCCAGCAAGGTTGTATCTACAGAAATGAGGTTCCTACAGAAAATATTAGGGAAAACTAGGTGAGATCGAATAAGGAATGAAAGGATGCTAGATGAACTAGGAGTTAGATCCGTCCTTGAGACGATTGAAGAAAGTCAGTTGAAGTGGTACAGGCATGTTAACAGAATGGGAGATGACCGTAAGACCAGATGGCTTCTAGAAGCAAGACCGGGAGGAAGGCGACCTCAAGGCAGGCCAAGGCTTATGTATGCAGACTTGATTGAGAACATTGGCACAGCGAGAGGAAGCACCATGCAGGAGATGAGAAGGCTTGCACAGGAGAGAGACCGTTGGACAAGATGGTCAGAGGCAGCTACTCCACACTTAGCATCACACAGGAGATAGTGAGATAAGAATACTATACCTCAGATGTTACAGCAACTTGTAAATAACCTAATAAAGTTTAAATGTAAATAACATGTTTTGGCGGGAATAGGCGAATAGTCTTCCGCTTTTATAGATAGATAGATAGATAGAAAAAAAAAACTTTATTCTGGGACTAAGTCCCTTCAGAATAACAATAATGTACAAAATAATAGAATATTACTGGCCTGAACGTTGAAACAATAAATAAAATTGATAAAATAAAATAAAAAGTAAAGAAAACCTTAGGTGCACAAGCTATATACAAACAGATAAAACTATGTACAGAGCATTTAAAATTATGAACAAAACAATTAAAACTATGAACGAATCACTTGAACTATGAACAAAATTATATTTAAGGGTTGAACAACATAAACATACACTTTGAGAAATGAAGAACGAAAAAGAGATACAATGAGTTCATTTCATAAAAAAAAACAAAAAAAAAAAAAAAAACACTTTACTTGAATATATATATATAAAAATAAACAGTTACTTATAATTGAATAAAAAATAACATAAAAAAAAATGTATGTATTGAAATTCCTACGTTGATAGTAGAAAATGCATGTACTATCTCTTACCAAGTGTTATGATTATATGATTGCTACACAATACATATATAATATCAATAGTTAGCTGGTATCAGACTGTTTTTGGAACAGGAATTGGAATAGGAGATTTTTGAATGTATACAGGGAAGGGGCATGTCGAATTTTGATCGGGAGGGAATTCCAAAAGTTGACAGAGCGGGCTATAAAGGAATT